GGCCTGTAACCCTATTTTTAATTAGTGCATTTTAATCAAAAGAGAAGAACTTTGTCCCAATGCTGTGACTCAGATGATGGAGAGAAAAGACATTTGGCAGCTATAAAAGTTTTCTTCACAGAGGCCTAATTGAGCTGCTGTTGTGTGTGTGTGACTCAGACAGACGCTGGCGAGAATAATACAGGTCTTCTTCTTCTATCCCAGACAGACCCTACAGCTCATCTTTAATCTAAATCACACATTCTCCCAATACAAGCAACACACAGACACACACTCATGTTACATTCTTCTTCTTAATCACATAATTACTACTCTAAATCAGTCACTGCCGAGAGCTTACGGCACCGAGCGCACTTAAGATTTTCAAAGACAAGACTGGAGAATCCCAAAAACATAATTATACACGTGTGCTTAAGGTGCGTAGCTTGTGACATTAGATACACAACTTGAGCAGCAGTGACATCACAGAGGCAGTCATTGTGTTTGGGAGCTCGTGGGCATTTGGCAGCGTGGTGAATGAGGGGCACGGTGCCAGCTCATCCCACTGTCTGTGTCATGGGCGCCCAGTTCAAAGAGAGATTGGTTTGGTAGTTACATGCCTGGCTGGGTGGATTGTCATGTGCACAACCGATAAAAAATGTGTTGAATTGAGAAAAGTTGTCAAAAAATACAGAACACTGCAAACAATTATGAAATATTATTCATTGTGTACATTCTGTCTTTAAAACAAGATTTGCCATTTTGTCATATTTCAAGAACATTTTCCATTCCGAGGAACACATTTCTTGTATCTGTTTAAAACAAGGGGGTAGTTCTTTAGAGAGTAAGGATAAAGTTAGATGGATTTCATAACATAGTTCAATTAAATTGTTGAAACTTAGGAACCCCAGCTTTAAAATGCATCCCTATAACGACGGAATTGGAGACCGTAACAGGCGGTGGATAGAGAGACAACCCCTGTGTTCATAAAAGAAACATCAAAAATCACTATAACCTTAGAAGTAGACAGGCTTTGATCCTTCAAGGATAAACGGGAACTCAGAGCGTGGTTATACAAAGTATGGCTGGAGTTGAATTTAAAATTCAGTCATTTGCCGTTGTCCATGATATTCTATAATATTCAATACTGAGTAGGTTAAAGCTGAGGTACCCCACTTTCAGACCACTAAAAGTGGAACTAACAAACCATGAAACTAGTTCCTCACTTTGGTTCTATCACTAGTGTTCACATGCAAATATTTTTGTCCTCTGTCTCATCTTTAGATTTTTCAGACTGAAGTGACCCTGCAGAGGGTCAGTGAGGGGCTGGTGCTATGAGACTTGGGTGGCATCTCTGATTGCCACCCCCCTGACCCAGAAATGGATTAAAGGGAAGAAAATGGATGGATGGATGGATGGATGGATGGATGGAAGTGAAAAATGGAGGACCATCTCCGCTCAGCCGATCAGTTCTCAGCCCTCAGAACGCAAAAGAGAAAATGAAGATAGAATGTTAAGGTCTGACTTTTTATATTAGGACTAACTACATGCATTATTTATCAAACAAAAAAGTTAGGCACCCAAGCTTTTAAGCATGGCTTCAGCCACTGGCCATGTAACTTGAGCAAAAGCTATGGACACAGATGCAAATACAACAATATGAGCCACACTCCATTTGAAATCTTTAGTGCGTTTAACCCAGTTTCCTCTTCTTATTTGAGTACTGGTGCGTATGTGACTGGATGTGGGGGTTGACGCGCTGTGCTCTCAAAGGAAGTCTGTGGTTGGGCCGTTTCTACATATTTCCCTGCAGCTCGCACACATTTAACACACACATTTCCCAGTCAAACTTAACTACACGCCCCGTATACAGGCCGGCAGATGTGGGAGCCATCTTTATATATCTCCCTCTTTCTCACACACACACACACACACACACTCATGCATAGCGAAATAAACAGTGAAAGCCACAGTCTCTTGGGGTGCGGTCTCCCCCAAAACCCTGTTGCATTGTGGGTAGCTGTGGGTAAAAAGACGTGCCTGTGCGAGGTTTGCTCATAAATAGCCTAAGTAAAAATGCAGGAACACAGAGAGCGCCTAGTATCCTTCTGTTTTATGCGTTTGTTAATTTATTCATAAATACTTGTTTACCAGGACGGAAATACAGATTTTTTACTGTCTGCCTTGGAATGTCTGAGGACTTGAATGTGCTGCTTTATCCATATGAAAAATGCATGGAAAATCTAAATATTTAGGAGGCCATTCCTCTGCTTCTATGTAATTATAAGTCGGTGCAAAAGTACATGATTTTTCAACCACAAAAATGTTTCAAGGTCTGTGCTGGTTCTATCACTAGAACTTGTATTTTTGACCTCCCTCACTCTCAGACAAATGAAATTTAGGGATCCCAGCTGTAAAGCCTCACATTCATTCCTTTTCTAATTCCAACAATACACATTGTTTATAGATTACTTCTGTGTTACTGTATGTACATCTTTTGAATAGAAAAGGCTCATTGATTTCTACAAACATTCTATACACACATTGTACAGATTTTTATCTTTCTATGTTTTGTTTCCATTCAAGTAAAAAAAGACCTGCTGCCCTTGTTATTTAAAGGCACTGACATTTTCTCAGTTCCTTTTTTTCTGTCATCAAATAAATAAGTAAACAGCAGCTGCTAGCTCAGAGCATAACCCTAAAAATACTTTACCACAAAGCCGTATTTAAGTTTCTCTCGTGTGAATAGAACCATTGAGTGAAGCAGACTTTAGGCTATGGACATTGAATTATCTTTGATACTAACGTGAAATCAGGAAGAGACGGAGAGAAATACACTTCCTCTAATGCACTTGACACACGCTCAAAGAGAGGACTGTGCTTTTGACGTAGTTTGTGGTTTTTTGCTCCATCACAGACTTAATGCAGAAAGGTCAGAAGACAGAAGGCCTTTCCTTTTCTCTCACAGCTGATCACAATTGTCATTTTTAATTACGCACTCTTGGACATTTAAAAAGCCCCGTTTCCACCAGCCATACTTGGCTCTATCTACCTGGTTGCAACTCCATTATGCATTAGTATTTGGTACCATATTCTAGACCTCCTCTCCGGTCTCGACTCCAAATCCCTCTCCAACTGATCGTTTAGGTTGTTTGGGTCTGGCACCAAGCTATTTTCAACTAGGGCACCAAGCCTTAGCTCCTCGGGCAGGTCCCTGTTGACTGTTCCAAGGGCGAGGCTCTGGACGAAGCCTTCTCTGTCCGGGTTCCTTGGCTCTGGAACGACTTGCCCGAGGAGATAAGGCTAGCACCATCAGTAACCTCTTTTAAATCACTTCTTAAAACTCACTTTTATTGAATGGCCTTCCCATTACTGTCTGCTTTAAACTCTATGTGTATTTTACTGTTCCACATTGTCTTTGTTTTGTCTGTCTGCTTTAATCTCCTGTGTTTCTTTTTGATATGTTATATTATTGTTACGACCTGAGCTCATACTCAGCTCCAATTCCCGCAAACGAATCTCTGCGTCCAACTCCTTCTCTCTTAAAGCAAAGGCAATCCGCTGCGACTCCACTTCCAACTCCTTCAGCCGCACAGCCTCATCCCCAGACCTGGATGAAGAACGTGGGCTTCCAGACAAGACAGCTGCAGGAAAGACCCCCTTCTGTACCAATGCCGCCAGTAAATCCGCTTTCAAGACAGCCGTTTTAGCCTGTCTTGAAACAGCAACCTTCACATGCTCAGCAATAGCAATTAAATGCTCCTTCGTGCATTTGTGAAAGGCCTCCAAAGTGGGCGCCTCAAAAAACTCATCCAGTTGAAATTCCATTTTCAACCAGAATCCCGCTGTCCGTACCAAACTGACACGCGTCAAAATGCGACCCACACACACAAAAAACCCCACTCTCTCTACTGCACCTGCACAAACCACAAACAAAGTTTTTACCCAAACAAAGTCAAAACAAATTGCCAAATTATGCCACAAAAAATACGAAAGTGACAAAACTCAAGTAACCAATACATAAACTCTCAAAAGTTACTAAAGGCAAAAAAAAATGACCTGTCCTAGGGTTCACATTGTTTTAACGAGCCCCCATAAATATGTTACGACCCGAAGGACAAAACATATTTTAAGGACACAGAGACAGGTTTAGAGTTCAAAAATAATGATTTATTTATACATGTTCTTTTAACTGAACTCTAGTTCTTTATTAATTAATATGAATATTAAATCAAACCAACCCCGTGTCCAGAATACAAAAACCCAAAGTAATCAAATTAAAGGTGGACCTGGTGGGCCAGCCAAAACAAACAAAAATGGGCCGACACCGAACCAACCCTATACAGGGCCGTCCGGATCCGATGCCGGCACCCTAAATAAAGAATAAACAAAACCCAACTAGCTACACCCTCAAACGAAAATGTAACCACCGGACCCACCTGATCAAACAAAAATAAGGACAAGGAAAAAATGCTAACCAAATGGCTAAAGAAACAACCAAATCATGCGGCGTCTGGGGAGGCCGCAAACCAGGACTAGGAGGGAGCGCGCAGCACGAGCACGCTCACCTCAGCAGGTGTTTGCAAAAGGCTGAGAGCAGAGAGGGGCAGGAGCGCACCAGGACAGCGCTTCTTATACTCCCGACCCGAGCTGCAAAATATACAAAATAAGATACAAAAACGTTATCAAAAATGCAACCTATAAAATATACTTATACAAAACACAATCTTACAAAAAAACTATAAAACCCAAAAACTACCTGGACAAAAGGTAAGATAAAACCAAAGGGGGGGAAAAGGTGCCCAAACATAACAATTATCATGACTGTTGTGTTTTTATTGCTTTATGCAGCACTTTGTAAACACTGTTTTTGAAATGTACAAAAAAGGACTTTGTATAGGTCTATCCACTCCGCCGTGGTTAATTCTGTTTTTTACATAAGGACAGAAAACTAATTTTATTATATGGACATTATGTGGGCATAACACTGAGTTGGTTTCTATTGTCTTCCTTGTGTCCAGGTGTATTTAAAAGCTCCTATGATTTTGAACGGCGTGTGCGTGATCTGGAGAGGCTGGATCGACTTGCAGCGGCTCGACGGTATGGGCTACTTAGAGTACGACGAGGAGAGGGCGCAGGTAAAGTCCGGATTAAATGAAATGACATCGCGAAAAGGCAATCGAACACCACATCTGTATGTTTGTGCAGCATGAAGACGCTTTGGCTCAGGCAGCGTTCGAAGAAGCACGACGCAGGACCCGAGACTTTGAAGACAGAGACCGATCGCACAGGGAGGATTTGGAGGTGGGATTTTTTTCATCACCATTATTATTACTTCATTACAATTTAACATATAGCAAAAGCTGCCAAAATAAATCAAGACCTATGCCTATTGTAAATTTGAATTACAGTTCCTGGAAGTCTGTTTAAGTATTGTGGGCCAGACATCATTTGGCTGTCAACACTATTTTATTTTTTTCAGACAACATAATTGATAGCTTGTAACAATATTAAGTATATAACAACACATTTAATGCTTACATGTACATTAGGCTTAGCCAGAATGATCAGACTGGAAATGTTAATCAAGTTATTGGTGTAACATTTGTTATATACTGCATTAAACATTATTACATTTCCAGTCTTCTCGGCTTGGCGCTTACAGCAGCAATTGTTTTTTGAAACTTGCATGTTTTCTACCTTCAATAAGTGACTCCATTCTGATATGTTTAGTGCATGATCGGTCAAACCAGTCTAATAATGGATTTAGATATTTGAATGGCAAGTGATCATTGCCGTGGTTCCCAAAAGCCTGAGTGGAGAAAGGATTTTTTATTCAATTTATTATTCAGAATATAGTGCACACATTTACATACAGGCCCGTACAGGTAAAACTCAGAAAATTAGAATATCATTCAAAAGTCTATTTACTTTTGTTATTCAACGTACAATCTGAAACTCATACATGACACAAAGTGAGAGATATCAAACTTGTATTTATTATAATTGTTGATTCATATGCTCACAGCTTGTCAAAACCCAAAGTAACTGTACTTTGCTCGAAATGAGTAAGTTGAATCACAGATATATACATTTTGAACGATAATCGCGTTTCACCTGATTACAACACATACAAGTCATACTTATGGGAGTCTATTTCTAAATCTTTTCTCGTTGAGGCTTGAGGGAAACCCATGGCCTTCTTCAAAATTCCACCAATGAATACAAAATTGTTTATTTTTTTAGGACCCTGTGGTTTCTAAAATCTGGGACTGATGACACAAAGACAGCTCCAGCAAAACAGAACAGGGTTAGTGTCTGCCACCTCCCGCACTTTCTCCCACTGACATGCACTAAACCATATGTGCATTTCTCATTCACTCTGTCTTCTGCCTGCTGTTTCTGACATCTTGTAGACTTTTGTCATCATCTTCAAATATTCAAAGAAAGCAGTTACTATTTAAGGCCGCACACAGCTGCTTCACACACAACCTCTCGTATTCTTTGGAAAGCGTCTGCCCCGTAGCACTGCAGATAAAGAAAAAAACACATCTGAGGAGAAAAGGGGGACTTTGACTTGAAGGTCATCTTTCATCCGTCCCATCTCCAGTTACTTCCCTCAGGCATAAGACAAAAGGCATCGCAGCGTATCTGATTTAAATCAATAAAAGTTGTCTGTGTGTTTAAAGTTAAAGTTAATGCCATGTATATAGCTCTATGTGTTTGTGTTTGTCAGAAAGTACTGTACAATATAGAACCGTGTTACTGTCACTTTACTGAGTCACTTTGTTCCAGACCCCAGATGTATACACACAACTCTATATTACATGCATTATTTTATACTGCTTCTTTTTATCCAAGAGCTAGAGACATTATTCTATTCTAGTATAGAGTTATTATTCATTTATCTTGTTCCGTATGCTTCGTATTCCTATTGTCTGTAACTTGTGATGCAACACTGAATTTTCCCCACTGTGGGATGAATAAAGGATATCTTAATCTTAATCATAATATACTTCTGAGGAAGATTCCCACATCTCCACAACAAGGATGCCTCTATAAAGTACAGGGCTTTCTGAAAGTTACATACTTCTGTTGGTTATGCACAAAAAGATGCTAAGAAATGAAATATTGTGCATTATTCTTGGCTATTTAGTAACACAATGAACATTCTAAAACGTGAAATAATATCTTAAGAACATTAATGATGAAACAAGTTTAGACGGAAGGGAGAGAGATACTTATATATGTCTGGATGTTGCTGATAATATATGGATCTAAAACAACAGGATAGTTTTTGATGAGGGTGCAATGTTGTAGCATGGCAAAAAGCTGCTACAACATTTTCATAACATGTCATCTTTAAAATGATCCATTCCCTTTTGTGGATTTTGATATCTAGAACATAATCGAGTCTTTTCTGTCTTTTTGTGAATACCAACATCAGTAAGTGTAGATATTCCCTTTGTGCGCAATAAATTGTCACTGCTATGCCCAGTTAAAGTCCAGCTTCATAATGAGAGCACTGGTCTCACTGAGCTTGAGTTCAGACGACATGGGCTGCTCAGGACTTGGGTGTGACGGATGATTGCGGAATAGCTGCACAGATTGTGTCTTTGCATTTTTTGTGGTTTTTCTCTCCTCCTCAACTTAAGCCTCCGTCTCAATGCTCCTTATCTCTAGCTCACATTATGCAGTTGGCGGACACTTGTTTACTAAATGACCCAAGCAATAAGATAATTGGAGGGATACACAAATTGTGGTGTGAGGCGGGTCATGGGAAAAGGGGAAAGAAGTAGACGTTTGATAGTGAAGCTTACAAGGTTTTTGATGGAACTCCTCTAGTAGCTGTTGTGAAGGAACGGACCCGATTTCACTCATGACCATTTAATTTCATTTGGAAAAATGATTAACAGAAACCTTTAGGAGAGGCAAACATGGATGTCAAGATAAGATATACAGTGGGGTATTTTTGTTTGTTGAATAGTTTGTTAGAATAGTTTCTAACTTTTGCCTATGTGGCGTTTTTTTCTTGTTTTCCACCTTTAATTGTATAAGGTATTTTGAGAATATTTTGTTGATTTTGGATATCGTTTTTCTGAGTTTTTTCTTAGTGAAATTAGCTTGGGTTGAACCTAAAAGAGGCTCAGTCCAGTTTGTGATGAATTATTACTCATTACATTTTGGTTTCATTGTTTAGGGCTAAATGAGGATGTGGTTGTTTTGGGATTGTCAACAGTCCCAAAACTGCTATGGTTGCACATATAACCGTGATTATGTGGTGGTTGGAATGGAATCTATGGCCCGTCGTCTGTTCCATAGACTAGACTGGTAATAATCTTTTAGCAACATAAACTCATACTGTGATAGAAATGAAACACTATTGAACACAATATTGTAAACTGAGTTACTTTGTCAATATATGTTTTAAATGGACTGCAAGTTAGGTTGGTGTGTGTACTTTAAATATGTGGGTTTAAAGGTTTTTCTGCTCAACTATTTTAGACCAAAAGGCCTGCTGTTATTGTCATCCAAGGTCAGACATGAGCTGTCATAGTGATAGATGGAGAAGCGATACAGAAAGAGGAAATGTGCCTTCAAGCGCGCACACACTGCAGCTCAGAGCTGAAGCAGATTTGGATGTGAATGATGACCTGGCACTGAGAGCATTAATATATCATTAGTATTGATTGCCATCAGACCCCCTGCTTTGCCTCACACACACACACACACACACACACGTACGTAAGGATGGGCACTTTTGAATACGGTGTACTCACAGAAGCAGCAGATCTGGCCCAAGATTGTCACATGCACGCACACACTTCTCCACTATTGAGTTGTGGTTAGGCAGCCTATAGTGGCCCAGCCGGCCTCCATCTGCAAGGATCAATACAGAAAGCTCTTCTGATTAGTAAGGACCACTCCCTTCCACAAAGACAAACACAACTGCAAAGAAATAACAACAGCCAAGTTGCAGTTTGTATTTGCAGCTACAAATTTACTCCGTTATAAAAATATGTGTATGTGTGACACTGGCAGATATGGATCAAAGAACAAATAATGGATTTATATATGGAGGCATTGTTTCACTCAATATAACAGTAAAAACAAACATTTCATTTCATAATTTACATCTTGGAATAACATGATTTATAACCTCAACAAAGAGAGATGGAATAAATATCCCAAGATGTGTCTGTCAACTTGACTGAATCTTAATGACTTATAGTGGAAGCCCTTATAGAAATTGAAAAGACTGAGTGAACACGAGTGGAGACAAAAATATTTACAATATCGTCACCATTACTTCAGTTGCAACATCTGACGTAACCTAAAAGCAATTACATAATTATGACATAGACCTATAATTAACTGTACGAGCACATTAACAAGTCAGCATGGATTGCAAGGGGAAAACAAGTTGTAAAAGTTTAAATATTTTACTGACATCTGTTGAATATGAAATAAAATAGATAGATAATTTAGCCTGATGACACAATGTACAGCAGATACATATTTGAAATCAGCTGTGTTTTTTTTTAATGCAGGAGTCAGGGAGGCGGGTTCAAAACACTGCATGTGACTCATTCTGTTTATCACTAATATATTTATATACTATTAAAGCGTATAGTGTATCTCTGAGATGACACAAGCGACTCGGCAAATCCACTCAGCACAGTTTTACTATCTACATCTCTCATGCGTCACCTTGCTGACCACTTTCTCACCTCCTCCCTGCACCTCTCAGCTGTCATTTAAGTGTAAACATTTGCCCACAAGTATTTTTCACAGCTTCTTCTACACTTCACGTACTTTACTCGGCCGGGGGGATACTTGTCATGCTGTTGGCTCGCACCAATGACCTAATGAACCAGTCTGCCACTAAATCTGTCTGTCTGCTTCTGTGCCAGCTCTCCACCAAAATATCAACATCAGCAGAGCAGGGAATAAACACATATCATTGAAGCACACTGCTGCCCTCTAGTGCCTCATTTTGGAAGTGCAATATTTTATCCCAGCCTGTATTCCTGTATTCCTAGTTCTTTGGGCTCAAAAAGCCCTATTATGAATTCATTTATTTTTTTGTCTCAAGAAGCCTTCTCATTATTACATCTTGAGTACCTAACTTTTTAAGCAAGTTTCACAACATGCTGTCTTTATCTTATTAGAAAACATGTTATATTTTACATACTGAAAGCTGATTGGCTGAGTGAGGACCTTATTTTTACATGAAAACGCTGATATAAAGATGTGACAGAGGCCAAAAATGCACATGAAAACTATTGATAGATGCAAACTGTTATAGAGATAGGAGGTACTTGGATTGGATTACATAGTTATTTTTATGGTTACAAAGTTAGGTACCATGCAGACATGCACAATACGTCTTTCTTTGAGATTTACGCTTGCATTCAAAAACAAAACCAATTAGCATTCTACATTTAAGATTACACCCAAAACAATGTGTGAAGATGAATGATGAACAAATAAACAAAAGACAATGTCTCCATATTTGACATTTGCTGTAAGATATTCAGATGTGTTTGAGAGATGGATACTTACATGTTGTGCATCTTTCTTTCTGCTCCTCTCCCCAGTAAAGACGACAGCAGGACCCCAGCCTTGGATTAAACATGGCCAACACTGATGTGAAGCACAAGACACAGATGAACGAAGGACATCAATTCATATTCAGAAGTTACTGATCAATTATTGAACTGAGTTTTTAGCAGGATCACATTTGGGTGTTTGGGTTTTGGCCTGTAAATTGACTGTACTCAAAACCCATGAGATGTATTTGGAGGGAAAATGAAAACCGTTGCATTCACATAAAACAACTGCTGTGTTCTGTGACCAAAGTTTGCTGGATGGTGAGGGTCCACATTGTGAGGTCAAGAGTTTGCTGTAATATAATGTAATTATTTCGTAGTCCATTGCTATGTTCAGGTCCTATATTTGAAGAGGTATGTAGCAACCATGTCAAGAAAGGACATTTTTCACTCCTGGAAGCAATCTGGAATTTAAGAAAAAAAAATCAAAATGTCTTCCACAGGGTTTTGCACTATAATATTAAACTATTTGTCCAGCTGTATTTTTATGAGTCAACCTAAAAAAGAGATCCCAGGTGTCTGTAAAGGCTCTAGAAATATATGAAATGATGTCATAGTCTTGAATTGAGCGGCTGGTTTTTAAGCTCAAGCATGGTTTCGAACTTTCATTGGATAAAACAAGGTACACACGGAAGTAATCGAGCGTAAAGTGGTTTTTGTAAGTAATATTTTGCTATTTTAGTGTATTCTCCATTATGTTTCCTTCAAGACGGAGTCATTTGGCCTTGTTACAGCACTAGTGAGTACATGTTATATTTTGTTATCTTATTATTTTGTCTGTGTGAAAGTCAGGATGTTTACTTTTTATATAATTTCTGAACTCTGTATTTGTTTTGCTTTCAACAACATTACGTAGAATGATGTTGTTTTTAGATAACATGTTTGAATAACATGGGAATGTTTGATTTAGTTTCATTTGTCTTTTATTTTCATCATTAATGTTGTTAATAATAAAATGTGTTTGTTTATAAGGTATTGTTTTCATTTACAGCTTGAAGTTAATTCAATTTCCAGTGTGTATTTTATCCACACAAAACTTTTCCATTTTAATTTACTTTTAACTATCTGGAACCCACTTTACATGTTGTGATGATTCCATGAAGCCTACTTTGTAACATTTTATAAGATCCAAAATGCCTATTTGTTAAGAGGAATAAATAAATTTTAAAACGTGCAAAACCCTTTATTTTTGTTGTGTGAGTGTGTTGTGTGTGATCAATGAATCTATGTCAGAAGATTTCTAATGTTATGAATAAATACAATTTGTTGAAGGGGCACTCTATTTTTTAAAGTGCATTATAAATAAAAATCTGTATTAATATAAATATTGGTATGTTACAGTTAAAAAAAAAAAAAACACATGCAGTTCTACACAACATTTCCGTTCACTGGCAAAAGCTCATATCAGTTCGCATCATATTCCTTCACCACATGCTGGTCGCTGTGGTCCTTCCTCTCCTGACCACCGGCCTCCTCTACTTCCTGTATGTTCATTCTACACATATTATTTTTGCCAGAATTCACAATCATAGATGTGAGAAACTCATCCTTCATTAGTCATATTCTAATTTCACTTGAATTAATCACATTATCTAAAATATTCATGTTTGGTATTCACATTGCATTATGTTCTTAATCTTGACTAATTTTGACAATTGAAAAGAAGTTTCTTCAGATGATGTTTTACACAATGAACTCATACTGCCATGTTTGTCTGCCAACAGTCATTAGCTTGATAACCAGTTTAAATCTGCAAGATGTATTTATTTTAAAAATCTGCTAGACGGGGGTTGTACAGAAACATATCCACTGAGACATGTAAGACATTATAAAATAGATGAATTAGTGAAAATTCATTGACATTCAGTTTCGAAACATTGCAAGGTAGTTTGGATATTTGTCCCTGAATGGACACTATGTGATTACTATCAGTGATGAGGTGAAGTACATTGGACATTATATGACCTCACAGATGACTGGGATATGCACAGGCAGAGACGTAAACACACTAACAGGTTGGTTCAGAAGTGTTCTGTGAAAGGCTTCTGTTCTTTTAATAAGACAAAGAGCACATTCTTGTCTCTTTAAAATAACTGTAAGTCTAAGGAAGGTTGCCTGTACAGGAGGAAAATACCAGACCTCCTTTACATGTTTTTAGTGGGATGGGAAACCTGAGCACCTGGAGGAAACCTACACTGACACAAGGAGAACATGCAAACTCCACTGAGAAAAAGCCATATTTCAACCGAGATTCGAACCCAGGACCTTCTAACTGAGAAGCGAGAGCGCTCTGTGAGGATCACCATGAATCTGAGGATGCTGTACAGTAGTACCAGTTAGAGTTTATGTGTAGTCGTGGATGTTGCTAATGCTGTTGGAGTCTGTGGTTTAGTACAGTGAAGCTCACCTAAAGACTGAGGGGTCATTAGCGTGTTTCTCTTGTTCGGATGAGAGGATTTTTTCCCATATGTGTAATTTATAAGATATATATTGTATATTCTATTTTACTTTTGTGTTAGTCATGGTTAATACGTCTGTATATTTAATGTCTATGTTAAATTTAATATCTATATCAAATAATAAAATAGTTTTTTTTTCTCCCGCTGCGTGTTTGAGCGTCAGCTGACCGTGCGGCGGAAGTGGAGCATCAGCTGATCGAGCTGTTGCTGCTGTTGTTGTTGGGAGCTCTATGGTCTGCTCTGTGCTCTATGGTCTATGGTCTATGGTCGGAGCGGTGTTGCTCTACTCTGCTGCTGTCACAGACGACACTTCAAACCACACAAGGGACATGATGGAGATTTGCCTCTTGACGAATTAGACAGAACCAAGTTTTTAACTCTTCACAGCCACTTTTATTCTGCGCATTAGCGACCAGGAGCTAGCTGGAAGCTCGGTAACAGAAAGATAACAGTTAAGGACTGGATGTACGTTATTTGTTTATTGTGCCAGTTCATTTGCAATATATAATTAGCCTTGAGCCTGTAGTTTATTTTCTTGTGCCTGGAATGTAACGTAGGTATCGATTGTTATAACTTTCTTCAGCGAGAGCTAGCGATAGCTAACGTTAGCTCATAACTCGGAGACTCTTGTTGTCAATATTTACTGCTTTCGTAACAGCTTCACAGATTACGGTCTGAAATAGTCCAGTTGTTTGGGCTCGTTTGTACATCCGCTCACGACGTTGTTCGATGTGTTTATTCCTCTTCCCTAATGTGGATCAGCATCCAGAGCAGCTGAGGGATTTTACTGTTGTCTAAGATACAAATACTGAATATTGTTTCGTCTCAAACAAACACCTTGGTCTGCCTGGCTTAATGTTGTACTGCTGTTGCTTTAATGACATAAAGTGGCATTAGGTCAAGGACAGATTGTGTAATTTGTTGATGATCTCTTTGCAGCACGTGTCACGTGTTGTCTAAGTCTAGTATTTTAGGTTTTTACATTCAGCATTTCTTGGTATTGTCTAGAGTTTCAAGGACTACTTGGACTTCGTGTTATAATAGAGAATACATTGATTGCATTATGAAATAAATTGCATTCAGGCTTCCTGAAGTTCTGAACAAAGGTTGTAAAAGAGGATCCCTCATTGGGTCCCATTGTGTGTTGAAGTGTATTGGCTGCAGCACTACTTGCCAATGCTGGATCTGGAGGTGGTCCCTGAAAGATCACTTGGAAATGAACAATGGGAATTTGCCTTAGGTAAGGTGTATTGCATCATATTAAGTCATTTATTACATGTCTACTATTTATTGGACTAATGTGTTCATAGGGATGCCATTGGCCCAGGCCATCTCTATTCTCCAGAAACACTGTCGAAACATAAAAAATGTCCAGGTGCTTTACAGTGAACAGGTGAGAACAGATGTCCTTTTGCTTATCTTTGGGATGTGATGCTGCCAGGAATTTGTTTATTAATGTGTGTGTTATCTCTCTCAGCTTCCGCTTAGTCATGACCTTATTCTGAACTTGACTCAGGATGGGATCAAACTGCTGTTTGATGCCACAAATCAAAGACTCAAGGTAGAAAATAAAGGCCACATTATCTGCCCACCAAAGAGAATGTTTACTTTATGAAATGTCAACTCAGTCAGCCTTTTGTGGTGGTTAAATCAAGCAACTTTCCCCTAACCTGTTACCAGCAGCTTAATTAATAATTTTTTTGTGATTGATTGTTGACTGTTGATTTATATCTTGCATTACTTTTTCCACAGGTCATTGAAGTTTACGACCTTAGCAAAGTCAAATTAAAATACTGGTATGTACTGATGTGTTAGAATATGTACAACCCTAACACAAATATATCATCAGTATGCGTATAACACGTTTAGTACCATACTATACAATACTAGTATTGCAACAAATACACACATATGTGTTGATCTACATTATGACAGCAACATTTTAATTGATGTTATCTATCGATCGCTTTTAACTTTTAACTTAAAATATCTTCCATATAGTTTATACCACCTTGGGTTTATAAGTGGCCTAATCTAATTATGTTTGTGTAAATGCTTTTCAGTGGTGTGCATTTCAATTCTCAAGCCATTGCTCCTACTATAGAGCAAATAGACCAGTCGTTTGGAGCTACACACCCAGGAGGTAAGTTTCCAAATATATTATGCTCTTTGTAAACATAAAAAAAACCTTTGTCAAACCAGAAATGTCGTTGTTTAACATTTCAGTTTACAATGCGGTGGAGCAATTGTTCCATCTCAATTTCCGCGGCCTGTCATTCTCTTTTCAACTGGACTCATGGAATGAAGCTCCAAAATATGAGGTGAGCTTATTTATTTATTTATTTTGAGAGGGACAAGTGTACACAATCAACATGTGAAACACTAAAACATTTATAGCCAAGGATGATTTGCAATGTTTGTCCATAGAAGTGCTTTTAACACAATTAAAAACACATTTTACATTGTTACATTCACATTATACAAAGGCAGCTGTCCTCAACTCATTAATGCTCACACGACTGGTTTGTTTTAAGACATTGTTTCAGTTTGTGTTTAAAACCAGCCCAGTCCGAGTTCAGTTCAAGCTGAGGACTTAAAGAGCTTATTATTTGTTTGTTCATGCGGTGGAACGTGTTCATCTTTAACATTTTAGTTTCTGACCATGACAGAAAACAGCAACAGTTATGTTCGTTATCAGGATGACAAGCTTATGTCTGCAGAGCATAATTTAGGGCATTGACGTTGCTAGCTTTTCATTAATTGCCAATGGACTTGGTGAAGGCATACCTTTTCATGGCAGGGTCAAGTGCGCAGACAAGTACTTTCTGGCTGTACTGAAATATACATTTGTGATTACTGTAGAACATAATTGATTTTCGTTTTCCATGATGTCAATTAAACTAATCACATTTATATAAAGTTTTTCTACCAAAGTGTCTAACATAAAGAAACCTTTCATCCATTTACACAAATATCCATGTTCAGAATTCCCTCGGCAGACACTGGGCACAAAGCAGGTAAAGAAAGACAACAGCGGTATTCGTTTATACAGCACAATACAGACACATCATGCAAAACACAGAATACCCTTTCTCTGAATTATTATTTAATTGAATTATTGAACACTGAAGCTATTTCATGTTTTCTTAGATTTCTTTGAGCTTCTCAACTTTGCCAGCTGTTGTCTTCTCGGATGACCTTTTGACTTATTTTTAACTTATTGATAGCGCATATTTTAACCAGATCACAAGTTAATGTGCCTAATGCTGGATTGAACCTTTTTACAGATTCCTCATGGGGCCATGGTGAAAAGAATGCATATCTATACAGGCAACAACCTGCAGGAAACAAGGTATCTCACTAACACGCCACACACATAATCACCTATTTCGGCCCATAGGACATTTATTTGTTGGTCATATATATACATCTTTAACATGCTGTGCCCCCAGAGCACCAGTCATGCCGTTGGCCTGTTTCCTTGGTAACATCTATGCAGAGTGCGTAGATGTGGTGCGAGACCAGGCTGGACCCCTGGGGCTGAAACTCCGCCTACTCACTGCAGGTGACATATATGTCTGTGTGACAGAACAAACCAATGGCAGCTACTGAGGCCACATGTCCACATGTCCAACTGTGTCACTTATGACCACCTGCAACTTCATTTTACACTTCAGGCATTACATTTTGTAGAACGATAAATAGTTTGATGTATCTGTATGGGGCTAAATGGTTTTGATTCAATTGATTTGATAATATCTTGGACATTTGCAGGTTGTGGACCTGGTGCGATGGCAGATTCCAAAGTCCGCAGTATAGAGAAGAGCATCTCTTTTGGTGATTCATGTCAGGATGTGTTGGGAGCTCTGGGCTCACCACACAAAGTATTTTATAAATCTGAAGACAAGGTAGATGCTTGTTCATTTTACAAATAACCTTTTCATATTTAAATAAATGAAACATCATTTTTCTGTACAGATGAAGATCCACTCTCCGTCCCCTCATAAGCAGGTTCCTTCTAAATGTAACGACTACTTCTTCAACTACTTCACCCTGGGAGTGGTATGTATATGTATGATTATTTTTCTTCACCTTTACCTTTGGTCATGGCAGGGTCTTGACATTGTTTCAAAAAGCCAGATCAAGAATGTATTTTATGTATGAAAGCATCTGTAACTAGATTAATTTAGTGCTATTTTAGAAGGAGTAATGTTTAAAGTTCAATAATAACTATATCATTGTTATCCTGTTTGCTTGTGCTGGCTTCACTGTCAGTGACTGTGGAGGCAGATCGGGACAGAGAAGCTGTTTGTCCAAACTCTGCGTGTGAAAGACTTGTCTCTGTTTCAGGATATCCTGTTTGATTCCACCACTCACCTCGTCAAAAAGTTTGTCCTTCATACAAATTTTCCTGGACACTACAACTTTAATATGTGAGTAAACATTTATGTAAGGTATTGCTTGTATCTTGTAATCCCAACAGTGCCGTCTTACTTATACTTGTGCTTTTGGTGATTTAGATATCATCGATGTGACTTCAAGATTCCAATTGTCATTAAAAAAGGTGAGTTCTGTCAAAAATGTGCCTCTCAATAAGTCAAAGCTTTTGGATGTTTGTACTACTAACCAAAAAAAAAAAGTATGATTGATGCATACATAGAGACTTTTTGACAATGAAAACATAGACAATTAGATTTAAAGTAGTGCTGTCACTAAATTAAAATAATGACTCGCACAGGGGGGCGTTTTTAAAGTCAGTATTTAAACGCAACAAAAATATTGACAAGAATTTTTTACAACTTGAAAGAAAATCATCTACATTAGTTTACGGTCCTGTATGAAAGTTTGTACAAAATTAGAACAGATGTTTACAACACTTTTAACTTTATTCCAATGTTTTGTTTTGTAATTACTCCAATAAATCAAGTGTGTGTATTTCAGAGGGATCTGACTCTCAGACTGAGGAATGCATCCTGACCACTTACAGCAAGGTCAGTCACAGTATAAGATAAGATAAACTGTATTGCTCTCCATATATCCATGTATCCATCATGATAACAAAGATGAACATTATGTTTCCGCGGCCATTCAAGTGTCTCTAAATGTTTCAGTGGGATCAAATTCAAGAACTATTTGGACATCCAATGGAAAAACCTGTTGTCCTCCACAGGTAAAGAATGTATTCATGTATCCTGCACTGTCCAAGCTGAACCTAAACAAAGTTGGTATTCCCAAAAAATGTACGATAAAAAACGTGTGTGTGACTTCCAGGTCTTCATCGGCTAACAACACGAATCCATTTGGCTCGACCTTTTGTTTTGGATTGCAGAGGATGATCTTTGAGGTGACCTTTTAAAATTTTGTGCTTAGTGTTTTTTTTTCCTAGTGATGATCTGTTTATTCTAATGATGCGGTTCGCTGGTCTCCTAGGTGATGCAGAATAACCACATAGCATCCGTTACACTGTACGGCGCACCGCGGACCACCGGTCAACCTCGGCCCGGGTCGAGTAGCAGCTCCCATTGACGGCTTCAAACCAGAACTCGCATTTACTATACCTTCTCGGCCTCAGATTGAATTCAGCCTCTCATAACAAAAAACAAAAGTATGTCCAGCCACATGCTTTCATCCAGCTTGACACATGCCTTGGACCACCTGCGGGAGATTCTCGTATTATTAAATCAAATTCAAATGCTGCAACACGGAAAATTCTGCGAAATATGGCTACTGATGTAACATTGTGGCTCAACCAGCATTCGATTAGAAGAGCATCGTTGTCTCGTGTCCGGTTTTGAAGCAAACTCGACATCCACAGATACTGCCAGATAACGCCTGTAACACCTGTCTTCCTGCCACAACCTTCTCATACATGTTTAAGCTCCAACGGTCAGACCAGCCCACTTACAAACAGCGCTACACTGGACTGCAAGAGTATTTGATGTTCCAGGAGGGTAACCACACACTCAGGGTTAGAGGGAGTAAAGTACTCAGACTAAAACCACTTTTGGCCAGTGTGAGGCGATGTGGAGCCCAGAGCCAACTGAGACAATGAAGATGTGTTGCTGCCCGGGTTCCTTTCTCATCCACAAAACACATAAGCTAGACAAGATATTCATACGTTTGATATTCAAGTTAAAGAACATGACACATTTCATCTGTTGTTTTTAAATGTAGATACTATTGTAATCATTTACATTTTCAGAGTGATGGACTTAAAAGGACATGTACTTCACAACAAGCACAAGTTTGAACCAGTTCAGTTCCTCAAAACCATACTTATGTCTTTGTGAAGACTTTGAATTATGTTTTTACTGCATGAGCATTTCCATTTTATGATGATTTTGGACTTTTAATGTATACATTTGCACTCAAATACACGTTTGCTTGATTACATCGGTCTACCTTTTTAGGTGTTCTTTTTGCAGAGAGCCACAGCTTGTCCATTTCTATATGCACTTTTTGTTGTGGTGGTGTTGACCAGCTCTCATTTTCTTGGTTAGTCCAGTTGCCAATTGCTGCAGCCAAAGATATTTCAGGATGACTGCATCCATCTGTTTGTTACAGTGTTCTTGTCGTATGACAAGCCCATGTCTTCATCCCCTCTAAGTTTCACAATGTGTGATATATATAGTATATATATATCACAAGAACAGAAGTCATTCCTTCAACGTTACATGTTCTCTGCTCCAAATCATGAAATGAGTTTTCTGCTAAAGTCCAATATTGTAATACACAATATAGAATTTTTGATCAGGTACAGATCTTTTTATTGTGCATGTAAATGCTCCAAGGTTCATGTCAAAGTCGATCTATTATGGAGAAAGTGAAAGGTTTTCAAACCTTTGGCTTTCTTTATTATTGTGTTTTATGGGCTCCGATGTGTAACCCTAATGTACATGGTGTAACGTATAGTGCGGCCCTTCTGCTGATCTTAAATTGTGGGTTTCCTGTTGTTTGGCCCCGGTCTAATTGATTTACTTTAACAATATGCAGAAAGACATTATTTTGTACACTGGCACATCTACTTACACTGCTACTGTCTGAGCCACAACACTTATTTTCTTGGAAATTCAAAACAAGTAATTGCTCTGGAGTTGAAATGAATCACTTGTGATTAGGTTGTGGCCATATTAATGTTAGATTGTGTTCCTGTCCATTATTACAAGGAAATAACAAATGACTATGTGAGAAGTAAATTGTTGAACATTGTGCCTCATCTCCTGTGGAGCCCGTCTTTCTCTGTCCTCTGTATAAAGCAATCCCCTCGTGAGAATGCATGAAAGCAGCATAGTTGTACAGTACTGTATGTGCGTGTCACAAGCAGAGTTAGCTCCAGTGATGTCCTAGCTGCAGTTTTCATGTGTATGTTTGCTGCGTAAAAGTGATTTTAAGTTGGGGTTTTCCAAAAGTGGCTGTGATGGAGGTTGAGTAGCTTTTTACCCTCAAAGGCTCACTGTGATTTTATTATTGTAATTATCAGGAGCTCTGGGCTGCCAAGCATTTACAGAAAACAAAATAAGCATGCCATGATTGGAATGCTGCTCTGAAAGCTTTTGGCTATTTTGATAAGATATGTTTTCTTGATATGAAAAATAATAATTTATTCTCAACATCATTAAGTCATTTGGGTTAATAATATGCCTCTGGCTTTTAACAATAATTGAATACACACAGTGGAGGGCAAATGTTTGTCTCATTTGAATCCACATGAATGGACTGGACTGCTTCAGTGATGCAATGTATTCAGGAGAGAGTGGTGGGTAGTGAATATCGCCCCAAACTCAGGTGACCATATCATACCCTTGTTTTTCTACTGTCTGAAGCTGAAAAATAAGAGGCTCTGTGGAGCCGTGTGGCTGCAGTGAATGAGGAGTGAGTGTTATTTGTAATGGAATAGCTTCCATTTGTGTCATGATGAGAAACTAATGCCTTGTATCATATTAATGTTTCTTGCTTCAAGTTCTGTTTGTTCTTTACTCTCCAGACATTTGTGGCAGTATATGTTGATCCTGTTTTAAAAATGGGAAAGTTATACTTAACTAGTATTTGTGAAAATGGAATGTTGCATCATGTTTTTAAATTTAATAATTTGTCTCAAAAGATTTTTGAGCATGTCCACTGATAAAGTGGCTGTAAAGTGCAATGACAATGGAAGAGGCTGCAAGGTCAGTTCCATTATCAAAGGTGGCAGCGCCATCTTCAGCCCAACAAAACATGAAAATCAACAAGAGCTCGCTTTATAAACATCTTTGTGTGTAATATGACAACCAATAAAAGATGGATTTAAAAGAGAACACAACCTGTGCAGTTTTTCTTTACAATATTTAACAAAGTACTTCATATTTACATCACCACATCACCTCACCACAGGTCAAGTCTATTTGAGGTTTGAGATTTTGGTTCGATTCTTGCTCCTCGGAAAATAATATTTCTGATCATAAGTGATCATGTACATCATCACAATCACAACCCTTGATTCAATCACACATGTTCCCCAACTGTGCAGTCATGAGGAACAGTTATTTATGCATAAAAAACAATAACACTTTGAATGTAAGGAATGTGTGTCCAACACAGAACCTTTAAACTGACTTTGATGGCCTTTCACTAAAGTCAACAATCATTAAAGAACACACAAAGCTCTGTGGGAACAGTTTTCTGGATGAGTCCTTTACATGTTTGCTCTGTATGGGGTAGAAACATTGTCTAGTTTTTAGTGCAGTTTCCCCACTGTGGGACGAATAAAGGATCTCTTAATCATAACACGAGGAACACTGTGATCTCCTTCAGGGTGTAATGAACGCATGTGTGTCAATGTAGTCTGTGTCCACTCTATCCACTGGGCTTTGGGCTTTTGTCTCAGCCTTGTTCTCAAACTTCCATGAAAAGTGATCAGAGGCGGCTCTTGATCTGTTGTGGCAGCTCACTTTGGGATCATGCAGCATGTTCCACATGAGCCATATCTGCGGGACACTCAGGCTGTGGACCACCATCAGCTCCCGGTAGAAACACGGGTCAAACGTTTGGAGATGTGGTGCGGCAGATGGACGTGGGATCCCAAAGGTGCGGAAGCCCTGGTGCCGTGAGGGTTTGACTCCAATCTGCTGAAGACACATTCCCAAAAATACGTCGTCAATTGGAAACAGCTCCACCTACAGGAAAGACAAAAAACGCACTGTTAATATCACCAATGATAGTGGTTTAAGTGCAGGACTTTGTGATAAAAATTAGTCAGCTTCATCAATATAGAAAACCTTTTGACTCAGATTGAAAATCCTTTACGCAGACTATATGTGCTGAAGGATACACATGGCTCATACTGTATACTGTATGAGCCACGCTTGAGAACTGATTTTGGTGCCCCAAAAAAAAAACAGTTATAAAGCAGAAGTCACTTTTGTTTAGTTATAAAAAAATAAAAATAAGTTGCTCACAGGCCATTTCCTCACCACACAAACTACACAAAAGACTTTTAATGTTTATAATGGGTGCTTTGGTGTGTCATCCCTGTATGAAGTTCATTTAACTAGTGGTCATGAATTTGAACAAAAATTGACCAATCACGAAGCTGTAGGAGTGAACACGGCTGTAACTGGCAAGGTTTTGGGTTTAACAATTCTCTCTCATTCTCTCCACATTATAAAAGATGAATGAATTAACAATTTAAACTTTTACGTGCAGTTAGCGGTTTATTTAAGGCTCGATACCTGTTGACAAGCTGGGCCAAGTCTCCGAGCGGTGTGCCCAGACATGACAAAGCCTCCTCCTCCAGCATAAGATGGGTACAGGCTGCCTCCGTACACAAACTCTGGCACAAAGTACTTCGAGCTGCGGCGGCGGATAGGTTTGGCATTCACAATAATATCACCAACAAACAGGTCCTCTTCTGGCTCTTGCCCCTCGAGCAACTCCAGTATGTTTTCAATATTTACATAAACATCGGCGTCACCTTTGAAGATGAACCTGTGAACAAGTTAGCTTTGTAAATGAATGATTAATGATGAATAATAAAGAACATTCTCCAAATAAAGGTTCAGATAGTTGTTCGTGTGTAGAAGAACTATAGTCTTGGAGTAGTCCCAAGACAAGTAGCTTACAGACCAGGTTTGTGGAAGTACTAGAAGTAGTAGAAAAAAAAAATTATGTTATAGGCAAGGCAAGTTTATTTGTATAGCACAACTCCTACACAAGGCAACTAAGTGCTGAACAGAATAAGATACAAGAATGCCTTTGCCTTGTTCCACCCTGGAGCTTAGGGTTATTTGCTATTTTATCTGAGGTACAACATATATATATTTTTCCACTTACTTGATGTGGGCACAGCTGCTGATGACCCACGTTAAGAAGTGTGTTTCTTTTAGAGTCAAGTTAAAAAAGGTATCTTCAAAGTCCCAAAGCAGGATGTCCTTAAAGCTCTGGCTCTCATAGGCCAGGAGCCGGTCCCATAAAGGCAGAGCACTCTGATTCCTCGGGACACCCAGCAGGAAAACTGTCCGTACAGTCACACCATTTGGGAAGCTCCCCTCTCTACCCCAGGTCCGACGCACAACCTGGCAAAAAACACACATTCTATTTTGTATTTGGTTTTGTTGTTTCCACAGATATTAGACAAATCTTACCTGGCGCTTGTCAAAATCAGCTGCAACAGATTTGATAGCAATGAGCAAGTAGGGTGCATGTTGACCTTCTATGTGGCACTTGTCCGGTTGGTCAATAAGGAGGCTGAAGTTTCGATTGTCCTTTGCGTTCAGGTAAGTTTTAAAGTCGAATGGTGGCAGAGTGGGCAAAGGAGGCCTGGTCGGTTTGGATGCATTCTTGTGTCTCGACTTGGATTTCCCTTTTGCTTTGACCGGAATTTTGGCCTCGGCCTGAGGAGTTTTGGTTTTGGTCTTATGAGCCTGTTTTACATCTGCAAGTCTTGGAGCAAGCTGAAAAAAATGAAAGAAACTAATAAATCAAGGGTTTAAAACGTCTGTCTTAGATGGTTCCCTAAATGTATGATTTGTAACTGATTTATTTGTTTAATCAAGTCGCTTTAGTAGTGTCTAGTATTTGAATCACTCACTCAGATTAGAGCGAGGGCCGAAAATAATTTATACTTTTGCAAACATCTCAACCATGATAAGACATAACACAACAGTTCTCTTTTACTTTGGATCCAACGGTTCCCAGAAGTGTCCGACTGTTGCTGGTCGAGCTGTTCATCTCAAGTTTCAAAGGAAGATTGTCCCATCCAGATGACAATATCACCTTTAGCCCCACACAAAAAACAAGGATACGTTTGCATTCATAGAGTTCAGTCTACCATACCAAGATTGATGGAGAAGCATTACCTTTCGGGCATAAAACAGCAGGCAGAAGAGCAGTAGTAGCAGCATACTGCACAGAACATCTCCCTTCACCCGCAGGAGCCTCCTCAGCTGCACCATGCTGATGTCACACTAACATGGCACCTCTCAGTAACATGGTATCTCTCTTTTCTTACTCCCTTCATCAGGAAAACGGCTAAAGCAGAAAGGAAAGTAAAAGCAGAAATGATCATGCACATTTTCACAGTTTTGTTCTGATAAAGGTTCATCATCCATGTGAGGGGGGTGTGTCTATCTTATATAAGCACATAGAGGTACAAATATATAGAACATAATGTACAAAAATTATAATAATAAAATAAAATAATAATATAATAAAATAATATGCAGTTTTGTCTCAGAACTGAACTTAAATACTTCATTAAGAAAATATTTAGTGTTCTCATCTCAAACTAGGCTCTAGTCTAAGAATATGTATTTACCTGAGGTTGGTACAGCCCCTCTGCAGCGTAGCTTCTTACAGCATGGTGAGGGTGTTTTATACAAAAGAGAAGTTAAGTTTAAGAAGAAGATCGAGAAACGCGGTGGAAAACATCTGGCAGACTGGCTTCGAACCGCAGCGCTGCAAATGACTGCGTCGCGTGATGCGTTCACATGCAACAGGATTATTTGTAAAACAGTGACGAAAGTGAAATGTAAACCCTGCACTTAGAGAATTCTCTCCTCCACAATTAACTTTAATGACAACTAGAGAATGTTTTCTTTTTAATTTAATATTAAAAAAGCTGAATGTGATTACAAATACATAAGACCAATCGGTGATATTTCCTCTGCTGAAGTTCCCTGACTGCAGCTCAAAGAACCACGTGATATGACACAAACTCAGGAGCCAGATGCCAACACAGCAGTAACCCATCAAAAGTAACAGTGTGATACTGATGTAGTTACAGATGCACTTTTCAATAAACTAGAGGTCTAATGCTGTTTAGAGATCACCGTCATGGCTTTCAGAATCCTGTTATATGGAACATTTGAAGATTTCTTGTTTTTCTATCAAAAGAGATGGCAATCCTAATGGTTCATCTGTCTTTAGACACGGTTGTATTTCTCACTGTGTGGAAATCCACTGATTGAGCAAAGCACTAGTGTATACAAATGACGAGTTTGTTGTTGGGAGGAGTGGTTACAGCAGGGTCCAGACCATGGATGCATCATGGTCCAGCCACGTGTGAATGTTATAGAAGAATGTTTCCTACATCCTAGATTGAATATTACGTTGCTATCACTAAAACAGTGCTCAAATGACAGCATCGTTCCAACACCCATGGTCAGCACAATAGAAAGAGAACAGTGTTTATTAGAATAAGTTCTAAATCAACTTCTCCCTAACACAAACAGGAAACAAAACACAAAAAATATGAGAATGGGCCACTAACTTAAACATATTTTATTGAATCTATTAATTAAATGTACAACACAAACCTCCAGCTATAAAATGTACACAGTACACAACTTTCACAAACGTTTCTTTGGCTACAGACACACATCTGGGCCAGACAGTCACTGACCACCAGCTGTTCTCCTCTAAACATCACTGTCATTTGGATTAAACAGTCTCTCGCCCCTCGGGTGTTTACTTTGGTTTTGGACAAAGAAGGGTTAATGCTGAAGAGTTACACCTGAACCTACAACAGCAAAAAACCAAAATAAGTTCTGAATGTATACTTTTTTTTCACTACATAAGCTGACCATAGGCAACCACACCCCTAATACACTCTTCAACCAACGCCAAACCTCAGATCACTGAACTATCACTGAAAGTTGCTAAAGACATGCTGCGTTTTGTTTCCCCTTTATGATAATGACTAAGAGTCAAAACCCAACCAGAGGCCATTTTTTCAACAACATATCCATAGATTAAGGCAATGATCTTACGTTTACCCAACATTTGAGATGCTACTGTATCTTTGTGTGAAACAGTGAGTATAAAGTCTCAGACTCTCAGGAGGACGCAGTTCCTGCCTTCATGACCCGAAACAGAACATTGACATTGTTGCTCTTGATAGCATCTCTGCAGGCAGATACCACTTGGTTTTTCGGTTTTCCCACTGAAATAAAGAAATATTTAGATACACAGATTAATATGACAACACAAATATCATGAGAATACTTTACCACGCAGTCGTCCGGCGCGTTGGATTGCTTGATTCACAGATTTAAGACAAGATAAAAGAGCATTGTGATTGTTGGAGCGGATCTTATACTCGTTTATGAGATCTCTGTTTAAATCATACAACTCCCTGTAGCGCTTCTTCATGGACGACCTAAAGACAATTTTATGATGCATATTACATAGTTATAGAAAAGCAGAAAAGTAACAAACAAGTTGTTACGAGTAATGAAGTAGGTAAGTTCTGACAAACGTACAGGTCTCCCATGAGACGAGAATCTTCAGCTTGTACCAACATAGTCCTGATGTAATTGGAATGGTCAGCCATTTCTGCAGTTAACTTTTGATGAACCATGTGGAATTCGTCCACCTGAGAAAAATATATTTCATATTTAAAAGGTTGTTTGTCTTGAAAAAACAAATATACTAAATATTACCTCTGTGAGTGTGATGCGTAGCTCCTCAAAGTACGCAGGAAAATCTGCTTCTACTGATAAATCATCTATTCCCAGGAAGGACGCCAGTGACTGGACAAGATCTCCTGCCAGGTCAACGTCGTCAGTTTTGAAAGTAATCTAAAGACAAGAATGGAAAAAACAATTACTTCAAGTAAATATTTACATTTTGCAGTGAGTGCAGTTGTCAGTGAAACAAAGAGAAAACATAATTGCAGCTTACTGACAAACTCAAATGCAGACACTGTGTTTACAGAATCTCATATATGCTCTCATTCTGCTAAATGTTTTCGGTTTTACTCTGAAATGGAAGAAAGTACAACCATGACATTTTCAAGATTTCTTACTTCATCACATAAACTAAAATACACAATAATGTATTTTCTGAAACTGGGCCATGTAATGTATTTTAACCACAAAAGTACATGTCATTTATGGATGGGTCGTTTATAGAGCAGTGGACTCACTGCTCTATAAAAGACACATTGCACATTTCTTGGCTCTGCACAAGATACAGTATGTGCTAAGCTCTCTATGGGTCAAAAGCCCACGCATCTCTCATATAATTACAACTCATTTCTACATAATGTATGTTTTGTACTTTACATTACCTGCCCATTGCTGCCGTTAGTGATGGACAAAACTCCATCAGTTCTCAGAGAATGAAAAGTTACATCTGGACTGTCGACACCCTCAGGAAGAAGGAAGTTCTGGTTCAGCCACATGACAACCTGCAAATTAACAAAAATCAATCAAATGTCCACAAAATGTAATAATAGAAAGCGGAGGTTTGACACAGACCCTTTGTGGCCTGTCATTTATAGTAAAGGTCACCCATCCAGAGGGCGAGGCAGCCGAGGGATCATCCGTCAGGTCATACATGGAGAACCGAGGAAGCTGGCGAGTGATTTCAAACACGTGAAATTGAGTACTGTGAAGAGAAATAGTACTCAATTTTGGCCATGTTAAATCCATATTAAAAGACAGCTCCCACCAGTAACCTGCCTTGATTTTCCTCCAACAAAGGCTTTGATGTGAAGATCCACAGGTATATCCTTTGGAGGGATGATTGGAACTCTCACACAGCCTGACAGGTTTTGAGCACTGGGGTGGACCACATGACTCTCTCCCTCAAAGATCCCCTCTGCGAAAATGAGCACTGCACGAATAATAGTTTCTACAAAAAAGAGAAACAAAGATGTTAGTTGACATATGCACTTATTTTTTCAAGAAATTCGTGGTCTACCATTTGGAGTGGAAATGTTGAGCTCTACATGGGCCCTCTGTTCCTCTGTGGCTGGTCGCACCGACAGAGCAGTCTGAAGCTGAGTGTTGGCTGGAATCACACCTACATCACTTTTTGCCTCTGACACGCCCTATAAAAATAATACAAAAGATCAGTAGAGCCCAGTGAACTGCAGCCTTACCTACTGGAGACAAAAACATGGATAAGAATCTCCGAGTCTGGTTTTGACAATACATATTTGATTCTGGAAATGTTTTTTTAGAAGGTAAGGAGCTGCTGTTTAAAATGCAAGTCTGAGTCCCTTATTACTCTTAGATTTGTGACTGGATTTGAAGGTTTTAGGGAGAGCTACCAAGGGTCCTATACCACGGGTCACAGAACAATACTGTGAATTTGTGTCAGAAGTGAGTTTCATATCAAAGTCTTTGCATTAGGGTTACAATGGTAAAATAAAGCAACACCCACCTTGGCATTTTCTTCATAGTTTCTAAGTTCAAGCAAGAGATTCTGTCTGCGCTGGCTGAGCTCCCTAATGAGATCTTGCTCAGCATTAGAGTCCATAAGATTTGTTTTTTGGTCTTTACTTGCAGGCAGGTAACCACGAACTAGAACACATTGTCAAAGTGAAAAGTCAGTTTGTTCTTTAAGGGATTGTCTGCGGAGATAAGACAATGTTACCTTCTCCTTCTACTGAGGCACAGATGAGCTGTTTCTGTCCGTCCAGCCTGTAATCTCCCTCCACAACCCCAGCCACAGAGGACGAGAAGTTGTCTTTAAAAATGACCTCTCCAGTGCGATCGCTACGTGCGTCAATCTGCATAAACAGAGAGAACCTTTGACATCCAAATTCCAACATGTCGGATACTGAGAAGATGCAGATGTTAAATTGACTGACCTTTCCATTTGACCATCCAGTTATGAGCTCAACTACTCCATCGGCATTTAGATCAAAGGCATGAATACTCATAGCATGATTCTTGGACTAAAAAACAAAACAAAGAACAGTAAATTGACAAGTCGCCTTAATTCCCCCCGGTAGAACATTTTTGGAATATATGATTGTCTACATACAGTACATGCATACTTGTAAAACAAACACTCAATCATATTTTTAGTACAGTGTTGTCATACTCAAAGCCAGGTGGATTAGTTGACAAAAAAATAGAAGATGGAAACAAAATATTTGCCTTTATCCTCCAGTATCGAGAATTGCGATCATAAACACCCACAGTACCATTCGCTAGTGCATAGCCAAATCGACTGTCATGCATATGGCAGAGGGATGTCACTGTCTGTGAGTAAACACAAATACATGTTAACAATCTGGTATTCTATTGTACTTACATGCTCACAACTTACTTCATTTTCAGTCATCTCAGCCACAAGTTCATCCTCTTTGAAAACTCTTATATCAAAGTCTTCAGATCCTACTAAGAGCTGCAAGGGTAACAAAGAACACACATGTCATTATGAATATATTAAATATCTGAAAATGGAGGAATATGCAAGAAAAAAAGTCAAAACCAGACCTCATTTTTTCCATTACCAGTAAAGTCACAGAGAACAAGAGATCGAACATTATCCCCAGTGACCTAGGGCAAAAATATTTTGTAAATGCACAAAGTATACAATATTATACATTATATGTAGATATTTTTCTTACTGTCCAGAAGTGGTCATTCCCTTCATAGTCAAATCCTTGCAGAGCACAGTTTCCTCCAATAATTGCAAGCGGTGTGGGGATGTCTCCAAGTGTGCCCAGGACAATGGCATTGGCTCCATCTGTCACCTTGTTTTGACAAGGACAAGCACACGCACAAAAACATATACTATTACAAATAATACAAGTATATGGCCTCATCCAGGAGAGACTGTTTCTTGCAGCATACTTCTCTGTAGAAAACATCTGCATTGTCATGAACATCATACGCCAGTAGATTGGTTTGAGAGCCGACTAGCAGTGTGTCCCCAGTCGTATTAGGGCCCAATTTTCCAGCAGTTAAACAAGTAACCGCCTGGTTGATGTTAAGAAGCGACACATCAGAGTCTGTGTGCCCTGCAGATCTTTGGCCACGAGCATGGGGGTTGTGTATGAAAACCTGAAAGAAAACATTGCGCTGAATAAAAAAAGCTTATAGTAAAAATAAGGTGTTGACAACACCAGATTTACCTTCCCAGCTTGTGTCGCTGCTGTGAGGCATGGGTGGACGCCATCAAATTTACCAATTGTCACCATTCGAGGGTGTATTTTATGGTTAAGTTTCAATGTAAAGATTGGGACCAACATGTTTCGGGATAAGCTTGCTGTAGAATCTAGAGAGGAAAGCAAAAATAAACAATATTATATTAATTCATTACCTACCAAGATAGCCTTGCGTTAGCCATCCGTACACTCCGCTCAATCATCATGTAATTACTATGGTGTATATATATATATACAGTCTATGGGTGTGATACAACCAGGCTACTACCAAGACAATCCAGAATCCATTTGGATTTGGATATGGGATTGTACCCTTCACTTTCTGTATTACGTTTTGTCACAGCCATACTAATCATGTTGATTTAATTATATTTATTTGTTCATCAATCTACACACTATCTCCACCAGATTATCTCCCCTCAGCAAAGGGCACAGCCTTTAGAGCGTGCCAGCATCCTACCGTCCTTTGGGCATACTCAGAGGCTTCTGTCTCCCCACCCTACCATGATAAAAAAAATGCTTTGAGTGCTGGTGTACTGCAAGTAAGTCTCTGTTTTGATATTAATAAAAAATAACTTTATAGGCAAAGTTACAATGAAGATGAACATCACATCACTGACCTGGACTAATCAAGTATAAAAAGTAATAAAACCAGGGTTCATATAACTCATAAAAAATAGGTTTTACTTATGCCATTGGGTTTATTTTCACCAGAGTTTGCGGTAGATTATATGAATCACTGTCTGGATTCAGGATTATTTTTTCAGAGAGACAGACTGACAGACAATCTCTGGTGCAAACATGATCTACTTGGCAGAGTTAATTTAATTGAACTGGCTTTTCGCGTGACAGAATTGTCCCGTTGCCTAGCAACGTGAAGCGTATGCTAAGGCTATTCACCAGGCTAATCTCTCCGTATGTGGAATCCACAGCCCATTTCCGACACATCTATCATCTATCCATCAGTTTTAATAATAATCTATGGCATAAGAGATCTGTTTATTTGCCGTAAACGCATGTAATCTTAAATTAGACTCAAGCTGAATTCTGACAAAGAAGATTGCACATTTTGCTGCAGTACAAACAACAAGCTAGCATTAGCATTATTTGTAAAACATAAAACATACCGCCTTTGAGATGATTTCACAACGGTACACTCGCAGAAGTCTCCGTTTAGGGATTTTTGTTTTCTTGTCTTTTCTTTTTTAATAACGTATTTATCTGACAGGACTCACAATACCGCCACCTACTGACACGGAGTAAGGACTGGAACTGGATTTATAAATACTTGATACTTCTATGCCTGGAACGCGTTTAAGACTATGGTTAAGACCACAGATAGACTGTGTACATATAGTATATATTCAAACTAATTAAACCAATATTAGCAATAAACTTTCAAAAGAAATTAAGTTAGCACAACTTCAACTGGTTAAATAAATGTGCAACTTGTGGAAATGTTTGCAACCAGTGCGAAACCTACATTATACATAAGGATTATTTATTTACTATCCAAGTATTTATAAAACCCATAGACTGTATATATTAAAACCCTACAGTTACAATTGCAGTCTGAACCTAGGCCTAGAGGGCAGCAGAAGCCAGAACACAACTAAACACGCGCTGATATTCACAGAAGAATAAAGATTTTTTACGGTGGATTTAATGATAATATCTTGGCAGCTAACTTTAGAATTGAGAAACATTCCCGAGATATGGCCACTGAAGCGAAGCGTCTGAAGGTACAGTGGTACTAGCTTTAGCTTAGTTGGTATATCCACTAATTTAAACATCCACCTTTGCTACACGTGTCTATGAGAAAATAACGTGTGTATAATATTGATAAAAATCCAGTATCATTTTCTCTCAAGTTTTTCATCGCCCACTCCTACCACTTATAATTTGTTTATCATTTTTACTATTTGATGTGTGCATGCCTACTTGTATTTGAGGCTAAATCGTTTGACTTGTTATTGCCAGATTGTTGAACATGCAGAAGTTCGTCTCAACACATTTCTCACATGGTGTAAAGACGTCGGGTTGGAGCTCAGCGTGAAGGTACACTTAATTCCAGTGCGGGCCTACAGTTTAGATGTTGTTTCCAGTGTTTTATGCCTGTCATTGTTCAGGTTTGCGTGGGTCATGAGAACACTGTGGCAGAGTATGGGATGTTGGCCAAAGAAGATATTGAGGAAGGAGAGGTGTTATTTACTGTGCCCAGAAAAGCTATTCTTCTTCAGGAGTCATCAAAGGTCGCTGGTGTACTAGCCCAAGGTAGTTTAAGATTACAAACAACTGTAGAAGTTGTTTTCTTTCTTTGTTTTTGTTTTATTACAGAGGAAAATGCCTTAGAGAGTGCCTCAAACTGGGTCCCTCTGCTCCTGGCTTTACTCCATGAGTATACTTCACCTCAGTCATACTGGAGGCCTTACCTCTCTCTGTGGGATGACTTCAGAAAACTGGACCATCCAATGTTTTGGTATGTCAAAGTTTCATCATTATTTAAATGTGATAACTATAACTAAATATTTTGAAATCCTTATTGTATGTACCTTTTTGTAGGCCTAAAGATGAGAGAGATGCACTCTTGAAGGGAACAGGAATTCCCGAAGCAGTGAACACAGATTTGGATAAAATTCATAAAGAATATTCAGATGTTGTTCTCCCTTTGATCACAAAATACTCTGAATACTGGACCCCTAACATACACACCCTGGATCTTTATACAAATCTTGTGGCCTTTGTCATGGCATACAGGTGAGGATCATAAAGACTCCGTTTGGTTTACATACTCATTTACTAAGAGGAAACGTATCTTGGATGTGCTGGGACAGTGTTGTGGCCTGGGGTCCTAGGGTGTTTCAGGTCTCGCAAGAGACACCCTCGCCCAGGTTCCCTGGCTGGGGTTGATCAGGCCCCTTGTGTCCCAGCAGCAGTCAACCCTTTTTTATCCATAGACACCTTATGGCTTTCTCTGCAGCAGCTCTGCTTTCCTACATCAGTCTGCTGCATCCATCCAATCAGTAGCTGTGTGGAGAAGCCCTGATGTTGTTTGCGGGCGCTTTGGTCTTCTCTCCAGGACCCACAAAAAAGCGACAAACTTCTTCAGGCTCTGTTGATGTTTGCTGGTGCTGATGGCTGAGGCTAGACTTTCTGCCACTGCCATTAGCGCCTGGTCATGATGCCACTGATGATGACCATCTGCTCGAGCCTTTGGACAGCTGCTGAGATGTTCATGGGGGCCTCTTCCGGAGCAGAGGGGGCAGAATGTTGTCTCGCTCTTTCCCCACACATATTTTGTTGGGCTTGGAAGGGCATTGTAGACTACTTGAACTAGGAAGCAAACCAGATGGAAATCTGTCCGTATTATGTTTGACCAGCTAATCCTGTTTTGCGGTGCACAATCCCACCTTGTCCATGGCACGCTCCCTGTTTCTGCATCCCCACTGCTCTGCTCACTCTCTCTTCCTCCATGCTAGCTCTGATCTCTTCCTGGAGTCGATGATGTTTCTCCCTCCCTCCAATTCAATTTATTCTTGTATAGCCCTAAATCCCAGTAACACATCTCGGAGGACTTGACAAGACCGTTGAATTCGCCAACACAGATAAGAGAATCAAACACAAGGAATGCAATGATTAAATAAATACATAGAGCCATTGGTCCATAAGAGGCTGATGACCAATGTCCGTATATGTTGATAAATGTCCAGCCACATAACATTATTCTACGTGCTCATTGTAGTTTCCAAGAACCCAATGAAGAGGAGGATGATGATGATGATGATGATGATGAAGATGATGAAGATAAAGCCCCTAATCCTCCAATGATGGTACCCATGGCTGATATGCTAAACCACATTGCAAATCACAATGCTAATCTGGAATTCACACCCGTAAGGAAAACTTTCTAATACAGATTGCTCTTTTGTTATATGCTCTTTTACATTGTTCTGTCTTTTTAGGATAGTTTAAAGATGGTTAGCATACGACCAATTCGTAAAGGTGACGAGGTTTTTAACACGTACGGACAGATGGCAAACTGGCAATTATTGCATATGTATGGATTCACGGAGCCTTTTCCAAGCAACAGCAATGACACAGTAGACATCAAAGTCAGCGACTTCTACATGGCAGCAAAAGGTGAAACAACAAAGCCTTTTTCATGACCTCCTTCAGTTATGAAATGCTCGTGTTATTATCATCTAGGTATCAAATCACATGTCGAGTTGCCACTTTTGGAAGAAAAGTTTAAAATACTGAATCAAATGGAAGGAAATGAAGTGATAATTTTTGGGGTGCAGGGATGTCTCACAGATGCCACCCTTAATACAGTATTGAAGGTGAGGAATGATATTGAAGATGTTATGTCTCTGATACATTGTGCCTGAAATTCTCTTGCATCTCGGCAGGTGTTTTGTATGTCACAGGACGAGTTCTTGGATTTTAAAGAAAATGAAGGGTGGGAAGAAGATGATGATGGAGACCTTGCCTCGACTTTCTCAGAGGAGGGAGTGCTCAAATTAAAGCCCATTTGGAAAAGGCTCATTCATGGAGCAACCAGACTGACTTTATGCGGTTATATGGACGCCAATGAAGTGTTGGATGGAAAAGATCCTGATAAGGTGCTGATTGAAGACAAAGAAGCCTCTGCAAAGTTGAGCTGCAGGCAGCAGAGGGCCTTACATGTGCGATATGGACAGAAGAGCATTTTGTATAAGCTCTTACAACTTACAAATTAACTAATTGAAGAACTTTATACATCACATGTCCAACAAATACTGGCTATCTAAATTGAAATTAGAAGGGCTAGGCTTAACCTATAGTGGAAACTTAGGTTTACAAAAACATCTCAGAAAGTAACATCTGAATAAATACCTAATGTGGCATGAAGTACAATGAATCTGTAAAAATAACTGACCTCACCCAGAAGAAAATCTGTTTTCTACTACAAAAGTAGAAATGCCAAAAATGATTTCTTCATTTTCACTCGCCTTGAGAATCCATCTCCATGCAGCTGTGTGAACCCCTTGTTGGGAAGGACCGGTCCTGCTTCTCACTGGACATGAGTTAATCCATGTGGGCATAGTTACAACAGTGACCAGAAGACCATGCAGAAGAAAAAAAACCTTAGTCAAAAATTATAAGAAGCTCATGCCTAAATCATCTCATGATGCTGGCTGCCTGTCCTTATGGTTTTAGCAAGGTCTCCATCGTTTAAGGTTTTTACAGCTTTTTACATTGATATATGTTGACTAAAGAATTACTTTTGATACCCTTTCTGAACAAATTGAGTTAGGTTATCAGTTTTGGTTCAACCTAAACAAAGATAATTTCCCTAAAACTAATTGCATTTGGGGTCCGTTAAGATTTGAGGAGGAAAAAATTTGATAAACCATGGAATACTGCGGTATTTTTACAGTGGTCAGTAAAAACCCATACGACAGCTGCAGCTCACAACCAAAACATATATTCCACCAGTGTTAATCTCTACACTGACCTACAGAGACTTTAAAGTACTCATTAGAGTATTATAACACTGAGTGGACTTGTGCAAAATATGTGCAAGATATGAAAGCGATACGCTGCTCTGGTCATCTGGGACAGGTTTCCTGTGTCACAAACATCAGGACCAATAAGATTGAAGCAGCTTTAGTTTTCCACTTGCACTCTTCCACATCAATGGAGAACTATTCCAACTATAGGTGTGTTTAAATCAGGCCTTAAAACTTGGAATTCATTTTTAAATGCATTTGCCTAGCCATAGTAGCGTGAGCGTTTCATGTGAGTTGACTCACATGAAAGGCATGTAGAATCTTGACAATTTAACCCTCGCGCTATACTCAGGTCAAATTGATCCACCAGTGATAAAATTGAGTTGAATTTTGACGAACTCTCCTACTTTGACACGCCCTTGATCATTGGGACGTAAAGGGTTTTCTGTACTTGTAATCACTGCGACAGGTCATTTTGACCAGAGAGCAGCACATGGGTAAAGAGCATTGTCCAGAGTTCAAAACCTGACACCCATGCCCACTGGCTGAGCTTCCTAATCTCCAGGAATTGCTTACAAAAATCGCTCCTCAAAATGAAACTCATCTGCAGCCAAATTGTATTTTTTCTGAAACAAAAAATCTAGAAAATCAAATTAACAATATACCCACCAAGCAGTTACTGGGCTGGCTCCTAGTTCAGAACTAGTTGTGGGTGCCAAAAGCAGGCACTTCCCAGTTGAAAAATACAACTACCAGCAAATGAACATGACCAAAGCTAAACCATTTGCTAATAAATGGCAATAGTCCCAGTTTATATTGTAAGTGAAGTGGGAGCCGCTTGGGCATCTGCCAGCTCAGAGTTCCAAGGCATTTGTTCAAACTGGAGTTAGAGAATCACTACTCAGTAATCATTTAAATTAGTGGTAATGGTGCATTACGGTTAAAATGTAATCTTTAGCCCTAATAAATGTAAAAAGGTTTGCCGTAAGTGAGATACACAACAGTAATTAGAAATCTACCAAAACTGCGAGTAGTGTTACCATGGTTTGGCTTCTCCAGAGAGCACCAACCATCACCTTGGTGAAAAATTGGTGGTCACACATTGCAATACATCACATGAATGGACTGATTTCCTAAAATAGGGAAAAATTACATTTTACATTTCATAAAGGTTGTCCACGTGATATTGAACTAATTCCACAATTGACCATCTGAAGATTTCAATGAGGCATTGGTTTACACTTCCTCAAAGAGATTAGTTTCATTTTAACACAATGCAGTTTGATTGCTTTATTTCCTGTATGTACGCATACTGCAATTAAGTAGCAAGAACTAAAGGAAAACTAGAAAGAACTACAAAATACAACACATGGACCAATACATTTACAAAACATTCAAAATGTTACAAAATGGGCTGTATTGGTCCTATTGTTCTTCAATTTGGTTTTTTTTTCTTTTTACAAATTGTCAAGATACAATACCACCATTTTTACTTTTACACAATTTTACAATGCCAGGGAGAGACTGTTTTAGCCATTTCCATAGGCTTTTCCAGCAATAAATGCTTTTTACCAACACATGAGACAGATGGAATAGTCCCCACCCTCTTGTCTCAGGAATAAAAAGGATATAAATAAAAAAGTAGCAGGCAGACTTTCAAATCATCTACTGTTCAGCCTCTGAATGCAAACAAATATGTCTGAAAAGCTCTGTTGAAAGGATGCAAACAAAGGGCTTTGGTAGTGAATGTCAGGATGCAAGTAGTTGACATGTTTAATGGTCTCCACACATCTACTCTCCTGTTCTCCCTTTTTCCAATATTTACATCAAAAGTATATCAAACACCATGTCCAAATTTACTCCAGGTCAAGCAGCCCCAAAATGAAAAGGGAAAAAATTAAATCAGATCGGCACGCAGTAGTCCTTCCATCCCCTTTTGAATGCCTGGTTGCCAGTTTATCCAATGCCAACAGTAAAGAGGGTGGTGTGTGTGGTTGGGAATAGGATAAGGCTGCTTCATCTCTCCCTTCGTCACGCTGAGATGCAGGCTAGCTTGCACCAGTGCCCTCCATCACTTGCTGAGCCTGCTTCTGTCCCATGCAGCACTGAGCAACAGACTGGAACAGTCTGAAAGAAGAAACAAAAGATATCATTTTGAGAGATGTAAAGTAAGAAGAAATACCATAGTGCAAACTTCAAGCACATACTTTTCAATCTCAGGGGCACAGTGTACAAAATCATGGCTCCAGAATTTGAAGGCAGGGTTCTTGATCAGTTCAATGAATGTGATGAGAAGACCCCATGGATGGGGTCTGTTCACAATCAGCCTCTCCAGCAAGACCCTTAAGGAAAATAGATTATTAAAATTGCACACAATTCAAAAAGAATATTACTCTAAACTAGTCATTCACCTGGTTATTTGCTCTTGGATTGCCTCAGTGTTTGCTTCAGCAAAGAGATAAAGCATAGTGCAGCTGAAATAGTGAGTGTGGCTATTGGGGTATCGCAGCTGATTAGCAATAGCATTCAGGAACAAATACCGCCCTGCAATGAAGACATTGTTAAAACAGTTGTCTAAAATCTTAGTTTTACATTTTCATGAATGTGCTTTATTTAACATTTCTAACAATCAAATGATGCCATCTCACCCTCAGTGTCCAGATCCACAGCCAGGTTCTGAAAGATGTCCATGTGTGCAGAGTGAGTGATGGTGCTCATTGAGGGAGTGCTGCCTTTGTTGTGGATGTGAGCAATCGCTTGTGTGCCCACATACAACACCAATGCATTGATCAACTGGATGTTGTAACGGTTTCCTGGCTCATTAGACACCTAGAACAAAACAAGTTATCCCTCTTAATACAAGGACGTGACAGATGCAGAGGACATTTTTCTTGCATCTTCCTCAATAATTGTCAGCATTTTAGTAGCAGTAGTTAAGCCCTACTAAACCTGTTAAGCAGCGGTTTCAAACACACGGCCCGCTGGCCATTTGCAGCCTGTCAAAAAGGTATTTTGTGGTCCAGAATCTAACTTTAAACGCTAAAACTTTCCTCAAAACGTGTGACTCTTGGTTTTTGTGTTTTCCTGTTTTTGTGTCTATTCTATGAGCGCTAATGTTTACTTTCTCTACCGTTAATGATACATAACGAGAAGATGGCAGAGTTTGAAATGTAGAGGTATATTATATTTATTCAGGAGCTAAACTGCATGTGCAAAATAAAAAGCGTGTGCAATTTTAGTGGTTTAATTCCATCTTCTATCTCGGATCTACGAGTGTGCAAAATATATGGACATCAGAGCAAACATGATCCACAAACAACATACCCCATAATACGGCCCAGCTTCACCCAGACTATGTATGCGGCTCCCTATTTTTAGAGATAGTTTATAAATGGACTTTTCCTTTTCCGTACCTGTATATTTGGGCTAAGTAGATTTTTTTTTTTATTTACCCATTTTTTGTATAATATACACACAAATTAACTCATTCACTGCCCATGACGACAAAACTCGTCATGTTGAATAGTAACGCTCACTGCCCATGACGAGTTTGACGAGTTTTTCGTGTTATTACACGGGAGGCTGCAGTAATGTCTGGCGCACCTTGTGAATGACCCACAACACTGATATATAGTGCAAATGTACCTGTAATGATAAATCACCACCAGTAGGATGCAGTATTGCGCCACAGGAGAGGTCATAAGTCAGTGGAGAGAAGGAGGAGGAGTGTGGGAGTGTGAGAGCGTGCTGCTGTAGCATTGAGACGGATCAGCGATCTAGTTTAGCGATAGTATAGCAAGAGTGATGGCGAAAAAGAATAGTTATAAGCAGCTGACACTGCTTCAGAGATTGACTCGCGGATCAGTGAGTGAGGTCGAGAGGGGAGAGAGGGGAGACCCCGGTGGAGGTCCGTCTCTGCAGCTACATTTGCGCAGAGCAAGAGCCCCGAGCAGAGACACACCTTCCGCCTCTCGCAGCGTATCAGCTGCTGTTGTTACTGATGCCTCGGATTCGTTCAGCAAACCTGATCATGATTTATCGGACACACTCACGAACACTCACACGCACTCACTCACTCACTCACGCACACAGACACTCACTCGCACACTGACATTCACACACACTGACATTCACACACACAGACACTCACACACACAGACACTCACACACACAGACACTCACACACACAGACACTCACACACACAGACACTCACACACACAGACACTCACACACACAGACACTCACTCGCACACTGACAGTCTCACACACACACACACACACTCAAATTCACATGCTTCATTCTATTTTATACATCTATAGTTTTATTGATCTTTGTGTTGTTGTTTGACGTTTTGGTTGATGGTATAGAAGAAAGTTAAATTTTCTATCTGAATAAATTGCAATTGGCCATCAAAAGTATTATTTCAGAGTCATGTTTTTATAATTTTTGTAATGGAACAAGTGTGAAGATGTTTTGAGTTGTCACTAAAGCAGCAAAAATGCATCTAAAAGTCTCTTTTCTGCTTGATATGTTCCTGTTTACATACAGCTCGTTTTCTCTGTTTTCTTGCTCAGACCAGGTGTTATGGGTGAAAGTATGCTTTGTTCTATGGCGAATAACGCAAGAACGGTAAGAGGTAGAAACAAACTTTTTTTCAGAGTAAAGCAGAGAGGTGAATCTTTAATTTGGTGCCCTTGGTGTTTACATAGTCTAAAAAATGAATATTCTGTGGCACTTCAAAGTTGGGTCAAATCACCTGAAATTGCTGGCAAAATGCACTTCTCAAATCTGAAAATGCCTGGCAGTCAGTGAGTTAACAAACCTGCAGGTTACTGCGCAGCTCGGACAAAAAAGTGACTGGTGATCGAGTTTTCAAATACGAATCCAAATCCTTCTTGAACTGAGAAGGCATGACGCCTGTGAAGTTGGTAAGAATTCGAGGAGCAATATTGATCTCACTAAGCATATCCACCTGTAACAGAAGGATGTCACATTTAACTTTACACTAAAAGACAAGTTACTTAAAAATGTGACAGACCTTGAGATTGGGTGTGAAAGGGTCAGGGAGCCTCATGTTCCGTGGGAAGGCACTGAGTATGAGGTTGCGAAGTTGAATGCAGTTCGGCGGGATGACGTCACAGAAGCCATAATGGTAGTCACACAAAAACTCTGGGAAGTCATGCAGCAGGACCAGGAGGACTCTTAGGGTTCCCTAAGAACAGTACACAAGGCTTTATTTAATTTGGAAGAACTTGAATTGCATTTATTGCTAATATGAATACGCTTACAGGTGCACAAGGAATTTCACAATGGTAGACTGCTTTATTAAAAGCCTAACCCACCTTGTATAGGATTTGCATAGGTTTGTTGAGCTCAACATTTCTCAGAAATGGGGCCAAGTACTTGAAGAGATCAATCAGTAGCTGTGCATACATAGGCCAACCCTGCAAATGATGCATAGAAAATGTCAAATTATTCAACAGATTATGGACACATTTTGCACAGTTGTGACATACCTTCTGTTGGGGTGTATGGGCAAGCATGCGTGCAATAAAAATTCGATGAGATATGAGTTCCAGCCAAGCATAAACAAACCCTGGAGCCTTCGTAGGTCTCAAGATGTGGAAAGTATTGCTGCAAAGTACAAGTATTTTACCATTTATCAAAAACAATAGTTCAGCACAGGAGTCAAACGTTCCGGAAAGGTTTCAGGGTCTACTCATTTCATCAAGTGAGTCCGGTCTTGACTTGATGAAATGATGTGCTCCTGCTTGGTTAGCAAAAAAACCTGCAGCCCCACAGCCCTTTCTGCAAAGAATGGCACCCCTTTTATTCAACAAAGAAAATAAATACCAGAAGGCAGTCAGTGTTTGGAAGTTGATGGTCTCCAAAACGTGTTCTGGAGCATTAAGCTCCAGAAGAAGCATGATGAAAATGCGATGGTATGGCAGCTGCTGGAACTCAGTCTGACGCACATCATGATCCTGGATCAACACTCCAACTACAATTCCTAGCACCTGTAAACAAAGATTTTAGAGACAAGACTTTTCAAATACCCTATGACATTTCCATACCTTATTGAGGAGGTTTATCTTTGTAACAGTATTTGTTGCCTCTCCAGAGTGTTTCACCAGAAGAGCAATGAGCCGCACAAAGGCATCCAGGTTATGGTAACATTTGGCTCTGATGATTGCGGCACTGGCTGCTGGATTGTGCTGCTGTTCTGCCTGAGCACGATAGCTTATCTCAACACACATTTCAGTACACAGCCGGAAGAACCTTGTGATCAAGTCATCAGTCTTCAGGATCCCCTGCTGATGCATCTAAAAAGAAATATTCTCAAATGAGGTTGCAATAACAAACAACAACAATAAAAAACAAGACGCACGTACCTGGCCAACAAACGCAGAAAAGGCTTTGGTACTGTCTCGTCCAGCGGCTGCAGAGTGGTACAAATTGACCCACTCTCTCAGAAGATATTCTGCCTTCTCCCTCAGGCCAGGAGGATCATCATATTCTGACGCCTGGGAAATTCCAGAGTGCATCATGAAGTTTGGCCCACCATGGGCTCGATCTATCATTGCCTCATAGTTAGATCGAACAACATCCATTAGCTGTGGAAGTCTGGAAGGAACAAAGGAAAATTTCTAAGTTTAAATATTAGAAAAAATATAATTATTAATACAAATAAATAATTATATATAGCTTCCTGCCATATTCCTCCCCAAAGCTGATAGATGGAGACATTTGAAAAGGGATGTAATTAGGGGTGGGCGATATGGCCTAAAATTCATATTGCGGTATAATTTGGGACACAGACGGTAGACGGTATATATTGCGGTATAATTTGGTGTGTGAATTTCAATATAGGTCTAACAGGTTCTTGCATAAATTAGTCAAGATTGTTACTTATATATTAGAATCTAGTATATATATTTTTTATACAAAAAACAAATGCTGTAACATACATTATTTATGTATGTTACAGTAAAGACCATTTACTGCAAAAGCAAAAAAAAAAAAAAGAAAAACATGTATTAATTTGAAATATTAAAATAACTCACAAATGTTGAAATCAAAGTCTGTAGCAGTTAGATATGGTCATTATTTATAGTGTCTGAGAGTTTTGTGCGGGTACATGGCTTCAGTAAAACCTATTCGTTTACAAAGCTGGTCTTGCCTTTGTTTGACGCTCCCTAAGCGATTCAATGGATTTATGTGCATTGAAACAGCACATTGGATTTGAACAATTTATGTAAATGGTAATTTTGGCACAATTCATTTTGTTTAACAAAGTAGCTTTTGTGAGCTATTGACCGCGGAGGTCCGAATCTGACGCTAACTTTCCCAAACTTCTGATGTTCATCACATGCTGCGGACACAGCACACGCATGGATCTATTTTGGCTCATGCTGGCGCTTCGAGCCTACACGATTGGCCTAAAGTAGAACACTTAAACTGTGATTGCTGTGTGTGTATTTACCTCTGCTGGGGCCGCTGTGACAACAATACACAGACAGAAACACGGTGTGAATGCCGCGCTGTTGTTCGCTGTTTCCAGTGGTGTCTACTAGGCTAATAGTGCTAGGCTAATGCTGCTAGGCTAATGCTGCTGAATGCCGGTTTGTTTTGGTCCTTTCTGCTGGCATCAGACCCTGCGCAATTTGATGACATAATGACCTATCGCAATATGCCGGTAAAACAAAAATCTCTACCGTGGGCCAAATTTATATCGCATACCGCTTATACCGTTTATATCGCCCAGCCCTAGATGTAATGATTCAAATATCCAACTTTGCAAATCGCCTCCTAGTTTGTCTAATTACAAACTAGCCTGCAGTACCACGGACACCCCCTGTGCCCATGGGTGGGACAGCTAAATAATACCCTATCCAGATATTATTTTAGATCCATGGCCCATAACCTACAACTATAACCTTCCACCTGGGCTAGTGGTAAAAAAATAAAAATAAGTTTGTCCTACAAATTAAAAGGTTCACCAAGGGCTCCATAAAATGATCAACTCAAAACATTTTTAAAAAGCAGCTCTTTACCCCTCTGGTGCATTGGCCCGCGAGTGTGCACAAATCCTCATTAAAGTCTCTATGGTGTGGAAGAGGTCAGCCTCTGTGACATGGCTCACACTACGTTCATCCACAAGCAGCAGCTTCACCAGCTGCATTGCAAAAGCAACTGCCATATAGTGCATTCCATTCTCCATTGACTGAAAAAAAGGAAATCATTTTTAAATGAAGTGCTCAAGAAAGTATGAAGGGCTACAGATTATACCTGTGCCAGATGCAAGTCATATTGCTGCATGTTCACAAGATGGTTTCTTATCAGAAGTTCAACTGCTTCGACATTGTACTTGTACTCATCTCGGCATTCAATGAGACACCTGTGAACAGAAGCGACACCTTGAATTTTTGCACATTTTCATTTTTACAACCATTAATTATATATATATTTTTTAACTCATCGACTGCCAGCCCATTTCAGAACAGATACTTCCATATTGCCAGCCGTTTCTGATGGTTTTTTACTTATTTTTAAAGACCCACAGAATATTGTGTACTATGACTATCTGAATTCTATTCTATAAAAGAATGGACTGTACTTTCATCAGCAAAAATAATTTTGTTTCTAGCTTTTTTCGTTCCCCTGTAATCCTCCGTCAAGTAGAGGGAAGTTTTACTTAAATCACCAGAAAGCTGAGAAAAAAAGAGGCACAACATGTGCATTTAGCAGTTTTCAAACCATTCAGAGCAATGCTGCCACCTGCTGGCTAGATAAAATATGGTCTCAAGCAATCCCCATACATATTAGATACAATCAGTGTTGTGCGTGAATGAGTTCAAAAGAACGCGTTCATTGAACACGCTCATTTTTTCGTGAACGTTGAACTGAACGCAACACATTTTTAAAAAAAGAACTTGAACGTGAATTAGTTCATAGTGATGTCTGCCGTTCATGACACATAAAATTAACGTTGGAATCTGTTTTCTTTTTTGAAACGCAACGAGAGAAAGTTCCTCCCTCCTGTATTCTCGCACTTTTTCCGCCGAAATCTAAAAATTCCTACGGTTTCCACAGTCTGAACGCACCCCAACTGTGTTGCGGTGCGGCACTGTGAGCTGGTGCTTTTCACATATGCCCAAGTCGTGATGAAAACACAGGGTGAGTTAGCGACAAAGTTTACACCGTTTACATTTGACATAAAGTATAGACACACGCACTGCAGCGCATTACTGTCTGTAGTTTATGAGCAGAGATGGAGCAACTGTTTTGCTCCCATTGAAAACCATGTAAATCTAGTCTGTTTTGTAGTCAAAAGGCTCTCCTGTGGGTGTACAGGAGATTTTTATTATATATATATATATATATATATATATATATATATATATATATATATAATCTCGTAGTGTGAAAAATATATTTAAGTATCTCACGAAAAAAGTAAAATGAACTGAACTTTGAACTAGTTCAGAATTAAAAATGTGAACTTTGAACGTGAACTGTTCACTTTGAGCATGTATGAACTGAACTTGAACTAGTTCAGAAAAGCTGTGAACTGGCACAACACTGGATACAATAGACATCTGGGAACATGAAAATGGCGGGAAAGGCAATTGACGTATTAATGCATCACACACAATGCACACAACGTTACTATTTACGTATTTGTGCGTCAATGGCACACAATTAGTTAACTTAAGTATCTTTTGCCAATTCTGTTACTTTTGAGTGATCCTTAATTTTGATGTGAACTTGCTGAATGTTCACACCTTGCCCTAACGATTAAAAATAGCTTATTTGCATGAAATCTCAGTATAATTAGAGCTGTGTATTAATCAGTATACAGCATCATGAAGGCAAAGGTAGACACCAGAGGTTTGTTGTAGTAATGTTTGTAGCATGGTTGGGATTTGCAAACCTTTCCAAAGCTTTGAACACCAGAGCACTGCAAATCTACCCATAAGGATTGGGGATTACATGGAGTATCAACTTTTGCTGCATGATTGCTCATTCATTTTATGTCGTTAAAATAAAATATCTAAAATGAAATATTTAAGTTTGTAACATACGACAGAAGACAACTCCCGCAAATTTTGTAATAAGTAATATTGCATGGCACTACAACTCCCTTATATACAGCTGTTACGCATGCGTTACCTGGTAATCTGCTTGTTACACCACTGTGGTCCATAAGCACGGCCATCCTGTAGGGCTTTGAGCACCAGCAGGTGACACTCTCTGTAGCGCAGTAACAAATCAGCATCTGCACCACTGGTCGCATCCAAAAGACCCTCCACAGCCTAAATTGTACAAATATATGAATCACATGACTTTTTGGTAACAAAAAAAAAAAAAGAAAAAAAGTGATACCTTCTGAAGTAGTCCCAGAGCAGCAATGCCATCTCTAGAGTTTCTTGCCAATGCCACAGCCTCAAGCAAACTGCGTAGAGCCTGAGTTAACGGATTCATTGCCAGTGCTGGAGGAATGGCATGAAGATGCTGCTCCAAATCAGCCATGCACTTATCATAGATTTGGGCAACATCATCTGTAGCCCATGCCTGTTGCTAGAATATATAAAAGATTAAATCATTATGCATAAAAGTCGGCCCCAACACCACCCTGAACAGTGTGTGCGCTGTTTATTCTACAGTGTGAATAGAAAACATGCGGGGGATACATAAAGGGGTGCCAGTCAAATAAACAGATGCAAATAGGAGAAAACTGAAAGTGGGGAGGTTATAAAATTATTAAGAACATTTTGAGATAAAGCCATCTATTTGTCAACTTGTTTTATGGCGACAGAACATTAAGTAAATTAAAGGATGCTAACCAATGTTACATAGTTGGGTCTATGAATACACCCTGTAGATACATTATAAATACACATACACAAAAAGACAAACCTTCATTGGTTGAGCCAAGAAGCCAGTGGGCTGAGAGAGATCATTACTGGGCAAGAAACCTGGAACATTCCTGGCAAACTCTTCATAGACTGCCAGTTGTTTGGGATCCACTCCACCAACCTATTAGGTGACAAATTACAGGTTCAAATTTTTTTTATTTTTTTCAAGCGCCATCAAATCTGATTCCTTACCTTGAGCCGTATCTGCTCAGGCATCCGTTCAGCCTGGTAGGTTAGAACAACAGGATCACAGTACCGTCGCCCTTCTTGACGTGCATGTTTCCTGAGCTCAAACTCCTTAAAACATTTTTAAAACATTTTCAGTTATCGGCACATTTTACTTGACACTATAATAATTGTACATTGCAAGGCAGACATTTTTATTGCATACATATAAAGTCAGTATGAAACGGACTAGGTTGTTGCAGATTGTGACATGACAGTGCAAAAACTTCTGGCTAGATCATCTCCACACCAAGTTTGGAGTCTTCCTACATTAACTATCCTTTATTGATCCATGGGGTTGGATGTGCACACTTAAAAAAAAAAAAAAAAAAAATCACTGGTAAAATGTTAAGATTATCTTTCCCTTATTAATTTTGACTTTCATCAGTTTCTTTTGGAATGAAAATAACGTAGACACAGAAAAATGGCTTTACTACCGTGGCTAGTCTTTTGTCCATTTCAGGCCCAGCTTTCTCCACAGCTGTTTTTTGAATGAAGCAACATGCCAGTTCACAGTTCTCCTGAGCAAGCCGAGCAGCAGCCTCTTCCATCATTTCTCTCTGTTGAGGTGTTGGGGCCTGAAAAATGTACATTTTAAAATACAAGTTAAAGCATTTTGTGGAGTTCCTCTATATTTGCAGATTTATTCTACTGACCCTAAGCCCAGCTGCAAAGTTGTTTTTTAGGTTTGTTGCAATGCTCATGAGCAAAGGCTCACGACAGGTTATCATGGCCATGCCTGCGGTCAAATTTCTCATCATGTGGTGAGCAGCAACCCGCATTCGGGACTCTTCAGAATCCAATGCAAAATCCTTCCTGATGATCTGCTCACAAGTTGTCATAGCTATTTTGATTGACCGATCAACCACAGGATGAACCAACTCCTGGACAGCTCGTTCAATTGACTGACGAACACACTGCTTGAGTTGAGGGTGGGCTTGTAAAAGGGCCAGCTGGAAGGATTTTTCAAATGTTAAATACATTTAAAATATTGATGTGGTAATCACTCAAATAATAGGTTAGTCCACTTACATTGGTACTCATGTTAATGTGTGGGGATAAACCAGCCAAGGCATATACATTGATGTCATGGTAACTGAATTGTGGTGTTGGAGGACCCGTGGTTGTGCAAGTTGTAGTGGTGGCAGCTGGGGTGGATGGTGGTGCAGGAAACGGCACAAAGTCTCCTGTTGGCCACAAAATTGTTCAATGGATTTTCCCACAATAAGTCCAATTTCAAAATAAGAAAAATGAGGAACATACCTGAAGTTGATACAGGGAGCAGCTCCTCTGGAGGTTTTGCCTCTTTTTTTGGTGCAGAAAGTTGCTCCTCCAAAGTCTTCAGTTTTTCTTTATCTTTCAGTAAGTTTCCTGGCTTTAGATCATTGATGTCCAATGACAGATTTTTGCAAAGCACTTCAATCTCAAATTTAAGGTTTAGCTGCAAAGTAAAACAAGAATGTACATTAAATAAGAGTATGAATTATTACCAAAATTATACTGTGGTATAATGACTAACCTTCAGATCATGTTCCTGATGCAGTTCAGCGAGCACATTCATTATGGCCATGGTCCATGGATTTTGCGGCCTAAAAACCTACAGTAAAAGAGACAATGGCAGACTTCATAGTTGTAATCATAAAAATGCGCTAGTGCACATCCTGCTTACCACACTTCTGAGACTGGATTCCAATACTTTTGCCACAAATGGAACCACGTAAAGCAACTCCTGCTGGCCTTTGACATACGCTTCCAGAAGAAGAGATTTTAGTTCCAAATCCTGAAAAGTTGAAGGAATTAGTGTGGGAGAAAAAAATACTTTGCGAGAAAAGAATACGCAACAAAAAAAAAAACCTTACAGTGTAGAGTATTGGCTTGTTTTTAGCCAATGTGATCATGCCTAACCAATGGCCCAAGTTCTTCAGCAGAGAGCGGTCTGAAAAATTGGCCGCTGCCTTATCAGACGTCAACAAAACCTGAAAAAATTGCAAAGTGAAAATAAGACATAATTTAATAATCTATTACACAAAAACATCAATTAACGTGTAAATTCTCACCTTTATGTTCCGGTAAGTTTCAGTAAGAACCATCTTCACAAACTCTGGGTTCTTCAGTGTGTCAAGAAAGTTGGAATACAGGCTGTGAAAATTAGGCTCAATGCTGACCCTCTTCATCACCAGATACTGCGAAACCCATGGCATGAACTCTTCTTTTACAGTTTCCTTTAACTCCTCCACCTGAAACACGCAAAAATAAGTCACTGTTCACTGTGTACAGTTAATATACAGCGAGTTTTTGATTACCTTTTGAGTCATGTTGGATTGTGAAAGGTTGTTGAAGATGAATGCTATCTTCTCCTGTACATTCTCTGGAGGTTCTACAATTCTTTCATTTTGGTCAGTGGCAACAAGGAGGGTGTCAATGTTTGTAGTGTTTATAGAAGGCTGAAAGAACAACAGTATTGTCAAATTCATAGATAATACGGGATGTCTCACATCGAAATAAATATATCTAAAACATTATTATAAAAAACATAAAACACGGACGTCCAATTGAGTACTTGTGGATGTATTCCTCCTCAGAACAGTGACACCCTATCAGGAAAAGAGCGCCAGTGCACAGTGACTTCTAAATATTCAAGGAATAGTTCAGCCTCCTTTGGGGAGCTGTTCAATAAACCTAAAGGTTTGAAAATTCAGTCAAAATCAGTGTTGCATATTTTTGTGCTACCACAAACTTGTATGTGTACTTTTGTTCATGCACCTCTCACATTTCTTAAACTTTGTGTTAGGGTTAGTGAATGCATTGGCCTTATATTCTGTCCGGAATTTATCACTGCAGAAGCACTCACACAAGTGTGCAAGCATACGTCCTTATAACAGTGCTACAATGGAAATGTCATTAGGCTCGTATATCGGATCAATGAAGATAATCAGGGCAAAAACTAGGTGGACCAATCAGTGGCCTTGATCATTGAAACCAGGAACGTCTTGTAGTTAAGGCAACTACTCCAATGCAGCTTTAAATGCCTTCGATCAGTATTTCATTGGAAAAATATTTGCGACAGAATCCTGATTGAATTATCTCTGTCTGCATTCGTACGTGGATTTACAGCTCAGACGGACGCATGGCAAAGACAGTGGAGCCTCTTCCATTCACTCTCCACTGGTTACATGAAACATGTCAAAATAGTTTCCTTAACAGCAGGAGTTGTGGGTCAATATCTTCTCTTAAGTGGATTCAAACAACGCACCCATCTCACCATTAGGACTGAAAACTTCAAAACATTAAACTTGTTTTAATCCACTGTGGTTCCTGAAAAATGCCCCAGGCATCTAATTTAGAGGCATCATGTAGTTCTCCAATGGTATATGAACCAAATTTCCTATTTGGTTTAACCGCTTACCTTCATATTCTAACCCTGACCCCATCCCCACTAGAGATAAAGGGAGCAGAGTATGAAGCAGTCCATCTTCAACCGTCCCCCCAAATCTCCATTCTTTTTTTTGTAGATTACGGTCATTTTTCTCTTTTCTTGTAAATTTAAAGACATTTTCACCGACAGACCAGATTACAGGTATGTGTATAAAGCACTCACAGGAACATCTTTTTTGAAGCCACTTTGGGTGGGCCTTGTGATGGTGGTGGTCTTTGCTACTGTGGCGGTAGTGGTGGTAGTAGTGACCAGTGTGCTAGTCTGACCAGGCGGGGGAACTTTTGGGGCACCAGGTGCTTGAGGCTGGGTCTGTGCTTGCACCTGGGCCAGGGCAAGACTTCCGGGAGTTGTAATGGAGCCCTGCATCTTCACTGGAGGGTCCCGTGACTGTTGACCATACTCGATATACTGCACACACAGGATATGAAAAAGACAGATCACAATTACTAATTGTATGGATACACGTTACTTTTGCCTTTAATAAATACAGTATGAAGCCAATAAACTGAAAATTGGATACCTCTTGTAAATGGTGAGGAAACTGCAAGAAGTGGGCAATCGATGCCAGGTGTTGACAATATTGAGGATAGTCCTTTAATCTGCAATTAATTGTTTTTATTAGAAAGACAATTCAGTTAAAAGATAAGTTAATTTTGAAGAATCTACCTGTTCTTAAACCGATCTAAAGCCGCAATTCCAAAATAATACATTTTGGACCCAAAAGGTTTCCTTAAGGCTTCAAGAACATATCGCAGCGCTAATCCCAATGCCATGTAAGTGACCAATCCCTTCTCAATAATGCCACCGAAAAGGCAAGCAGTAATGTGCAATTCCTTGTCTGGATACTGTGGGAAGAAGCGGTATTCTTCAAACAAATTACGCAGCATGCAATTGAACACTTCTCGTTCTCTTTTGATGGTAGAATCTTTGAATCGTTGCAACATTTCCAACACCTGTTAAGAAAAAACAAATGAATTTTATATACAACAAGGAATACAGGGTATTGTCTCATATAACAATATAAAAAAATGTATGCACATACTTCATCTACAGACATGGTAGGGTGAGGTGGGTGGTTGTAGATGCGCTGGAAGTAGCTGTTAGCTTCATCATCTATCTCCTTACTAAAGTGCTGGTTTGCTTCGGGCCACACCTGGGATAGGTCAGCTAAAGAGAATATAAAAGCGCAATGGTAAAAAAAAAATACAAGACAAAATCCACATTTCCATGCATTGCATGTGCACAAAGGCAAGTGAGGTTGTCAGTAAAAGCAGACGTGAATGACAGACTGGCCTGCATCTTCTTTTTTCCTTATAGAATTTTTTATTAAAAAAAAAAAAACTATTTAGGGGAGATGTGCCAACTATTTGTGTACCTCACTGTAAATCATTGTGCTCAGCACAGTTAAAACACCCCGAGCCGGCTGCACATGCAGAGTTGTCTCTTTATGTAGCCGGTTAGCCGCCAAAGCCAGTTCTTTGTCATTTCGGCAAAGAATAGAACAGCAAAAGCAAACAAGGGGCATGGGGGTTGCTGAAAAGATTTGAAAAACAGTGGAGGACAGATAAAGAAAAAAAAAAATTCTTTAGCAAAGAAAACACTTGTCAAAAAACTTGACTTAAGTCATTATAAATTAAGGTAAACATCTGTCATTTGTGAGAAAATGCAGTTGAGCAGTGTTGGACAGGCTCTCAGTCACACCACGACTACCTCCACTTACAGGCCTTAATCTTACTCTGCTGAAATGTAGGCGGATTCAGGCCTGGTGTGCTCATCTTTCTGGTACTGAAAGGATCAGTGCCAACAGCTGGCATCCCCAAACTAGAGCCTATACCAGAGCCAATTCCTGAACCAAGAGGACCTAGCAAAAAGGGAAGGATTACAATTATTCACAAGTTGTTAATGGCTTAAAGATGCTATACCCGTTTTTTTTTTATTTTTATGAATTCATAAAAATGCTTATTACTACATACAAGTTGTATTATAATCCATAATTTAATTGAAAACTTGAGCTCATTGATTCAGCTTGTGTATGAATTCAGGCCGTAAAAAGTGCTGAGTAGAGACCAGAGTGTGACGCTCGCTCTCCACTCACAGAACAAGGAGGCGCCGCCTGTTATGAGCAGGCGGCGCTAAACATTAAAACCTTGCAGAAACGGGTATAGCTCCTTTAAGTAATAGTAAAGGCTGGGCAATTGACACTTTACCACAACATATCAATTCTCCTTCACCCACCCCTTTTAGAAAAAACTACAGAAAATAAAACATTTGTTTGTATTGTTCCTAAAACAGCAGAAAAGGGTGTCCCTCCACACTCATCACATCAGAGGGACAACAACAACAGCTTAATTTTAGCAGCAGGCTAAACACAAAAGTATTGTGCGTATGCTGACATCACAATTAAAATCCAAGGCTGTGCTTTTTATGGAAACAATTCTGTATGGAGCTCCCCGTTTACTCTTGCAGAGGTGGTAGAAATACATTTTTATTTAATAACTCGAGAATTCAATTGCCCAGCCTTTTTTAGAAACAACATATTTTTAAAAAGAAAAAAATTGTACCAGAATCCATGCCAGGAAGCTGTGATGACAAACTGCCAATACCACCAAATGGTGTGCTTGGATTGGCATTCGATAATGGTGGGAAGGCCTTTGCTGGAGACTGGGGATTACTAAAGGCAGAGCTCAATGAGGTGGGGAAACCTTGCATGCTTTGAGTATGAGATGTGGCTGTGCCTCCCAAGTTGAGGGATCCCATCGCAGCCAAAGGGTCCATCTACAAAAGAACATTTATAACAGTTATAAAACTATTTTATACGGTGCCTTGCAGTATTACGTTTCTGTACATTTGTTTGTACACACAAGTAACAGACAACTGTCAAGTGAAGGTACAAATTATACATGATTGTCATTTTTCAAAAATAGAAGACCAAAGATTTGGCCATGCATATTTATAAGAATTTAGCTTTGTGTTGAGGGTCATTGTCCTGCTGAAAGGTGAATCTTCGCCCAGCCTCAATTTTCTTGACTAGCAGGTTTTTAGACTCCGTTAGCTGTAAATGAGTCAACCTGTATTAAGAACATAGCAGCTACTTATATTAGGGATGTAAAAAACTATGAATTTTCATGACCGACCACAGAGCCTCATTAACCGGTTGAAACCGGTTAACCGCGTAGTTTAAAATATTCCACGTTCTTTGAAATAACAGCCATTTCGAGTCATGTACTTTTCATAAGAGCAGCTATGCGTTCTACTGGATCAGAGCTGAGACAGCGGCGCCAAAACCCGCAACAGCTTCGGCACCTTTGCGCACAGATAACTGCAGACTTGGAGATTCTTATCCATTCTTTTGTTTCCAGTAGGCTGGATTACTGCAATGGCCTGCTCACAGGTATCTCCAAACATGCAGTAAAACAGCTGCAGTATATTCAAAATGCTGCAGCCCGAGTCCTGACTAGAACCAGGAAGTACGACCACATTAGTCCGGTCCTCAGGTCTCTGCACTGGCTTCCCGTGGCCCAGAGGATAGACTTTAAAGCAGCTCTCCTGGTGTACAAGTCTCTCCATGGCCTTGCACCAAAGTACATCCATGATATGCTAGTCCCATATGAACCAGCCCGGACTCTGAGGAGCGCAGGGACGGGACTCCTGTTAGTGCCCAGAGTCAGGACTAGACAGGGGGAGGCTGCTTTTCAGATTTATGCAGCTAAAGTCTGGAACAGTCTTCCTGAGGATGTGAGACTGGCTGCCTCTCTGTCAATGTTCAAATCCATGTTAAAGACTTTTCTTTTTTCCTGTGCATACAACTAGAGAATTTTATCTTTTTAACACACCTTGTTATTTATTGTTGTAACTTTTTGTGTTTAACAATTTTATTGTTTTTAATTATTTGTGTGATTCTTATGTTTTTAAATTACTTATGTGTTTTTAATTGTATTTTAATGGTGATGATTTGTGCATTGTGTGGTGTGGACTGTGAGGCGCTTTGTGTTGCCCTGTGCAGGAAAAGCGCCCTATAAATAAAGATTGATTGATTGATTGATTTTTAATCTTCCAATTCTGCTGTGCTGCGGGTTAAGCAAAAGACGGCTCGTTCACATGGTCAGAGCAGCGAGTGACGAGCCGCATCTCGCAGGTCTCCTTTAAAGTTTAAATACAGTGATGTGTGTGGAGCTGATCTAATGACAAGGACCAGCAGCAAAAACATGGTCCATGTGATTTGACTGGAGCCGTATTGCGAGGATCCTTTGGGCTCTGTGACAGAGGAGCGCGACAGACCGGTATGTGTGTGTGTACAATACATGTATGTGTGTGTAAATATAAGCTCCAATGTAGTTCTGACCTGCACTAGTGTGGAACTTTGGCAGTAACAGAGGGGAGAGATGATGCATGTGGATGTTACGTATGGAGGGGGGGGAAAGTGTGTGTGTGCGGCATGAAAGTCGTCCCAAAATTTACTGATACATTGGCGTACACCGCTAATTACGGACCTGCTCGTCACACCGTGCAAATAGGGCTTAATATAGCGTTATTAAGAGACCTCCCCTCTCCCCCTTTTCTTATTTTTAACCGACAGCTTTGACCGGTTAACGCTGTGACGGTCAACCACCAGTTAAACGGTCACCGATTTACATCCCTAACTTATATTCTATATTTTGTGTGCTCCCTGTGTCCTCTTACTACTTTCCTGCAACATTGAAATTTCCCCACTGTGAGACGAACAAAGGTTCCCTTATTCTTCAAAATCGGGATTTGTTATGGCCTCATTTCCACAATGGCTTTCTTCTGGCCATTTGTGTGCAGTACGGCTGATAGTTGTTCCATGTACAGCGTCCCCTGCAGTACTTCGCAGCTCTTCCAGAGTCATCTTAGGGCACTTGGTTTGCCTTTCTGACCAGAGCTCTCCTTGTTCGAACTATTGATTTATGTGGACAGACGCGTCTATGCAAGTTCACAGTGGTGCCATTCTCTTTCCTTTTACGAATTACGGATCAACAGTTTTCTGTGAGATGTTTAAATCTTGGGAACTCTCAGGTGCACTCCTTAGCCTCCATGATGCTGACCTTAGCTAAGAGGTCCTCAGAGAACAGCTGTATCTATACTGAGATTAAATAGAGGCCACCTGTGTGTAAACATTAAAGGCAAGGAGGGATTTTTTTTAAGGCAATTTAATGCAGTCAGAAAAAAGCTATATGAATAACTCACACCCTACTTTTTACTTTATTTTCAAAATAATCTTTTGCTTACACAAGTTGTTCATTACTTGTGTAAACTTTCAGTAAAATTTTTTATATAAACCTGACAAAAATGTGCAAAAGTTCAAGATGTACCAGTTCTTTCGAGAGGCACTGTAGCTATTAAACGGCAAATGCAGATGCAAATGCAATTCACAACAAACCTGAACAGGAGAAATGGCGTCGAGGCTGCTGGTGCTTGGGGCACGTCCTTTCGGCATTACCCCAGGAGGAGGCTGTCTGGGTTTATTCATGACATTACTGCAATTTGCCACCATGGTCAGTATCGTCTCAGAAAGTTCTTGTGAGACACTCCTGAAAGCATATAGTATAATGGAAACATTTGTCTCAGAAAATTGATTTGAAACAAAGCCTTTGAAATGATAAAAGGACTACTAAAATCAATAAGAAATACATACAAGGTATGTACACAAAAGTGTCTTCGATTCAGGAGCTAGTGTACTAATTATGCTACTTTGGTAACACATTTTTCTCTTACATATTTGATTTCTGTTATTGTTCATAGTAGTCCTCTGCCATGCAAAAGAGATAATGACAAAAAGTGTGCAATCTTACCCAGCACAGGATTGCAGGCATGCCAACATAGTCGCCAGGGTCTCAGGGGGTAACTGGGCGCTTTTTGGTTGATCCTTGTCTGGGGTCAGACCACCCATAATGGAAGGGCAACGTCTTTTAAGGAATGTTACACATGCCTGGATGAAAGGTTCCTGTAAAAGAAAAAAGATGTTAAAAGTTGTATTGGCAGTTTTCAATGCAGTCAATTAAAAAGCATTACTACTTTTACTCCATTTACCCCATGTTCTCTAATCTTGTCTGTCAGCCATTTGTCAAGTTTGAGGTATTCACGACGAGAGGCAAGTGCAGCAAGGTCAATGACAAAGGCGAATGGGGTTCCATTCAGAAGCATTGATAGAGACTGGGACAAAGGACAATTAATTAAAAACTGCAGTTAAAAAAAAAAGATGGCATAAATGGTCAGTACTAAACCTTCAAGTCTTGAGCAACATCCAGGATACGGGATAGCTTTGCTTGGTCATACTGCTCTCCTCTCATGTACCACTCAGCCATCGAATGCATGATGAGCTGCCGGATGGAAGGAGACTGTCCCTGAAGAATAAAAAATAAAGTTAAATATCATCTATGTAAACCCCAAAGCCCTTATAATATACACATTTACCTGACCGTGCCAGGCATAGTGCAAGATTATAGCAGAGTTAGGGTGATTGCCCAGAAATATGGGCATCAATGTTGAAATGAGCTCATGCCGAAGTTGATGCCAGGATGTTGAGATCTGCAGCAGTGCCAGCACCAGCATGTCGGGACAGTGCTTTATTGGAAACGTAAACAGCTGCTTCACCTGCTCATAGTGACCCACTTCAGAGAGTCTAAGAAGACTTTCTACAAGGTCAAGACTTTTCCTACAAAATATGAAATAATTGAAAAGTTTTATTGAAAGAATACGTAAAAAAATAATATCAACCCGATGCATACCATGTGGCAATTTCTCTATTGTCATCTTCTGGCGGTGCCTTGAGGATGTCAATTGCCACTGTGTGGCAAGGATAATCCGCAAAGCAAAACACTTCAGGGCTCATCAGGGAGTGTTGTATGAAGGACAACTGAAGGCACATATGATTTTGGTTTAGTAAACATTCTGGAAATAAATTACTATAGCTCTACAAACAATTTTTACAGCTACCTGACCCTCAGCATGTTTCCATGGCCGATAGATGAGATCAACAGGAAAGACCTCAAGGCCTAATCCCCTCTGAATACCGTACACCACAATATGAAGGCCTTTACTGTCGCGGATGAGAAAGCCTGGGTGGTCCAGTTCGTATGTCACCTCTTTGAAGTTAAGGTTGGGATTCTTTAAAAAAAAACAAAAAAAAAAACAGATGAAATTATTTTGTCTTCTGCATGAAAGTAATTTGAAAGAATTTGCAGAGATTCAACCATGAATAACAGCAATTACAGCATTCAAAACAAACTAGAGTTTAAAAGACTTAACTGAAACACATTTACCAGTAGTATACCAGTTTTATCCATCATTGTACAGATTTTGTTCTGAATTCTATCAAATAACTTTTTGAACATACATCTTTTGTATCGACCTTCTGGGGCGCATTCAAACGATTTTACATTTCCACTTGAAAAAACCTGGAGCGACCAGAGTCTCAAAAGGTTCATGGAATTTCAGCATCTTTTCATATGCAACAGAGGTTTTGAATAGTCAATTACTTTGGGGCATGAGTGGTAATTTCTCATCCTTAAACCCCTACAATTATTGGGCGCATAAAAAAACAAAAACTAAAACACATTCTCTTGCCCCAATAACTAATTAGCCAGCAAAGTGAAAATGAACTAGGAGACAAATGTGTCAACTAAACATGCACATACTGTTTGTGTTTAATTATTTAACCAGGAAAGTCCCATTGAGATTATGAAACTCTTCTTCAAGGGAGTCCTGGACAAAAGTTACATACAATGAGATTCATGATCAAAAATTGAGTCCAAAAGATTAGCATACCGGTTAATGCTTAGAAAAATCAGGGCCTGGTATTAAACATTTGGGAATAAAGGTTTAAGTTGATAAAATAAAAGTTTATACCACTTCTTTGACGACGTCGATCAGAACCTCAACATTCCAAGTCTGTGACTGAGAGGCATCATTCTTATCTTTCCCATCACTCCAGATACCCCCTCCAGGAGCAGAGATTGACTGCAGAAGAATATATTTTGCATATTTGGCTTAATATTTTTGTTTAACTATGAAAGATTATTATACAAGGTTAAAAAACAAAATTAGAGGCTCACCTGCAATGGAATACCGTCAGTAAGACCAGAATGGGTACGAGCCATCATGCCCAGAACCCTTGCCACTTGACTAGCAGTCACTTCTCTTCCCCCATACTGGAGGATTATGTTTCTGCATTCATCCACACTAGAAAATAAGACAAATAATATTAATCATCCATCCATTTTCTTCCACTTCATCCGTTAACAGGTCGTGGGGCAGCAGTCTAAGCAGAGACGCCCAGTCTTCCCCACCCACACTTCCTCCAGCTCAACCAGGGGACCCAAAGGCGTTCCCAGGCCAGCTGAGAAACAAAGTCCCTCCAGCGTGTCCTGGGTCTTCCCCGGGGTCTCCTCCTGGTGGGATGTGCCCGGAACACCTCCCCAGGGAGGTGTCCAGGAGGCATCCGAAACAGATGCCCGAGCCACCTCAACTGGTTCCTCTCGACGTGGAGAAGCAGTGGCTCTATTCAGAGCTCCTTCTGTGTGATTGAGCGCCTCACCATATCTGAAAAGGAGCAACCAGCCACTCTGCAGAGGAAGCTCATTTCGACCACTTGTATTCGCAATTGTATATTAATCATTCATCCATTTTCTTCCCCTTAATCCATTTCTGGGTTGGGGGGGTGGCTGTCAGAGCTGCACTTAGTACACTTAGCACCAGCCCCTCACTGATCCTCCTGCAGGTTGCGAGTCCACAGGAGCTGAGATCTTTCAGTGGAAGCTTCAGGCAAAGTGGGGTTAAGTGTCTTGCCCAAGGACAGAACGACAGCAATCAGTGGGAGTCGTGAAGTAGGTTTTACAGTGGGCTTGAACCCACGACCTTCAGGCTCAAAGGCCAATGCTCTACCAACTGTCGCACCCATTATTAATAATATCTGTAATATTATCAATAATATAACAGATCAACCACTGAAAAGAACAAGATAAGAGGGTTCCTAAAAACAATTTTGTTAATACTCCATTTTACTATAAATTGGTTACCCTTTCAATACAGCCTTTAATGTTTGATTGTCACATGATTAAAATGTTTTACAATTATTTTTTACTCACCATGGCATTTGATGAGGTATATTTGTTTTTTATGGAAGCTTACACAGTGATTTTTATGAGAACTTTCTTGCAACTTCATACTTATTTGAATCGTTTTTATAAACATTTAAATATTGATATGTATATACCTGGCACAAAAGCCATAGCCGACTTCTTGCATAAACTCTGCAAGTGAACTCTCCATCATGGTCTTGGCTAACTCCCCCGAGTCTGGCAAGATTCTGTCCATGAGAATATCCCGTTTTTCAGGGTATAACAGTGGTGCGAGCACCACAGGGCAGCGTTCCTGGGGGAAATCTAAAAGATACAAGAATGAGGAGATAACTATAGCCCATTTATCCGACTTTTAGAATAACTGCAACCTGCAAGTGTACCTCGGCAAAGAGTTTTGAGGAAGGCGTCAATTTGCTCTTGCCCTACTCCACTAGTCCCCTTATGACCAAACAGCAGATGGGACAGCAGTAGGTGCAGGACCTCTATAGCAATGTCTTGGAAGCCACCTTCCTGGCTTCCTCCTAGATCTGCGTCAACGTATGATCGCAAAAGGTCTGGAAGTTTTTGCTTGATAAACTGTGCAGCTAGAACAAAAGAAAAAGATAAAAAAGCCTAAACATTAGAATTCACTACATATTACAATCACTCTTAAAATGGAATCTGAAAAACTTACCAAAGCCTCGAAGATCTACGTTGCTGGAGTTAAGCAACGCAAGCCCAAAAATGACCTGGGGGAAAATAATAAAATAAATTTTATCGCATTACAAATCACTATTACCATTTGTAGTTACATTACAATTGTACCTCTTGAACCTTGCTGAGCTTGAGCACTTTACTCAGTTGAGTAAATAAATGGGCCGATGGCTTCAAACTCTAACAGCATAGACATTTCACAAGAGGATTAGGTAAAAAAAAAATCTGTTCCATTTAATAAAAAAAGATTTACAACTGACCTTCTGGTAGTGTAGCGGATGGTCAATGGCGTAACACAAGGTTGAGATAAAGTTTGGTTTGGAGATCAGTGACACGCACTCCTGGATCAGAAACTGTGTCTTGGGCAAATTAAAAATCAGGAAGAGACAAAGTAGGAAAAAAGAGGCAGGTGAAGATAAGGCCAGTTGTGATGTACAAGTGTTTATGCAATCAAATATGGACTACTTAGATGAATGCCATTGAGTGCAACCACTGTTTTATTACCTGGTGAAAGTCCTTGCCACTGCTTTTACCATCGCCACTGAAATCCACATGGGAGAAGAGACAGCGTAAGAGATGCCTGTCTGCCTCAGGGCCGTGACGATTAACAATCTAGATATGAAAAAAATATACATACATTTAAAAAATGGGTGCCGAGTAGAATATACAATAATGTTAAGACAGGCCTTTTTCATTTACTCACATGCTGTATTTCCTGCTGGCTGGCTTTGTAGTTTTTCTTTGTTAAATTGTCCACCAGGTAGCTGATTTGAGACAAAGCCAGCGAGAGCGAGTCAAGATTCATTGCTGGTTGGGGCGGAAGCAGGCGGCCGAGCACGGCGCAAAATCACCATTATTCCCCTTTGGTCACTTCAGTGATAAGTTACTTCTGCTCCCCCCCCCCAAAGGTTTGAAAAATATTGGACTTCCAAATGAGCTCTTATGTCCGTTGGCCAGTTCTTCCAAGTTTTTCAGTTTAAAACCAGGTTCTGCATCTGGAAGGAATGAAGAGAAAATTATAATAAGGCTGAACAGATCTATACCAAAACGACTACTTTTACAATTCAAAGGTATTGCGGGGTAACCCAATATAAAAGACATTGTAGGGCTGGGCGATATGGCTGAAAACTATATCACGATATAAGTCATTCATATCGGTCAATAACGATATATATTGAGTTTTTTTTTTTTTAACCTAAATAAATACATTTGTCATGTTGGCTAACCAACCTTAGCAGCCTTGTTTACAGTCACGGGGGAATGAGGCTGGAGGAATATGTTAACACTGTGTCCCTCGTTGTTAGTCCTGGTTTAATCCTGGTTTTTTATTCCTGGTTTAGCTGTTTTCGAGGGTCTTGTGTCCCCGTGACCGCTCCGTGCGGCTCTCTGTGCTGCACATGCTTCCCGAGGAAAAAGTTAATCTCTTGCTTTCGCCGAATACATCGGGTCTGTCCACTGCCTCTGCCGCCGCACATGTTATTCCGCGCACGTACGTGCATAACCATTGACACGGCATTGAAACACGAGCTATAGATCCATGGACGCTGCGCATGGTGCGGTTGTTGGTGTTCTTGCATTTCCCATAAAGTTTTGCGGTTCCTCCTCGGCTGTTATTGGTCGAGAAGCCTCTGCCTACATCCCCCACAATGCCGCGCGCTTATGAGTCGGCTTTACTTCCGGTGTTTTCTTCCTGTTTTTCCTGACGGAGTTAAGTTAAACTATCGAACATTCTATTGACCCCATTCTCTATTGATATCGAACACATGTCTATCGCGATATATATCGTTATCGTTTTATCGCCCAGCCCTACGACATTGTACTTTCTCAGCATGTGAAGTTTTAGACTTGACAAAAGAAAAAGAAAAAAACAGGTTCAGACAAATGAGCAAAGCTACAGCTATCTGTTGCCAACAATTATTTTATATCGCATTATCCGTTGCTGGGTAACAGACAACAGACTAAGCAGACTTCCCAATCCATACATGCTTCCCTCAGCTCATCCAGGAGTCAGCTGCGAGACAGTCTCTCCAACATGCCTTGGGTTCTCCCCAAAGTCTAAACCCAGCGCCACTTTAACTGACATTGCTCTACTTCCTTGTGACCCATCTCCTCACCCAATCTTTGGATTGGAGCAGAGGAAATTCATTTTGACCACTTGTAGATGCAATCTCGACCTTATGGTCATAACCCAAAGCTCATAACAAAAGTTGAGGGTTGAAACAGATTGACCAGTATATGGAGAGATTCGCCTTACAATCTTTAACTGCATCACTGCTCCATCAATCTCATGCTCTTACTTCCCTCACTCATAAACAAGACCCTGAGATTCTTGGGACTCCACCAATATGATATGGAGTCGACAACGCAATTACATTGAGTAAACCAGATGCACCGCCTTTAGGAGGCGAAGACATACATACAGCAAATTCACAATTAGAGCTCAAAAGTAGGATGCAATGAATATTGTATTTATAGTCAGTTCAGCAACACTAGTCAATACGTTTTGTCAGATTGCGATTTAAATTGAAGCTTATCAATGTAGTTAAAAGAGCAAAGCAGTTGCGTTAAAAAGGATGGCTGCATCAAATTTAGCACAATTATTGGCAGAAAAAGTGAACTGTTCAAAATAAGTTATTAGCATTGAGTTGTTTTCATTTAAGACGCGTTGAACGCAAAACTCAAAATTGAGAAACAGTACAACTGTATTAAAAACACAAAACAGTCAAACGTGGATGCTTCGATACTAGGGCTATATAGTCAGAAAAACTTCCATGAAAGAGCACAAATGTTGCGAGGGCTAAGCTATGTTGCTACCATAGCTTAGCCACATTATGCATTCAAACCGCGGGTAGACTAACCGTTAGTGTATAGCTATAAAACCAAACGTTGAAATTATCCTTCATTTAAAAAAGAAAACAAACTCACATTACTGTAACTGTAATGCATCTGGGGATTCCCCGTCGCGCCATAAAGGCCCGATGTAATGTTAACAAGCCATTCACAACGAGGTCCGCTAGCGTCAAAGCTACCAGTGCAGTGGCGTTAGCATGAAGCTCGTTAGCGATAGCCTTTTTCTATGAACACCGACTAGCTTATGGAGGCGTTCATGACATAGTTGTCTGTTTATCCGATCCGTTAGAACTCCTGGGTGCTGAAATCAAACATATTGCCCACATATAGCATATAATCCACCCCGTGCGACCCAAATATTATAGCTAATGCTTCACGATGCGGTGACAATGACAGCAGCTTTTCAGCAATTAGCCATAGTCAGAGTTGCGGGCTAAGGGCTGGCTAGCTCATGAACCTACACTGGGATGGCGTCGTGGAATGCAAAATGACAGATGTTCTCAAGAGAACACGTTGAAAGTCTCACCGTGCATATGATGAAGTTAGTTAAACACTCATTTCTTCTTGTTTCACTGAACCAACTTCATGAAATAAACGATGTCTGTGGCTTGGCTCAAAATGATATTTTCAAAATAAAATGGCGACTGTCTCCGCCGCGTCCCCGAGGCTCGCTCACGACAGCATATGCGTGCACGAGCTCAAATCACGCGCGGTCCAATCCTAATGGTCTAATCTAAATTAGCGTTAGGTACTCACCCTACTCACAACGATAGATCTATATTCATGACATATGATTGGGATATGATTAGAGTTGTATATCTTGCATTTTTATTCACACATTGAACCTTGATGATGTGATTTCCAGATTAGGTAGGCTATAATATAACATTAAAGATAAAAGCTCCCAACAATCACAGTTCAACAAATCACAATCTGTAGTCAACTGTCTGGCTGATTGATTCTGATACAGTACTCTGGATGTCCACTGGGAGGCGCCTATAGATAAAACAACTTCGTATTATTTGCAGAGCGTTATATATACTCTTTGATTATAGTGCTTGTCGTTTGCAGGTTTGGCAAACATTAAATTTAAATGGCAAATTATTATCGTGGTGTCGAAATATTTCAACAATGTTACAAAACAACAACGTGGCTTTGTAAAAATACCCGATAGGGGGCAACGATGAAACCTTACACCATAGCTGTTTGCCGACCGCCAATCACCGTCACGAGAAGAAGAAGAAGAAGAAGAAGAAGATCTCCCTCAAGCCAACAGAAGAAGACGAACCCCCCTTGTTTTAAGTCTGGAGCACGAGCGTCCATGTAATACGAATATAAATACGCTTGTTTTGTATTTTCGATAAGCTGACCATTGCGAGAATACTACAGAAATGTCTAAAACGTGGTCGCATCCACTTCCTCGACGGTCACCGGGGAGGTAAGTGCAACGTGAATTCACTGCACGTTGGCTAGTAGGCAATGCTCGATCGGGGTTACAGCCTCGAATCCAAACACCATTATTCTTTCGAGCGCTACAACAAAACCTTAATACATTTCTGTGTGTAGTTTTCATGCAAGTCGAGCCCTCAGAAGAACAGGGCCATATCAGAGCAAAGAGGACCGCGACGATGATTACAAACACGGACTGGACAGGTGGGCTATGCTATGTGCCTACTATTGTCTGAATTATTCCAAAACATAATTTTTCTTACTATTAATCTGGTTCTTTCGCATACTTGTATCATTCTCAGATATGAAGAACTCGAGAAATCACAAGCATATTCGGCTGTAAATTATGAAGGGTATACAAGGCAAGAACATGGCAAGTGTTTTGTAATTATCTTCTGTAATGTTTCTTTTTCTGATCCCTAATTTACTGTATGTGGGTCCACTCAGCAGCAAAGGTTGCCATGCCATCCCCAAAAGTGGAGGGCACGCCATCAGATAGACGCAAAGCCTTGTATCAAAAATTCTACAAACATTTACAAGAGGCAAAGACGCCAGATTGTGTCGTCCTATCTACCACCAACGAGAACCAGTAAGTGGTAATCCAGAAACACCATATCTTTATTGTTTTAAGTATGTTCTATCCAGAGTTACGTCAGCCGTGATATGGCAGTGATGTTGGGGCAAGCCAAAAATAAGGAACATTAGGGAACAATAAAACAGAATTGTTTTTTTTAGGCATACTGTATAACAATGATTTTTGTTTGTTAAATTGTAAATAATGTGAAAACAAAGCTATACACTCAAAGGACGGGCAAAAGTGAAGGCCCAAGCTTTCATAGCTGCAGTGTGCTTTGACATGGACGCATCAGCTTCCTCTCTCCACTTAAACAGTGATGTGGTGGCCAAAAGGTACACTTGTCTTTAATACAAATGTGTTAAGGGTTTATTATTAAACCGGTGACTTTGGCTGCAACGCTTTTAGTTGATTGATGAATAAGGAGTTTCTGAGCGTTGAAGACACTCTGAGCCAAAAGCCTCCTCCTCCAAAAGCCTCGCAGTTACAAGGACTTTCAACTCACATTATTGGTTATGGTAGTTGTAAAGACCATTTATTTTTGGAAACTTGGAGGATCATGCATTACGCACAGGACACTCGCCCTTTGGAGACAAAGGATTCATCATTGCTAGAGGATCCTACTTTATACCCGCGACACTCTAACTTCTCCTTTTATTGTAGTGGCTTCCTGCACTTGCACACAGATTCATTTAAATAGAAGTTTTATGTAATAAACAAGGTTTTTGGGCAGTGAATGCGGTCGCTGTAGCCGACTGTTATAGTGAAGAGGGAGGTGAGCAGAAAGGCAAAACTCATTATTTACCATTCAATCTACATTCCCACCCTCACCTATGGTCATTGGCTTTGGACAATGACCAAAAGGACAAGGTTGAGGATACAGGCAATCAAAATGGGCTTCCCCCACAGAGTGGCTGAGGTGGTCCCTTAAGCCTAGCGTACATCGACAGAGAAACTGGAGACTAGTTGCAAGGCGGCTTTTGGCAACTGAGAGGAGATGGTGGGAGATGATCAGTTGCCGAAATCGGTCGATGTGCGCGCTCTTACAACTGGAGATAAACAGTCGGTCTCCAGTTTTCAGTCAGTTGCCCGTGTTCTACTTTTCGGCAACTAGTTGTCCTCGGTTTCGGAGATATGACCCCATGTGCGCGCTCCATGCGCCGCTCAGACAACGTGTGTGTATTGTGAGCCCGCAACGGTTTATGTCAGAAAACACACTAGTTGACGGCCAGTTGCGGTCGATGTACGCGCTGTTATTCCCGAGACTGGTCTGCTACTGGGAGTTGCCAATTTTCGTCAGATTGTCGATGTGTGCGGGGCAGCAACTCTTATGCGACAGATATAATCAGTTGCCAGTCCGATGTACGCTAGGCATTAGAGCTAGGGTGAGGAGCTCAGTCACATGGGAGGAGCTCTGAGTAGAGCCACTGCTTCTCCACATTGAGAGGAGGCCTCCCTGCCCCAACAGAAGGAGACCCCGGGGAAGACCCAGGACACGTTGGAGGGATTATGTCTCTCAGTTGTCTTAAACGCCAAGGGATTCCCCCAAATGAGCTGAAGTGCGTCTCTGCTGAAGCGGACGAAAGTGGATGGTTTTCGGGGCATGCTCACTTGGGCTGCACATAATTTCAAATAATCAGTTTTTCCAATGTGGTTTTACTGCAAATGGCAAATAAATTCTTGTATATATTGTCATCACAAAATTGGTACCTGCAATTTCCACATCTAAAAGATGTGCAATAAATTTGAAATCTTCCGCGACCTAGTACCACCACACACTAGAGTGGAGCATGTGGAGAAACAAAACAAGTGGACGATGAAGAGACAAATGCAGTCGAATGCAGAGAGGAACTTGTTCCCCAAAGCCACTTTACCTCCGGAATTTGGGACTACTTCGGATTTACAAGACAGGACCAATCACAGAATAAAGTTATTTGCAAGTCATGCCGGAAAATATTTGCTACGTTGAAGAGGAACTCGACAAATCGCCAGAGCTGTACCTCCAGCACAACTACAAGGTACTTTATGCTGTGTATTTACAATCTAAAACTCCACAGCTTCAGTTTAACGAAAGGCAAATACGCAAACAAGCATTAATTAATAACAGTTTGGCTTCTGTAGCTTCTTATGAAGAAACCTCAAAGCGACGCAAAGCTTTAACTCCAGCCATTACGCGATATATAGCAAAGTGCACACTCTCCATTAATACCGTATGTAAAGACATTTTTTTGGACCCGGCAAAGGAGTTTGACCGGAGAGATCTTGAAAGTTGATGTGTTTGTAGAAAGATTTTTTTTTTTCTAAAATTATTTCCATTTTTTTTAAAATACAAATATTAATGTTGGTGTAAATGAATACAATTATTGAGTATATTTTAATAAATATAGCTTTTAGTTGAAAGACAAAAATATTGCATTAATATCGTTATCAAAATACTAAACACCCATATCGAACATCGCTCTAATTTCTAATATCGTGCAGCCCTAATCCTCACCTCTCCAGAACACCTCACAGAGGCGTTTAGGAGGCCACCGAAAAACAGCAGAGGGGGAAAAAACTGTTGTCTGAATAGTTTGTGTCTAGGGTGAGAGGGGTTTGTGATGTGACCTGCACAAAGCGCTGTAGTGTCTGCTTGTCCGTGCCAGTAGCTCCAGCGCACCACACAGTGATGAAGGTGAGATTTAGGTCTGGACAATATTGTGATATATACTTCAATTTGTGGTATGTTTTTGGCTATAATTCCCACCCCTAGTGAGAATATAAGGCAAGGGATGTTTGTTTGTATAGCACAGTTTAGTTTAGTTTGTTTATAAAACAGGGACAATGTACAAAAACCATCAGAGATGTGTATGTATACAAACATACAGTTCATACACAACTCTTGTTAAGAGTGCTTAACAAAACAAGAATACAAAAAAATCACAGCAGGCATTAAAAAAAGTGAAGATTCAATCCTTCAGTTGTATGCACATCTAAACATAACTGCTTTGTCCATATACTCTATGGACAAGATCATTTAGGTTTTCATGAAAATAATATCTGTACTGACAACTAATAGATTACACAAAATAATCAAAATACATTCAAAGATGGCCCACTTTGTGCAATAAAGTATCGCAGAACATACACCACAATTTAAAAAGGGCAAGTATAAATGTTAACATTAACACATGCAGAGTGTTCTGTGATTGACTAAAATACTTTGCATTATTATCTGTGATCTAATTTTCTTATTTGCATCAGATTTACCAAAATAAATTAGATTGGTCAATGTGGCCAGCATTTCTAAATCTGACTATAATGTCCTTCTTTACAAATACAGTAAAGTCTTTGTCCACCACCTACACCAGATTTATAACTGGATGTGAAATTGGGGAAAGTGAATTCCCTATCCATAGGATTGCTACTGCTGTGATACCTGGTATTTGTACCTGGTACCTGTCCTCGTGCTAATAGTTCCGAGAACTTCAGACATAAACCTAATCCACTTTTTTTAATAAATAAAATTCATGTAGCTGTAAACATTCAAACAACTGTTTCTTCAACTTTAATATACATTTTGTCTAATAAAAAGAAATCGACTCATTGCATCACAAAAATCAACTGAGCAGATGTGTTGACAGATGTTTATCTGGTTTTGTGGCAGCCTAAGAAGCTGCTGTCTCATTAATATAATGCATACCTGCAGTGGCTAAACTACACTGGCGTACACTGTTTCAACTGTTCCATTAAAAAGATGTTAACAAAATGTTTCTCTTCCTCTTAAAGGGAATACACCATATCACTATGTCAAGCCTTGCAGAAGCGTGGCTTGCACGTGGAAATGCTCTACCTTCACGCGGAGTCTGGTCTGACCCGTGCCTTACAGGACATCCGAGCTGACGGCTCTTCTATATGTATTCTGGTGGAGCAGAGAAATATAGCACTGTGCTCTTGCACTGTTATAATATTTGCACAATCACTCAAAAGTAAGTGCCCCCCTCTAGGATCTACAATAGTTAAGTTTTTGTACATATGTAAATGACTCTAAATGTTTATTTGAAAACATTTACAATTCACATAACAAACGGATACGTACATATTTTATAAGGGGGTTGGAAGAAGCAGACGCTTATGTACTGTACTTCCAAACTCTCCTCACCCACAAGACAATCTGGAACAATATTGTCAAATAAACTACAAAAACAAAGTAAAATGGTAATACATAACGGTATAAATGCAGTAACACAATACAATCATAAATGGTATAAGACAAGCCCACAGAGACACTGGCCCAAAGACTCTACCTCTACCTCTGGCCCTACACCTTTCCCACTGTGCTGAAGGCATCATTCTTTCCTTATAAAGAAATAGATAAAAATACAATCAGGTTTGAACATGTTTTTAAAAAGAGTTGCTCCACGCACTGATATACTGGGGGTGTAACAAAGCATAACAATGCACAAATGGCACGATTTGGGCCATGTCAGGCTTCACAATTCATATTTCATATTCTCTTATATTTGCGCGCTGGAAAAACTGTTAAAGCAGTCCCTTTAAACGCGCCCTGATGGGCCGCTTTGCACAGTGTCACAAAATCAAAAGTATCAAATTGCTCATCTGTGGTCACCTCTAGTGCTTATAACTGCCCCAACACCACTAATGTCCATTAAATTATGCATTGCAAGGCATTTTGGGTCCTGCATCGTGCATCAAACCGAATCGTGAGATACATCAATCGTTACACCCCTACGAGATTACACATTCCTCACATTTCACATTAATTTCCTCTTAATCTGTAATTCCTTGTCCCTACATTTTAGTCCTGTAGTTTAAGTTATGATTCAATGAACAGTGGGTTTGAAGCCTGTCATTATGATACAATACAAATTTGGCCTTTTTGCAAGGTGATTAAAGGCTGCAAGTAAGATTTGTAACAGTTTCCCCACACTTCAATGCAATCATTTGGATATGATATTATGAATGAAGAATTTTTTCCCCCTCTTGAACAAAGAGTGAAACCAAAACATACTATTACAACAACACATGGTAATACTGCAAACTAGTGGCATTTGTTGTAAACAATATTAAACGGCTTTGCAAATGATAACAATAATTAAATTGTGGAAAATTGTGTCTGATCATCAGTACAACAACTCTATAGGCCAAATGTCCCCAATTAAAAAAAAAACAAACAAAAAAAAGTATATAATTAAGATATAATACATTTGGACTTTGGACACTAATTTATATGAGGACACTTTCTATTTCACTTACCTGTTTGGTTTGATGACCTTTCCAGCACCAGTATTAGTGTTTCTCCAAATGGCATTCATAAAATGTGTAATTGTTATTGTGGCATTACATTTTCCTTAAATTATATAAAAACTCTGAAATTTGACTTGACCAAACCTGGGTTTTCACATTTGTAATTAAAAATACTATATTGAATGTCACGCTAACTCACTTCTCTACATGAAATCAAAAATACAGAGACACAAAGCAAATGTTTTACAGAATGCCACAATTAAAGCACTCCTTAAGTTTCTTAAAGGAGTGGGGGCAGTGATGCTGAATCACAGAATAACTGGTGGTTTTCCAGTTTGTACCTCACAAACACTAAAATCAATGAATGCATTTAAAAGATATTTCATATGGTATTGGCAACCCTCGATGCAAACAGGATAGTATCTTTTTGTTGTCAATCACATTGGCAACTTTCATTTATTCAACATTTGAACGTAAATGCATGCATTCAAGTTGCAATGGTGACTAGTGTTAAAGTAATTTACAATAATGATTACATTAAAGTAATCTTTGCTTGTTCAAGGAATTGATATGCTACAGTGCCTTGCGAGTATTCGGCCCCCTTGAACCTTTCAACATTTCGCCACATTTCAGGCTTCAAACATAAAGATATAAAAATTAAAATGTTTGTCAAGAATCAACAACAAGTGGGACACAATCGTGAAGTGGAACGAAATTTATTGGATAATTTAAACTTTTTTAACAAATAAAAAACTGAAAAGTGGGGCGTGCAATATTATTCGGCCCCCTTGCGCTAATACTTTGTAGCGCCACCTTTTGCTGCAATTACAGCTGCAAGTCGCTTGGGGTATGTCTCTATCAGTTTTGCACATCGAGAGACTGGAATTCTTTCCCATTCATCCTTGCAAAACAGCTCGAGCTCAGTGAGGTTGGATGGAGAGCGTTTGTGAACAGCAGTCTTCAGCTCTTTCCACAGAATCTCGATTGGATTCAGGTCTGGACTTTGATTTGGCCATTCTAACACCTGGATACGTCTATTTGTGAACCATTCCATTGTAGATTTGGCTTTATGTTTTGGATCATTGTCCTGTTGGAAGATAAATATCCGTCCCAGTCTCAGGTCTTTTGCAGACTCCAACAGGTTTTCTTCCAGAATGGTCCTGTATTTGGCTCCATCCATCTTCCCACCAATTTTAGCCATCTTCCTTGTCCCTGCTGAAGAAAAGCAGGCCCAAACCATGATGCTGCCACCACCATGTTTGACAGTGGGGATGGTGTGTTCAGGGTGATGAGCTGTGTTGCTTTTACGCCAAACATATCGTTTTGCATTGTGGCCAAAAAGTTCGATTTTGGTTTCATCTGACCAGAGCACCTTCTTCCACATGTTTGGTGTGTCTCCCAGGTGGCTTGTGGCAAACTTTAAACAAGACTGTTTATGGATATCTTTTGAAAAATGGCTTTCTTCTTGCCACTCTTCCATAAAGGCCAGATTTGTGCAGTGCACGACTGATTGTTGTCCTATGGACAGACTCCCCCACCTCAGCTGTAGTTATCTGCAGTTCATCCAGAGTGATCATGGGCCTCTTGTTTGCATCTCTGATCAGTCTTCTCCTTGTTTGAGATGAAAGTTTGGAGGGACGGCCGGGTCTTGGTAGATTTGCAGTGGTCTGATACTCCTTCCATTTCAATATAATTGCTTGCACAGTGCTCCTTGAGATGTTTAAAGCTTGGGAGATCTTTTTGTATCCAAATCCGGCTTTAAACTTCTCCACACCAGTATCTTGGACCTGCCTGGTGTGTTCCTTTGTCTTCATGGTTCTCTCTGCGCTTTAAACAGAACCCTGAGACTATCAAAGAGCAGGTGCATTTATACGGAGACTTGATTACACACAGGTGCATTCTATTTATCATCAGTCATTTAGGACAACATTGGATCATTCAAAGATCCTCACTGAACTTCTGGAGTGAGTTTGCAGCACTGAAAGTAAAGGGGCCGAATAATATTGCACGCCCTACTTTTCAGTTTTTTATTTGTTAAAAAAGTTTAAATTATCCAATAAATTTCGTTCCACTTCACGATTGTGTCACACTTGTTGTTGATTAATGACGAAAATTTTTAATTTTATATCTTTTGTTTGAAGCCTGAAATGTGGCGAAATGTTGAAAGGTTCAAGGGGGCCGAATACTATCGCAAGGCACTGTACAATGACATAACTATGTGAAACTTTTGCGGTCCGACTGCACGGAACGGCTGCACTTGTTTTACAGCACTGCTTTGAACGTGAAATATTTGGTGAATGCAAAATGATACATGATTTTAGAATAATACTGAAGTTCCAATTGTGAATGCTTCAAAGCTGTGACAGTCCCACTGGTAACGCTGACATCTGGTGGACAAATTTAATCATTTTTAACTATATTTGTATAAAATATATAGATCTGCTGCTCTTTCCTCAATCTGATTGATGGCGCCAATGATCCTGGAGAAAAAAATTATTCCTCTGCTCTAATGCTGCTAGATACTTTTTTCCACTCTGCCTTCCGTTTTATCATGGGCATTGGGTTCAAAGTGTAATTTGGCCTTGGTTGTCCGTGGTACGGAAGCATATTTCAACCAGTGTGGATTAAATGTTCCTTTTAAATAATGTTACGTTTCAACTATCTGACTGCATTTTAACATAATAAGTAGGTTTTGACTGTATTTTATGTAAATTTCAACATAATTAAATACGATGGGGAGCACATCTGGCTGGCGCTTACAGAGCTCCTGATGCAGAAGCCGACAGCAGAATAATCCTTGGTGCGCACCAGAGTGTCCGTTTTACACCTGTTTGAGGCACATGTGGAAGGAAGAGTGGAGATCAAAGGCTATTGAGTGCTGCCTTGTCTCACAGCTTCAGCAGGGACAAGGAGGCATTCTGTGGCTGAAATGAGACACTGTCTGTGCCCACAGACTGCGGATGGTCATGGTCCAGCAGGATTTTCCCTGTCAACAACTTTAGCAAGATATTAGTGGATATACAGTGTGTTCGGGCCTTTTGGCTTTTCATTGCTAGAGCGGGAAGATTGGCTCTGGGAGCGGACATTTTTTTTTTTTTTAATGGACAACAGGGCTGTAAATACACAAAGTTGTAGCCAAGAGCTAATTTCCATCTGTTGTCGCACAATCTCACTCACACTTTAATTCACCCTGAACTATTGAACATGTTTTTAGTGATGGGGAAAACCAGGGCAGCCGGGGAGAACATGCAAACTCCGCACAGAGGTGTTTGCATGTTGGAGGTGATATTGAAACCAGGACCTTCTTGCTATGAAGCGCTTACTCTCTCTGTGCACTGTGACACAGTAGAGTAATCCTGCTTTCGTTCCTGTTTTAGTCCCCTGCTCCAACCGTGGTTGAAGGACGAGGGACTTCTCCAGGGTTAACTCGCATTTCTCTGACCCTATTTTGCCGAGTGCAACTGCTAGCTCTCCAGGATTTAACTGGCCTTTTTCCAGTGGTCTACACCAGGTCTACACCAGGTCTACACCAGGACCGAACCATTCCCATTCTAATGTCATTTGTGTGAAGCCGTACTTCGAGAGAAGTCCAATTCTGAACAAATCCAAACACCGGGGCAACCGAATGCTTGTGCAAGTGGAGGTTGGAGCAAGTTGGTGTTTGTGCACAGTAGGGGTAGTGACCATGTTTTCTTTATTCACATTTGATAGGAAATAAGTATTTATTTTTTAAAGTACACGTACAAATGTCTTGTATTGTTTCTCATTTGTCAGAAATGCTCTTACCTCGTCCACTTTGACCATGCATACGTCCATGGGCTCCTTCTATTCTTTATTTTGAGGATGCTCTTTCAAAACGCTGTGAGCAAGTCATATTTGAATGAGTGATTGGACCGGCTTCTCGTCAGCCCGTGCGTAAACAAGGTGGTGCAGAAGCAGCACTGTGCCGCAGTGGATAACACTTGTGCTACACAGCGAGAAGGTCCTGGGTTCAAATCCACCTATGGGACCTTTCCACCGCAGAGACTTTTCTGTGTGGAATTTGCATGTTCTCCCCGTGTCGGCGTAGATTTCCTCCGGGCGGCTTCCCCTACCACTAAAAACATGTACAATAGGTGAAGGTTGAATGAGTGTGTTTGTGACTGTGACTGTGGGACTGTCTTAGATGTCACGTGTGAACTCTGTTGTTGTGTGGTCTAAAGCCACTGAATGCCTCCTATTTCAACCTAAATCTCCTGATCTCCACTCATCCCATTTGCAAAAAAGTAGTCTTCATTAGACAATTTAAGTAATTTCAACAATGTTAAATAGTCCTTGACACTAAAAAGCCTCTATCAGACCATCCTAACAGTGTGTATGGAGTGTATTGGATTAATATAAGCTTTCTGGTTCATCCAATCTCTTTTCAAACCAAATCAAGGGACATTTAGAACAGGGAAAAGTGTGCGATTAATCGTCAGTTAATTATAACACTGATGTGATTAATTAGGATTTAAACAATTAATTGTTTGACAGCACTAGTAAAAACGTAAATGTTACAATCTTAAAACTTGCATGTGATTCAATTAAAACCTACTTATGTTAAAATGTACATGTATGTAGTAAAACATAATATGAAACATACACATAAAAGCATGCCAGATTATAAAATCTAATCCAAACTGGTGACATGGTATTCAATTTATTCATATAGGACTAACTTATATTGAATTTGGAGGTTAGTTAGTGCTTATACTCTCAATGAGCCTCCCTGTTTAAATAAAGCTGAATAACAATTCAGTAAAGAATCCCAATGTGTTTTGGCCAGATATTTAAATGGCTAGTTATTTTAGCACATTCAAAGTACTTGTAGTAAAGAAGAAATGAAACCTTTTCATGGCGAATGGTTGTTTTTCTTAATTACATGCCAGATGAGCAAAAAAGTTGTACACAGTCATTGTAAATTTTTTTTCAAGAAATCATTTCTCTGATCCAAAGCTAGTATTACACAGTATGCTTTACTTTTTCAAACATCTTTAAAATATCCTTTTTATAAGGTATTACTATCCTTTTTAGCCATTACTGCTGAAACAAATGCCTATTTTTGCATCTTGTTTGTAGGTTTCTGCTGTTCTCCCCTCACAGCCACAAAATAACACTTCCATATTCCCTTTTATAGTCCATCGCAACATGCCCCAAGATCAGGCTTTGGACTTTGTTGTAGCAGAATACAATCGAGGCCTTTCTGAAGAGCGCCCTTCCAAGGACCCTTCTGAGCTGGCTGCGGAAACCTCCCAAATGCTGGATGATTATTTGAACAGAGACAAGCACATGCACCATTATGTTCCTTCTGATGTGCGCCACCTTCTCATGTTTCTCGCAGAAGGTGTCCATGTTGACAAAGGAGAGCTAGATATGCTCTCAGAGTATGTCCTGTCCAGACAGGAACAAGCAGGTGAGATGTTTTACAAGCTTTTACAACTCTTCTTATCCATTTGTTTATTGAATCCTTCTGATTTTAGATAAATCTATGGATGGGATTACAAGTCTGCAGTCTGCTGGACTGGGCAAACCACCTCCTTTGCTGCCCACACCGATCCTCTCTCAACCTCCACTGGGCTACTCTTCTCAATCTTTACCAGGTTACCAGTAAATCTTTATCTATTGTTTCCCATTAGCAACTAGTCTTTTTGACCTAACATGGATGGATTATATTATCTTGAACTGTATTAAGGCCGCCTGTAGCACTGCAGCCTAAATTCACAAGGGTTATACACTGAATTTTAGCAACAAGTTACTCCTAACACTGAGGAAAATGCAGTACGAGTAAAGAAGACCTGTGACTGTGGTCTGTATGTTGACTGGTGTACATTGAAGCCAGGTACACATTAAAGAATGCATTTTCACATCTGCAGCAGCGCTGCTGTTTTTGGTTTCGAACGCATGCCGTGTTTTGACTTAAAACATGTGGATGATGGGTCAAAATGTGGAACAATAGATATCGATACTTTATTGATCCCCCGTAGTAGAAATTCAGGTGTCCAGTAACAGAAAAATTAAAATAATGTGCATTTTGCCAGATACTTGGGTAAGTGTATATGGGGGAATGAGTATTTTAGCATAATTGTTCCATTGTGGTGGAACTTAAAAACTGTAAATGAATAGGGGAAAACCCAATTTTCCATTAATATGATATAACCCCAACCCAGTATGTCTTGGGGACAACAGCACACTACCAAATTACTTGTTATAAAATGTTTAAATATTCTGTTTCATTCTTAACAGGCACGCCCCCTCCACTGATGTCAAAATGTCCATTTGGACCTATGTCTACACGCATGCCTGGACCCCGTGCCCCTTTGTTAAACACGCCACAATTCCCCAGGGGACCTCCACGCAGATTAGGCCCTCGACCTGCTCTTCTCCCATGGCCAGGTAATTTTATGGCATATCTTTTTTTGAAGAAATTCTGTAAATTGTGAATCAAATTGGAATTGTCTTTTTCTTTTGTGTTCCTTGATTCAGGTGGACCACTTTTACCTCGACATAGGCTCCCTCCTCACAATTAAAACAAATCAGAAACCTTAACATTACGGAATAAAGTTCCTTTTTATAAAAAGAAGAAAAACACTGAGTATTTTGGTTGGCAGTGAAATTTTCACTATTCTTGTTAAAGTCCTCTAGTGGTGTAGAATTGCTGTCAAAACATATCTGTACATGTAAAAACGTGAATAAAGCTCCACCCAATGAAGTTCTAACCCGTTAGCTTGACGTGCGCAAGTTTTTTACTCTTACTCACTCCCATTATCTTTTCATTGTTTTAAGTTGTTGTTTTAACTTGAGCTTAAACTGCTGTTGCTGAGAGCTGCTCTGGGATGACGGTACCTGCAACATTGTTTACAAATGCGGTATAATCTTCTACATTCCTCTCAAATATTTACTGTATGGACTGGATATGTTAATAATTTAGGATTCTTGTAAAACACTAAACCATGAGTGTGATAAACGGTCATCTGCTGTGTTGCATGGAGCTGCCTATTTTATGGCATCTGTGAACTGGTATAATTTCACAAAGATCACTGGCAAGTCATTTTTTTGGAGGTTTTATGATTTGCGCGCAATGCATGAAATGATCATTTATCATTTTAAGCTTCATCCACCATTTTACAGCACCATTATTTGAGCTGTGTGGCAAAATGTACATTTGTATCACACCATTTTTATGAATAAAACAATTAAACTGAATGTCACATTGTGTGGCTGTGTGTTCCTTACTGTGTATGATTCTAGTCTATTCACTAAAACTGCTTTCAGACGAAAATTTCAAATTAACTCAAAATGCTAGCTTTTCACAGATGTAAGCAAAAATACTTTTCGTCCAAGTTGGACACATTCTTCCTCCCCAGAGATGAGAAAAGTTCTAGTTAATCTTAAGAGCCATTGATCTTGCAAAAATCCAAAAAGTTTAACAATCTAGAATGAAATTAGTCCTGTACAGACACAACTTGAAATACTGTTCAGCCAGGAAGAAGCTACTGCTTCAAAACACAAAGATTTTGCCAAAACTCATGAGGCTCAAACTCAAAAGTATTGTGAGGGTGTTTTTCTGGGGGACAAACTGCACAGCATAAAATCAATGAGAATATAAACAGTTATGTGGATAATTTGAACTAACTCGATAGGAACTCTAAGGTTGGTCGTAGATGGGTGTTTGTCCATGCTTCATGCTTCATGGTGCGAATGAGGTTTTGATGTCGAGCTGTTTTTGTTCTCCTACATTCTGAGTGGAGTTTGCATGTTCTCCCCGTGTCTGCGTAGGTTTCCTACGGGTGCTCCGGTTTTCCTTACCACTAAAAACATGCACAATAGGTATGAATGTAACTGAGAGCATGAATGGATGGTGTTGATTGGGGGCGCCAGTGTGTTCGGCGACTCGCTTCTGTCATCACCAGGTGTGGAATAATTAAAACAATATCTGAACTTTGTAAAGCGCTTTGGGTCACCTTGGTCTGTAAAATGTGCTATATAAATAAATATTACTTACTACTTACTTAATTACTACTACATTCATGTGTGTTCCTCCCAAACTACTCAACATTATAATTTTTGGTGGACAGCCACACCTTGGAAGAGAAGCAACAGCGTCAAACTCTCAATTTGTAGACAGTTTCTCTATCTGTAGACAGATGAACATCTAGACTTTTTTACAGATTCTGGCAAAGGTGAATTAACAAATCATCGGAAGTCTTCAGAGAGCTGTTTTGAGCGAGGCACGGTGCACAGAAGGCAATGCTTCTCATGAAGACATTCTTATCTGGATTGTGATTTGTAGAGGAATGGGTAGCTTTGAGCCACTCCTCAAGGATCGGACACACACCTGAATATATATACAGTGGGCCAAAAAAGTATTTAGTCAGCCACCGAATTGTGCAAGTTCTCCCACTTAAAATAATGACATAGGTCTGTAATTTTCATCATAGGTACACTTCAACTGTGAGAGACAGAATGTGAAAACAAAAATCCAGGAATTCACATTGTAGGATTTTAAAAGAATTTATTTGTAAATTATGGTGGAAAATAAGTATTTGGTCACTTTAAACAAGGAAGATCTCTGGCTCTCACAGACCTGTAACTTCTTCTTTAAGAAGCTCTTCTGTCCTCCACTTGTTACCTGTATTAATGGCACCTGTTTGAACTCGTTATCTGTATAAAAGACACCTGTCCACAGCCTCAAACAGTCAGACGCCAAACTCCACTATGGCCAAGACCAAAGAGCTGTCGAAGGACACCAGGAAAAGAATTGTAGACCTGCACCAAACTGGGAAAAGTGAATCTACAATAGGCAAGCAGCTTGGTGTGAACAAATCAACTGTGGGTGAAATTCTCAGAAAATGGAAGACATACAAGACCACTGATAATCTCCCTCGATCTGGGGCTCCACGCAAGATCTCATCCCCTGGGGTCAAAATGATCATGAGAACGGTGATCAAAACTCCCAGAACCACACAGGGGGACCTGGTGAATGACCTGCAGAGAGCTGGGACCAAAGTAACAAAGGTTACCATCAGTAACACACTACGACGATAGGGAATCAAATCTTGCAGTGCCAGACGTGTCCCCCTGCTGAAGCCAGTGCATGTCCAGGCCCGTCTGAAGTTTGCCAGAGAGCACATGGATGATACAGCAGAGGATTGGGAGAATGTCATGTGGTCAGATGAAACCAACGTAGAACTGTTTGGTATAAACTCGACTCGTCGTGTTTGGAGGAAGAAGAATACTGACTTGCATCCCAAGAACACCATACCTACTGTGAGGCGTGGGGGTGGAAATGTCATGCTTTGGGGCTGTTTTTCTGCTAAGGAGACAGACGACTGATCCGTGTTAAGGAAAGAATGAATGGGGCCATGTATTGTGAGCCATGTATTTGAGCCAAAACCTTTGGAGAGCTTTGAAGATGAAACGTGGCTGGGTCTTCCAGCATGACAATGATCCCAAACACACCGCCCGGGTAACGAAGGGGTGGCTCCGTAAGTGAGCAAGATTTATGTAAATCACATATGTTTTAATTATGTGGTTCTGGCTGGTCAGGCTAGTGTGCACACAGCAAGTCAGTAACTTTTAATCACTAATCACATGTTCGCCACATGTGCTGTCATCTTTATTTATATAGCACCTTTCACAGACCAGAGTCACAAAGCACTTACAATTGTAGTGGGCATTTGACTCTAACTCCACACATAGATGGGAGTGAGCTTGCCAAGAGGAGGTGCATGCCAGACCTATTATACATGTTTTCATGGTAGGGGAAACCGGAGCAGCGGGAGGAAACCTACGCAAACTTTATTTTTTCCTGATGAAGGTACAGTGCAAACTGTCAGATACAGGTTTTATTAGTGTAGGGCTGCATATGTAAGCTGAGATGGACCTGCTTTTCAAAGCAATAATTGCATTTTTAAATGGCATGAATTGTGCACAGGACGAGGGGCCACAATAAAAGCTCACTCTGAAATGTTCCTTTTTATTTTAATGGAGGTGTTCAGCCCATGTCAAGCAGTGTTCAGTTCCACATAGCATTCTTTTGTTCTCTGCCCCACCATGTCAAAATCCCTATCGGATATGAGTGAATTGAATATTCTTGCCTGTTGTGTCAGAATTCACAAGAACCATCATCAAATGTAAAACTATTTCATTGTTATTGAGGCCCCATGCTGAGTGACTGTTTGCGCAGTGTGTGTATGTGGTGCAATAAGACTGTGCTCAAATTAAGGTCTCACGTGCACGCTCAGAGGTGAGCTTACACACATTAGGGTGTTAATTGTTGGGATAACACCTTCATATAACAAGGCTCTAATTATCAACATGTTTGGCTGTCAGGGAAGTGTATCGGGCACTTGTGTGCAGTCAGATCACGGGAGTGCACCAGAGTGAGGCGTGGTGTTAGGGGACAGGTATTCTACAGGGGTGCAGATGTCTACATCTGCATATGACAAGGTTCCTCTACACACAATAAACTAGAAATATTCCTGTTTTCTTAACCCTCAACCCCTCTCTCCTAAAAATAACTTATTTTTGCTCATGGACCGATTTGATACTCACCAACCATCAATGAGGTACTTGATTATAGGACTCTATTCAAACTATTGAAGGTGATTGTCTGCGCCTGGCTGCTTGTCTTAATCTGGCACTTTGCCTACTTGGTGAGCTGGCAGCCCCAGCTCTGTCCCAGTCAGAGCTGCACCTAGTACACAGAGCACCAGCCCCTCACTGATCCTCCTGCAGGTGGTGAGTTCACAGGAGCCTTGATTATTCAGCAGGGGCTTCAGGCAAAGTGGGGTTAAGTGCCCACATTTTTGATAAAAAAAAAAGGTTCTATTTGATTTCATAATAATCTAACCTTGTGAGAGTTTTCACATTTAAAGTTCGAAGTATTTCCATAATATTCCAATGATCTGAGTTTCACCTGTACATTGTGAGAGACAGTGGAGATGATTGTGAACTGGAAGATCACAGTTTCCACATCAAGAAGGCCCAGCAGAGGATGTACTTCCAGAGGCAGCTTATGGCTAAGATGTTGATACGGTTCTACACGGTCCTTGAGTCCTCCTCCATCACTATGTGCTACGCTGGAGCCATTATCTGGAACAAGCAGACATTGTGCACTCTGCTGAGGTGATCAACCACAGCCTTCCATCGCTCAGGACCTGGTGTATGCATATCAGATCACATCCGGCTCTTCTCACCCTGACCTGGACACTCCTTTCAAGCAGGAGACTCCAGTCCATTTGGACCAGAACTGTTCCAGCCTCTTTGCAGATGGACTCATGATGTATGGACTTATGTTATTGCATGTATGTATTTTAGAATACCATTTAGATTTTATTATCTTGCATGTTTACATTTATTACGACTACTACTTGTTATTACACCATAATTCCAAAGCTGAGTTCTAGTTTGGGAATAGTTCACTGACGTTTCCAGTCACATGCTTCTTTTTACACAACTCCTTCACATGGTGCTGTTGTCAACTGGAGACTGTGCTTCTGCTCGCAGGTTGTACACCCTGCAGCATTCCCATAGAGATGCTGTGGCTCAGATGCCTTGGGCATCTTTATAGGAATGACAATACTATGCTGAGTATAAGAAAATTGCTTTGCTGTTTTAGATCAATAAATAGTGGCCATAATGTATAATAGTGGCCCAACCAATTTGAATACTGTCACTACTCCAATGATATGTTAACATGTCAAACATTTGTCACATGAAACTTCCATTCCCTTCTTATTCCAACTCCACATTTTCCATTCTCCTCTTGAAATGAGCTCTTGGTCACTTTTGTAGTTACATCTTTCCGCCACGCCTCGGCGCTGTTGCCTTGCCGTGCCCCCTACTCCACTCTCTCTCCTCTCGCCCTGCCTGCCTCACTGCTGCCTCTCTGCCTCAGCCAACCCGGGCTGTGCCGAGCTGCTCCCTGCGGGATCAGAGCGCTCCCCCGCCGGGACCCTTCTCTCACATCCCCCTGCTGGGACGCGGCTACATTTCCAGCCAAGCACTGCCTGCCTTGGCTTTATTATGTGCGTCTGCGCCGCAGCCCCGCCAGCAGAGGCAGGCAGAGGAGGAGGGAGGCTGGTAGTCAGAGTCAGGACAAAGAAAAAGCAGGGAGACAGAGGCTAGCGAAGGGTTAGACTGCCGAAATATTCGCTTGATATTAGCATCTACCACCGATTATGGCGCAGGGCAATATTAACAAAAAGACAGCTTGAGCAGCATCCGCTTCGGGGCGGAGATGCAGGACAGGAGCTGTGCCCACGCCATCAGGACTCTAGTGTAGACTAGCGAAGCAGAACACGGGAAGATTCTCGGTTCAAGACGCTGCCACAGTCCTAGAGGGAAAACAAAAAAACAAAATAAACAAGCCGAAATAGTTGTGTTATACCGAAGTCCAGGAAGAGGACCCGAGGATCCCCGAGAAGACACGTCTAATTTGACAAAGGCTACATTGTTGCCACAGTAGTTTCCGTGCCGTCCCATCACCTGGCTCAGCTCGGGTCAGTGTAGGACCTTCCCCCGGACACAGACGCTGCGGCGGCACAGAACAGGAAGACGCGGTCGCTGTAAGACGCGACAGACCAAACTTGTTCCATACTCCACAGGTTGTGCGCGCTGTGCTGAAGAGCTGCGGCTGGAGGAAACACTGCTCCCCCGGACTGCTCCCGGCGTGGATCAGCAGCCTCTCTCCGCGCTCCCAGACTCGAGCTGCCGCATTGCAACAGGCGGAGGACCGATCACCTCCACGGTCCAGTTTGGTCAGATCAAAACACGGAGCGGAGCAGAACAAGACAAAACACTCACATTTCGAAGATGTCAAGACGAAAGCAAGCAAAACCACGCTCTGTTAAAGGTAAGCAACTTAGTGCTAGCCTAGCTTCCTTTTGCCATGCTAGTCTACAAATATCGGCAATTACCGTGTAGAACATTTACATTTTCCCAAAATATTGCCTTTTACAGCCCGTTCAGGTTACTTTAGATTATATTTCAGCCAATGCACGGTCCACTTGTGTTTGATTCCAATTCGGGTTGTCCACTACTCTCTTAATTGTTTTTAATTAGTGTCCACATTGTCAAGATGAACAATGATGCTCGCGTGTGTCGTTTTCCTGTCAGCGTGGGTTATCTCCAGACAATTCACATGTTTTATGGCTCCGTATGATTTCCTACTAACTAACTAACTTGTTTGGAAAGCTTTAGTAAACATGACTTTATCATCCCCGGGAAAATAATTGATGTATACTTTGAAATAAGGGGTTGCCTTGTTTTTGAATAAAATTACGCAAAAAAGGCTTTTTATTATTAAGGGCTTATCCCTGAACCCTTAGAACTCATATGGGATTCAAAGTCTAGGATTATTGTCTCAGTATTTTTTTGCAGCACATGGTTGAATGGGCATCAATGCATGAGGAAATTTGGCGTCTCTGGCTTCCATGTTTCCATCATAGGACTTAGAGTTTTTGGATTTGAATTGTATGTAGAAATTTTGAAATCTAAACACTAAAAGTTAAGATGAAACTTAATGGTACAAATTCATTTGTGAATGAAACCAAGTAAGTTTCCTCCATCTCAATACATTATCATGCCCTGTAGGGTGACAATGATGAAATAATGTTGACCAGTATGACAGAAAAATGTATTTGGTAGAAAGTTATTTCACACTACACAGATACTTCCAGACTCTGGCTTACTGTAAGTAATCTGTCTTGTCGCCATGTCTGTCTGCCTATAGTGCACTCATGCCTTCTGTTTGTATGCATCACAAGCCGGCATTTGCCTTTCTGGTCTCTACAGCCTGGATAACCAGGGTTTAGCTTGAGTCAGGCAGCCAAGTGAAGCAGAGCGAGGCAAAGCTGATGCGAACAGCCACTGCAGCTTGTTTGTGTGTGTGTGTTTGCTGCAAAGGTATCCCTTGTTGTGTGCCACCATGTGTTTTATGTTTGTGTACTCATGCATCTGGTCACTATCTCCCTGACACACCTTGCCCTGCAGACAGCTTGGCGGAGCCTGGACTGGGGCGGGGGGTGGTATGAGGGGGTAAAGGGCAGTGAGAGGAGAGGTGGTCAGGGGGCGGGCGGGCAGCGCAGTGGCACGCAGCAGGTGAGTGGGCAGCGCCAGGGGATTATCTTCTGTTTTCATGTCCCTCTGTCTCTCACCTGCTCAACCAACTCTGACCATCAGGGCTGCCAGGCTTATGGACTTATGGCCAGTCAGGCATGTTCAAACAATAACAAAGAAGCCCCTGTGTCCCAACATGGCCATCTGAACAGAAATGACAAAAGTGACCATGTTACAGAAGAGCGCATCTGGAATAACAAAGAAATATGTAGTGTTATTTTTTGGCATTGGGAAGGTGCTATTTTAATTGTTCTTCACTTTTACTTTTTGAATATGGAAGATAAAATATAAACCACATATTGGTGTTTCTGACATATACACACTTTTGTTAAAGGTGAGGAATGCACCTTTGACCTGCACTGTCAAAGGCAACCCTGCTTATTGCCGGGGTTCATCTGAATGTTGTTGTTTTGCCATTATACTTGCCTTTTACATAGGACACAAGCATGTAACTTCCCTCTGCTCAGTTTCAAGTGGACCAGCAACTTGCAAGTCTTTTTTTTAGCGCTAAAATTATCCATAATTGAGGAACCCAAACTGAGCGACATTTCAAACGAAACAATAACAGGTGAGAAGCAGGTACCGGACCACTTCACAAATAGCAGGTTACTAAAAGGACAGTTGAGGAATGCAGTCATTATTCTGTTAGTTATTTTACGTTTTGTTCATGTGATCTTTTCAGCGCTTTATGGGTATTAGATATTCTGCAAGTTCATTAATCTAAGACAATTTTATGTCTTATCAAAGCCGCTGCAAAATTGCTGTACTAAGTCCTTCTTTCACCGATCCTTTGAGGTTTGCCCCCTCTGCTAAGTTCCTCTTGTGGATTTTCCTGACCAGTTTCACTTGCGCACTGATTGGACCTTGTTAACAGTGGGGGACTTGACTAATTGCAGTCTGTTAATTGAACACAGACTAATAGTGCAGTGATGGGCCATGAAACTAGCGGCACGGAGGGGGGAGAGAGGGAAGAGCTGAGCCGCAGGACCTAACCAGAGCGCGTCAGCTCCTCTTCTTATCAAAATATTATTTCAGTGGATTAATCCCTTTTTAATGTGTGTCTTTAGCAAGGCACGGCGGCAGAAATCACCTCGGCTGTCTGCTCCAACAGCCCGACTATACGCTATCTCTCTTCTCTGCCTCGCTCAGCTCTCAGCCCCTCGAGTCTCTCATGCATTATGTAGTGATGATTATTACTTAATTACACATTAATAAATCCGCTTCATTTGCAGGACATTAAACGGGACTTGAGCGCATGTGACAGGGAGACGGAGCAGAGCAGTGAGAAGCGTACAGCAGCAGGGCATGGGGAGCTGTGAGCTTTTAGCAGTGGTTTGGTGTGTTTTTAAATACAGTTAGGTAGCAATTCAGTGGGGTACGAATTCACATAGATTAGTCATATAATCAGCTAAAATAACATTAGTATTATCTCCATATTTGTTCTGCCATAGCCAACCTTCTCGTAACTAGGAATGACTTAAATGTTATACGAGATCTTAGAATGGTATTTATTCCTTGCCTGGAGTTAAGTTATTGTCAATTAATGGCACAGTACTCAATGAACAACTGCCAACTCACCAAATGTGGATGAAAAGGAAGTGTAAAGGGAAAACTCATAATGTTCCACTCCATAATGTTGGTTGGTGACACTCCTGTTGCTTTGCAATATTCACCGTCATTCATACGAGTAAAATGCAAGGCTTTCACAATCTAAAATATATCAGAAACTCTTTCTTTTAAATTTTCAAGTCAACATATTTGGCTATTTTTCAAACCTTCACTTTAGAATTGTTTTTTGTTGCTTTTTTAGCTCTCTTAGCTCTTTGGCAGAATATATGATATATATAATATGTACAAACATACATTCAAGGAAACAAGCTGGGTCATTAACGAGTGCATTTAAAGGGGCAGTCTTTGAAAAAAGTCTTTTGTTCTTACTAATTGAGACTATTCTGTTCTTGCATCAAATGGGTACAGTATGCTAGTATGCTTAGTGATATGTGAAGTGCCACATAAAGTTCCTCCTGTATAAAAGCTTACATTGGCTTTGCATTAAGACGTACTGAACCATTAAATGGCATCCAGAGCACTTTTCCATGAATGCAATTGATTTGCCAGCAGGTGGTGGATTGGATTTGTTCATTGTGTTGTAATGGCATGCTCATTCTGAGTAATGGTAAATTGAAGAGCAATTATATATATATTTTTAAGGTATGTAAGATATGATTAGATAAGTTAAGTGTTGTTACCCAGTGGGATTCTTTCGCTTTTTCATAGGTGTATACTGTATATGTTGCACTTGGTCAATTGTTTCTCCATGGGAATGTATCGGTTTGCCTCTGATGTTCTCGGGTTAACCTTATTCAGTGAGATTTCCTTATTTCTGCAGATAATGACATCTCCGTTTCTCAATTCTCCACCAGCAAAAGTTGTATGCAGTACGTTTTTCTTTGCTGATATGAATTTGCTGGTTATTCATCTAACTTTATATCAAAATAATGCTTGAGGACCACTCTTGTTTCCTCTCATGCTTCCTAAAACCTCCCCCTGCTGCCTCCTTCAACCCCCTCCCTTCTTCCCTCCGTCTGTACATTAAACATTAGTGGTGGGGGCAATTAGTGGTGCCCCTCTGCACACCTGGCTAATGCATAATATATTTATTGGGCTTTCTCTTCTTTGCACACAAGCACACACGGCTGGCTCTGAAAGCAGGACTGTGTGGAAAAGGAGAATGTGTGCGTGCATGTGTGTGATGTAGCTGAGAATGGCACTGACTTTTGGAGAGGGTTACAAAGGTTTATGCCCACTGCTCTGCCCTGCATGACCTCTGCTGCTGGAGATCAAATCTGATCATGACTGATCAGAGGCAGCCATGTTCTTAGAAAAGTCTTTGATTGTTGATTTTTTTTTCACATTACTTTTGTGAATGTAGGTCTTAACCATTATTGAAACACAATTAAAACGGTTTCATGATCTTGGCTGACAAATGGTTAAATAATCTCTATAGAATGCCGTATGCTGATAGTGGTAAAATTGATTTGCATACATCTACATACATTCATTGGCAACGTCCACAGAAGCAGAACTTTTCACTCACTATTGTGCCAGAGCCCCCATCTGCTTCTCCATACTGAATGCTTCGGAGTATTTTGGTATATCCAAAGTTTCTTGGCAAAGTGAATTTGTGCAAATATACACTGTTTTGAGACCAACTGCATGAAATGACATGAAATTATCATAGGAAGGGCCATCGCTTTTGTCCAATGCTTTTGCTTTCCAACTATTTGAAAATGTTGTAAATGCAAAGCAACACATGGGGTTTGGTTCCTAAAGTTTTTGATATGTAAAGTATGTCATCTTTAAAAAAACGACTGTTATTTTCTGATGATGCGGCCGTCTTCTCAATGTAGAGGCCATTGTTTGTCCACATCATCAACCCCCTTGTTTCTCTGAGCCTTTTGCCTTTTGTGCCTGTGTCGGTGCACAATAAACCTGCTCTTTCACCATAGACTCACTCTGACGTGCTTTATACTGGGAGCATGGAGCCTGCTCCAGAACAAGATGTTTGTATTGTCTGGCTCTTTTAATGGGACGCTGCCGAGGCTTTGTAGCCGACTCCACTATAGACTAAGCAGTGGTCCTTTTTAGTGTCCAAGTTGGTTTTTCTAACTCCTTGCAGTCAAAAGGCAAAAGCCCCCCTCTGTGAGGCTTACAATGGAGAAGGAAAAGAGTTGGAGCCGACTTGAACAAGGGAGAAAAGCCATCCGTTTAAGTTGTTGTAAGATGTGGTTATTTAAATGTATCTTGTTAAACACAAATCACTCTTTACGTGCGAATTAGCATTTCAGAACTGGCCCAAACCCAAGATTTGGTATTATTACCCCAAATACACAATCGGGGTCAGTTCCTTTTGGATCTATCTTTTTATCCACATATTTATTTTTCTCCTCCATTAGATCATGTTGTATATTGTAAAGTTTGCTCATAACCAAAAAGGGTTCTTGGAAGGAATGATTGATCCTGCAGTATATCGTCTGTCCATGATTGCATATCAGTCACGTCTTGTTGTGTGTATTTTTCTTGATAGTCCCAGAAGATGTATTGCGATCCACTTAATCTGTCCACTAGCGATGTGGCGTGACACAAAGCCGTTTATTGCATCTCTACACTGCTCTCCCTCACACTTCGCTACTCGTGTAAACCTTAATCAACTTTGTATCAAGCTAGATAATGCCAGGGTGAGAAATGTTTGTTCAGTTAAGGCAGTTAAAATGCAGTTAAAAGATAAGTTGTACTACAGAATTGTCTTTACCCTTCTCTTTGCACTGTATAATGCACAGAACAGAAGACTGTATAGGTTTAGATGATTTTAAATCCGTCTAAACTCTTGTGTCGTGTAAGAGTATTGGAGAATGAACTCTGCAAGCACCCCACAGTGTGCCTCAGTGCAGCTCTGTGACTGAGTGTTGTGTTATTGGTGCAGTTATTTCGGGGCGTCCCGGGAGCCCAGGTACTCCAGAGGACGACTCCCTGTCCTCGCGCTGTCCCACTGTCCTCCTTCACGTCCCTTTGCTCACACTAGATCCTCCTCTTTCTCCTGTTTCTGCTCCTCTTCTCTTCCTCACGTATGCGCCGCTATCGATTGCGCTTCCTTCACGGCGCGTGCTGACAGACAGAAAAACAAATGTCAGATCAGAGAAGCTCTTTAATCTCAAGCTGTGATGTTTGGCCCTGAACATCAACTCTGCTCTTGTCGGCATGTTCGCACTGTGAGGAAAGGAGTAAATTTGGACTGTGTTAATAGGGAGTTCTGTTTGAACTGTCGTTTCAGTTTCCATCTAATTGCAAACATTTTGATATACTTGTCTCACTAAAACTATTAGCCATATTCATATTACCAGTAATTGTAAGTTCAGTTGCAATGTACAGTGCCTTGCGAAAGTATTCGGCCCCCTTGAACCTTTCAACATTTCGCCACATTTCAGGCTTCAAATATAAAGATATAAAAATTAAAAATGTTGTCAAGAATCAACAATAAAGTGGGACACAATTGTGAAGTGGAACAACATTTATTGGCTAATTTAATTTTTTTTAACAAATAAAAAACGGAAAAGTGGGGTGTGCAATATTATTCGGCCCCCTTGCGCTAATACTTGGTAGTGCCACCTTTTGCGGCAATTAAAGCTGCAAGTCGCTTGGGGTATGCCTCTTATCAGTTTTGCACATCAAGAGACTGGAATTCTTTCCCATTCATCCTTGCAAAACAGCTCGAGCTCAGTGAGGTTGGATGGAGAGCGTTTGTGAACAGCAGTCTTCAGCTCTTTCCACAGATTCTCGATTGGATTCAGGTCTAGACTTTGACTTGGCCATTCTAACACCTGGATACGTCTATTTGTGAACCATTCCATTGTAGATTTGGCTTTGTTTTGGATCATTGTCCTGTTGGAAGATAGATCTCCGTCCCAGTCTCAGGTCTTTTGCAGACTCCAACAGGTTTTCTTCCAGAATGGTCCTGTATTTGGCTCCATCCATCTTCCCATCAATTTTAGCCATCTTACCTGTCCCTGCTGAAAAAAAGCAAGCCCAAACCATGATGCTGCCACCACCATGTTTGACAGTGGGGATGGTGTGTTCAGGGTGATGAGCTGTGTTGCTTTTACGCCAAACATATCATTTTGCATTGTGGCCAAAAAGTTCGATTTTGGTTTCATCTGACCAGAGCACCTTCTTCCACATGTTTGGTGTGTCTCCCAGGTGGCTTGTGGCAAACTTTAAAGGAGACTTTTTATGGATATCTTTGAGAAATGGCTTTCTTCTTGCCACTCTTCCATAAAGGCCAGATTTGTGCAGTGCACTGCACAGACTGATTGTTGTCCTATGGACAGACTCTCCCACCTCAGCTGTAGTTATCTGCAGTTCATCCAGAGTGATCTTGGCTGCATCTCTGATCAGTCTTCTCCTTGTTTGAGATGAAGCTTGGGAAATCTTTTTGTATCCAAATCCGGCTTTAAACTTCTCCACAACAGTATCTCGGACCTGCCTGGTGTGTTCCTTTGTCTTCATGGTTCTCTCTGCGCTTTAAACAGAACCCTGAGACTATCAAAGAGCAGGTGCATTTATACAGAGACTTGATTACACACAGGTGCATTCTATTTATCATCATCAGTCATTTAGGACAACATTGGATCATTCAAAGATCCTCACTGAACTTCTGGAGTGAGTTTGCTGCACTGAAAGTAAAGGGGCCAAATAATATTGCACGCCCCACTTTTCAGTTTTTTATTTGTTAAAAAAGTTTAAATTATCCAATAAATTTCGTTCAGCTTCACGATTGTGTCCCACTTGTTGTTGATTCATGACAACAAATTAAAATGTTATATCTTTATGCTTGAAGCCTGAAATGTGGCGAAATGTTGAAAGGTTCAAGGGGGCCGAATACTTTCGCAAGGCACTGTATGACCTATGATGTATGACTAATTTTGTCTTTGGAATTTGGCCTGTTTTAAATATATAATAATAGATGTTCAGAGAACTTTTTTTTTTTTGGGGGAAAAAAAAAAAATTCTCGGAGTGTTTTGGACCAGATTGCGAAGTAGCATCATTAGCCCTACTCTGCCCTAATCTTGTACCGTATCCTAGCAACATTCCCACATCAAACCAGTATCCAGAAAAATTCTGTGGTGCCCATGGCTTCCAGCAGTACTCACTAACGTCAGTACCAGCTCGACCTTGTAGAGGGGCCGGTGAAAACGCTTCAAATCTCTCAATCGAGGTGGAGTAGTACCTGTGGCTCTTTTATCCATTAAGCAGAAATCCTTGATAAATGTGAAGGTGCTACAAACAAGACTAGTGTTTATATCAACAATGATTTAAAAAGTTGTTCCAGGCAGAATAAGCTATTGAGCAAAGAAGCAAATCTTTCCTAACAACATAACATTAAAGAGGATAAAATTGTCAGGATGAAGTAAGGAAACCTGCAGAAAAAGGGTATTTTTGAGAAGTTGGTGAATAGGCCAACACTGGAAACATAGTGTGATTACAGCGGGAAGTGGCACCAAGCGGCTGAGAGGGCGACCAAGCTTGTCCGCCAGGCTTTGTGTTGTTGTGCCATCCATCTAAGCCCTCTGCTACCTCTGTCCCCCACAGCTCACCAGTGTGCGTGTGTTTATGTGTTTTAAGGCTGTTTTATTCAGAATGCAGGCGGGCAGGGACGGCCTTTCACTGCTGATAAAAGTATTTGGTTAATCAGCTTCTGTCCTCTGTCCCAAGTGTGTGTGTGTGTGAGTGTGTGTCTATGTACAATTTTGTGTCTGCGCCCAACACAGGCCATTGAAGTTTGGGAGACTCCCTGGAGGCGGGCTGGGGATGGAGATTGGCATCAGATCTCTGCCAGTAGAGTCTCAAAGTTATTCCTGTGGGACTGCCACGGCAGCCAATCACAGAGTCCCATTGGAGGTGCAGAGGCGAGAGGGGGTGGGGTGAAGAAGTGGGTTGTGTAAACCCCAATTTCACCCGAGCAAGACAGGACAGGGCAGCGCCATATAATGCAGCTGGGCTATAACAAGCATACTTTTTATTCAAAAAATTAAATGCAAATATATGAAGGGTAGAAAACACAATGCAGCTACATCACCCGAGGCCCAAGAGCTTAACAACATATCTATGAGACGTTATAGTTTAATATGTAAACTACATTTTATTTTAATTGAATTGAACTAACCCTAACCCCTTCTGCCTTTCTAGTTGTAGTTGTCATACATTTCCGGTTTAACTATTCAACACTGAACAATTTAGTCACAATCAGGAAGCCCTGTATCAAAGCACATGTTCCTTTTTACTGTCGTGGTTGAAATAAGTCTGGACAATAGAGAATGGATGTGAAGAGGCTCTCAGATGAGGAAAAAGAGAGTCAGATGACAATTACCCTCTTGACTTGTGTCCAGCCCTAGTTGTCAATCAGTGCGACCCCCTGGGTGTAAAACAATGCTTGTGATTGGTTTTGCAGTCTGACGTCCCGCCTCCCAGGACCAGCCGGCCAGTACGTGATTGGCCACACTGACCTGTTCATCTAGCGGGATGTGGGAACACCAGAGCCCCGCCGCCAGGGGAATACATGGCCCTGATACGCAGCGTGCATTCATGTGTTGTGGAGCTGCCGCATACAAAGCTTTCTTACTTGCGGTGAACTGCTTACATGGAATATTACAGGAGTTTAAAGATGATTCTCAAGCAAGTTTAAGATATTTTTCTCATATCAAGTAATGACCACTCAATTGGTGAGAAGAGTCAGGACAAAGGTGTGTTTGTGTCGCTCGTTCTCCAACTGCAACACTTTTAGGTCCTCCTATTGCATAAAAAGTGGTGAAATGTTGGTCTTTACTGCCAGCAGTGGAGTGGGAATGTAGATTGGAGTGAGACATGCAGCCAATATTAATATTTCTAATTGTGCTTGCAGAAACCTAACCCAAAATGGAAAAGAAGAGAAATCCAGACCGTAATATTTATCAAATAATTTCTCTCTGATAATGTCCATAGACCCAATAAAAATGGGAATAAGACATTCTAATGGGCTGATATGTAGCGGCGTGTGATTAATATTGTCAACAATGTAAATATTTGTTGATGATGATGCACAACGTTAACATAACACAAAGCCCTTTGTCCCATTTACCCCCTCCTCTTTCAGCATGTACCGTGCGATGTGCTGTCAAACTAAAATTAGATCACACCTCCACTACACCACACGTGTACACAACTTCAAGGCAACATGATATCACTGCTTAAAATATACGAATATTCATAATGGTTCAACACACTATGTATATCTTCTTTTGTAATGTTGTGCGTTACAATGAGTTGACTTTCTCATGGATTGAGATGTTGCCTGTATTCCCGTTGGCGAAGTGTTGGCGTAGTGTTGCTCTCAGAACATGCTCCGGGGGGTGTTTACATGATTTTGCTGAGCACACGTTTGATCCGGAGCCATCTGCACTCTCCATATTCTTTTGGCTAGTGTACAGGTGTGACACTTGTGCATTGTTGTGTGTCTCTTCAAGTCTTAATCATGTCTGGCCACTCAACACACGACAGTGTTTTCCAGTGTTTTTGCGCTTGGAACAGTGAGTTTATGCAAAAATGTATATCGTATTATTTTTTTGAAATCGGACCACACTGTCTTTATTGTATTACCCCGCCAACAAGGAGGGTATTGCAATCGCCTGTATGTGTGTGTTTGTCTACAGGATTGCGAAAAACCTATTAGTCTGACTATGACTTGAGTTGAAATGTGGTGTGTGTTGATGGGACGTGGTAGGAAGACCACACTGGCTGAGCAAGAGCGGTCTTCTTCTTTCCCCCTCTTCTGTCTGAAAAAGCTGGGGTAAAAATGTGATGGAAGACAAAAAGTACATGAGATTTGAACATTTCTAGGGGTTTTAATTGTGTATTTTACAACAATATGGTGGTGTAAACAATGTATACTTAACGCTCCATCCTCTGCATTTTCATACAAAACCACTCTCCGATGGCCCACTGGCAGTCCCCCTGGCGCCCCCCTGGTGCCTGTAGGGTTCACTGTAGCTGTGAGCTTGTCTCAAAGGGGGGCACATGGAGGATATAGGAATCTAAATAAAGCTGTGTGCGCCTAATGAAACTCACTGTACTCCCCAGTGTCTCATCAGCAAAAAAGGACTTAACAGACACCAGATGTACTGTTAAGGTCTTTCTACAATGTCCAAAACTCTGGAGAACTTGTATCAGCTCTCAATTCTGAAGGCGTCTTCAATTCGATGGGATTATTAAACAGGTGTGACGAATGTTGGTCTCGCCCCTGTGCACTCTTGGGGCTCCAGACAATTGGAAGCTTTGAAACTTTCCCTTATTACGCAAACTTTTCAACTGTAGTTGTAAATTCTTATAATTGTTTCTAATACAAGTTTGGCTTCTCCCCTGTCCTTCACTACTCAATGTCTCATTCCAATCTAATTGACACATGCGGCTCAACCGCTGTGCTTTGTAAACGCACTGGTGAAAACTGATGTAGGATGCTTTCTATAAGGGAAGGAACTCTTGGGCTTTTCTAGTTTAAAGATATACTTAGTGGTACTGTTTGTTTTTGTTAAATGATAACTATGTACATATGTTGTACATGTTGTTTGTCCCATCAGAATAAGTTCTGTGAACATATCAGACCATGCTGTTTTCTGTATCGTTTGAATGCTAGTGGTTCTCTTTCACTTTTCTAACTGGGTTAGGGTTAGCTGATCTAAACATGTGACAGAGGGAGTAAATATGAACAATTGTCATGGAACCAAACTGTATTTAATCCTTTGTCGTCTGAAATTTAGGTACCCAGCTTTAAGTCCAGTTGTGTCTCATGGCGACTGATTAATTATTCTCTTGACACTCACTTACTTCGTACGGAACTGTAAAGCTATGTTCATATCAGGACACAAGTCGGAAAGTTTACAGGCTGTCCAACAAAGTGTGTATTTTGGTTCTAAAAGGAACCCTTGGGTGATTTATAACTTCTTGTTTTGGGTTGAGCTTCACTGCGGATGGCACAGAGAAGGGGTGGGAGGATTTGGAAAAAGAGGTAAGCGGAGCAGAAATCAAGGATATACCAGACTTGCACAGAGGATGCGAGAGACGCCCAGAGCAGACCAAGGGTGAGCAGGAAACCCCATTGTGCGTCCAGTCGGGTCACTTCCTGTTTGTTTGCCAGCTCCACTTCCCCTCTTCCTGTTGTACCCAGGAAGTGAGCGTCATGTTCAGGCTCTGATCCGCCCTGCATGTGGGACACGTGTCAGGAGAGTGCGTTGACAAATAGGCGTGTTTTCTCCTGTTTGCGTTTTTAGCAGATGCTCTTTGTTAACCTTATTATGCTGCATCCACCCATTCATAAGGCTCTTGTTGTCGTGAATGGTGTCAATGTAATATTTATGATGGCAGTAAAAGTATGGCTCGCTCTAATATATATATTATGCTAAATATAGTATTATAGTTGATTCTATAAACTATAGACACTCAATGAAACAAACATTTCTTATACATTAATTTAAAAATACATTTTCAACGACATCAGAAGATAAGGTTTACTGTATTTGTACCCTTAGGTAGACATTGCATCCCATTCAATACAATACATTCAGTCAAAAACAAACAATAAAAGTTGTATGTGCTCTATTTGTGTGAATTATGTTTAAAGAGCAACCGACCCACAGACACGAATAAAAAGGTACAATCCTAAAAAGATCAAAAGTATCACAGCAGTGGGAATAAAACTCTTCTTGTGTTCGGAAGATGTTTAAAACCATGTAGTCTTAACAAAACATTTATTTTGAAAAGTCAGTTTTTATCTAGGCCCTGACACATGTGTTGGACATTTAGTGATATAATGTACAGTGAACTTGTTTTTCTGCTGTCCCAGCCACTCTGTAACTTCTATTTTTTTGTGTGTGTTTCTTTTCTCTCAGCAGTGGAAGAAGGGGAGTCCTCTGAAGGCACAGGGCCCTGGGATGAATCCACCGTCCAGACAGGTCAGTACACACACACACCCCTGCAATAATGTTGTCATCTACACTCTCTACCGTCACACTCATAATTTATAATATCAATTCCACGTGGTTTACAGCTGCCTGCATTTAGGGATGTGAAAATGGAAGCTTAGGAAAGTATTAGGTAAAGACAAACCACTTTAAAGGAGATTTGTCTGAGAAGATGTGTACTGGTCTCTGGGGCGGGTGTGAATGGAAAGAATCCATGTGGGGCTTCTGCAGGAGGACCGGTGGGTGGAGGGCTGAGAAGAGAAGGAGGATTTGTGTGACTGCGTTTGACTGCACTGTGGGACCAAAGCACAGGGCGAGCTTCACTTTGGATTGTGTTGCTGGAATTGTGTTTTTCCTTGTGGTTTCTCCAAAGTCGGGGCTCTATTTTTCTTAACCATCTCCGACCTCAGCTACATGGAAAGTCTAAAAGTAACCTCATTTGAACTATTGGCTTTTCTGAAGGAACTAGAAGCAGATGCTGACTCTTGAGTTTGTGTAGTTCCCTGGAAAGTTATAGTTTGAATAGTTTGTAATTAAGCAAATAATCTGCAAAATTTCAGCTATAGAAAAACAAGAGTTAAAGCTAGGGGTGTGCATGAGGAGACTTTTCTAGAAACAATCTACAATAACTGATGCACTTATTTTTCATGGAATTGTATCACATTCCATGGATATATATATTTTATTGAATCGTGTCGTGGCCTATGTATGGAAAAATGGGATCATTTCAGTAGTATGTTATCCTTTTCAGACTTAATGTTCCAAGTTAAGTTTGAATAGATTTGACCAGTAGGACTTTCGGACCAATACTAATGTGTTTTCTGATTCATTTCTTGTGTTGGAACTGTTTGATTCTCTGATCTGTGTTGGCGAATTTAACGGTTGTGTAAAAACCTCCGAGATAACCACTGTTTTGCTTTAGGGCTATAAAAGAATACATTGAATTGAATTAATGTAATTCTATAAGTTAACAATAGCATGCACCTGATGTTGAGTAGCTGATATACTGATTTAATGTCATGACAATAGGCCATAACACCTTGTTTCTCCTAGTTTTGGTTTCTACCCAGTTTTAAATTCCTCAGTTTTCAAAGTGGAAGCAAAAAGCAGTTTGACCAGTGTGAGTGTTTGTTAGCAGCAGCTTCTTTTTGTGCTCTGGTTTGCAGCCAATCAGAGTAGAGTTAAAGACTTCCTCTGACGGGCACTCAGCTGGGAAATCAGATCCTGCTGAATGTGGTAAATATGCGCTTATCTCTGTGCGTGCTCGTCTCTCGTTCAGCTCTTCGGGGAGGGCAGCATAGGAAAGTCTGACCCCTGGGGTGTGCATGACGTCGGCTAAACCATGCGCCCCCTCCACATCGTATCTCCAGCTTGGTGCTAACTCTCCTCCGGGGGCTGGTGTGCAGCTCGTTGCGGGCGTGCGTGTTAAGGGGGGTGCTGACGGAGGTCCTGGGTGGCTCCGCAGAACTGCTGTGTATGTCAGATCCTGCAGGAAGCCCGGCTCCCTGGGCACTCACACACACACACACCTCTCCACTCTTACACACCCGTCGTAAAAACATACTGTCCCATATTTCCTTACTCAGCCACTCTTTCAATTTTGAATTTTTACAGTCAATTCCCCGTCCCAGCGTCCTCCCATCAGTTTTCTCGGCGTGCTCATCTGTTTCTTTCTCTGCATGCACATCTCCTTTACGTTTCCTCCACTTTCTGCTTCTATTCTTTGTTCGTTTTTCTTTCACCAAGTTGAAAACGAATGATAAACAACCAACAGTAAAAGTGAGGTTTTGTAATTATAGGATCCTAACAATAGAAAACCATTTTCGAAGATATGATAGCGTACAACTGGAGACAACTAGTTGCAAGGCGGCTTTTGGCAACTGAGAGTAGATGATGGGAGATGATCAGTTGCCGAAATCGGTCGACGTGAGCGCTCTTACAACTGGAGATAAATAGTCTATCTCCCGATTCAGTCAGCTGCCCGTGTTCTACTTTTTGGCAACTAGTTGTCCTCAGATCCAGAGATGTGCGCGCTCCAACAACATGTGTTGAGAGTGTTATCATGTGACGTATTGCGCGCCCTCTACAGTTTATGTCAGAAAACGCACTGTAGTTGACGGCCAGTTGCTGTCGATGTACGTGCTGTTATTCCAGAGACTGGTCTGTTACTAGCAGTTGCCCGTTTTTGCCAGATTGTCAATGTGTGCGGGGCAGCAACTCCTAGGCGACGGATATAATCAGTTGACAGTCCGATGTACGCTAGGCATTAAGACAGTCAATTGATGGACAATGCTAAGCCTCTTGTGCAATGAAAGCCCAAGAGGAAAGTTCTCATGGATGGAGTTTTGCTCCAACTCATTCTGGCCCCCATTAACTTACATTGAGAGTAAACTCCTCTAGCTCAGTAACCGTTTGTATCGTACTTGCCATTCTGGACTTAAACAATCTGTATTTATTATATTTCTAAATCCAGGTATGAACTGTAACAAGTGACCAAATCAAGTGCTTTCTGTTGCCAAATTCACAATTTTATTATTTGCCTCATGGATGACACTATGGATATCACAAATCTGGCTCAGCTCAAAATGAATACACTGGAACTCTCAAAGATGTCCTTGAAAGTTGAAACTGATTATTTGACACTGTTGATCAATTAATCCACTAAGAAAATAATGTATTACAAATTTACTGAATTACTGAACGAGCGTAACTTTACCTTTGACAGTCTTCAAACAAAGTTGATTTCTTCATTATTTATTTATCACTTTTGGTTTTACTAATCAATACCTATCTGATTTCTTGCTTGTGTGTGATATTTTAGCAATGGCTGGGGCAGGAAAAACAGGACACCAGTTTCTCTGCCACTTCCCTTATCCTCCCCTCTCCACTGTACCCTCTGGAGGTCCATAATGTAGATTTAATTTCCCCAAGGCAAGCACAGGAAAACAGCTTCCCAATGTGTGCATGAACTATTATTGCCTGCTTGTGACGGCACACCCACTGTCGCACTTTTGGTCTCAATAGCAGCATTTAGGCTCGGCCACATATTAATAAGTGAGCATCTGTCATGATTTCAAGTGTGTGCTATGATGGTTTGTACATGTTTATCTTTGCAGCTTCCTTCCATGACGTATGTGGTGCTTTCATCATTTTCTTTCCAGGCAGCGGCATTGGGTGCTGCACTCCCTTGCCGCAGAGTTACCCATGGGTGCTAATATGTGCATGTGCGTGTGTGTGTGTGTGTGTGTGTGTGTGTGTGTGTACTGTGGCTGGGCTGGGCCATTCCCAAAGGTGCAAAGCTTGTTTTGTGAAGAAAAAAAGAAAAAATACACTAGTGTGGGAGGCAGAGGGGGAGGAGAATTATCTTCTTTATATAGCCACTGAACACATTTTCGTCACAAACAGAGAGATAGAGAGGAGCGAGAGTGGGGGGTTCTCTCCTGAGAGCAGAGGCCTGTGTTGTTTTGTCCAGTTGCACCTGTTCGCCCTGTTTGTCACTGCACCGCTAAGTGCGTACGCTCAAACGCTCCCACTGTTCTCTGGGCCTGTCTTTGCGTCAGTGTTCTAAAAATTACGATGGTTGTTGCAAGGGCTGAATTGAATCAAGTTAATATGAAGTTGTTCAATTATATAATTTAAAAAAAAATTATTATTCATTGTCTCAATTATTCTGATAGTTAACAGAAGTAACTGCAGTGCTGGTCGCGCACAAAAAAGTTACCACAGGGCACCGCGCTGAGGGCGTTGTACTGATTTTGCAATTAAGAGTGAAATTCATGCCGATAAGCATGTGTTTGATTAATCATTCAAATGCAATAATTGATAGATTACTCAATAGTTGCAGAATTAGATTTTAATGTATATATTTTTGAGGCCAATAACAGTAAAACTGTTGTCATTATTATCATTTGTAAATAGTAAATACTAATAGTATAGTAGAAAGCGTAAAGCTTCAGCATAAATCCTGCTGTCCTTGCACTGACCAGTCATTATGTTGTCAGTGTTGCAGTGCAATTACAGGTACATGATAACAGGAATGGGGGACACACATCAGAGAAGATTGCAATAAAAAATAATAGCACAACAGTTAACTTAGCCTTCTTTATGTTGCTTATTGCTATGGCCAAAAGAAAATGTGTTATCACTGGCTACTTCTGGAAAAGCTAAAAGAGTTGAGTTTTGATCATCAGTGTGTGGTGCCCGTACAGACAGTAATGGTGCCCGCCAGGTGCCTGTGTATTGGGGTCCAGCGAGCCACGCCATGTGGAGCAGAATGAAAGCCTTGTGTGCACTCTGTTTGGTTTCTAAACATTCTGCTGGAAGCTGCACACACGCTTACGCCCGCCTTTTGAAGCCCCTTTCCTCTCACACAGACTGTGTGTTTCTGTGCACTTGGCCTGCAGTCATACACTATATACATCTGTGAGTGTGTCCCAGACAGACCGCATAAGCTGCCAAATCCACCACGTGAATAAGTACCTTACCTTTGCAGAATGGCACTATGTTTTATTCCCCTTTAACTGGGGCTGTGCTTCCTTCACCCTGGGGCAGCTCAGGAACAGTTCCCAGAGTTCATTAGCTCCCCGGTTCTCTTCCCACTGGATATACGAAGACGGAGCGCTCCTGCTGACTGCGTGTTTGATTTTCGGTGTTCCAGTTTGTGTCAGTACCAGCTTATCTTGGCAAGTGCTCTCGGCAATGCCATAGAATCTGACTGAATCTGTGGCATAGTGCATCCAGAAGACTTCACTCCGTAGTGTTAAGGTCTTTGTCAAGTCCCTGACACTTCACCAGAGCAGCTATGCTTGACTGTTAAGTTTAAAATCGAGCTCTTCATATCTTCACATAATACCTGTGAAACACTGTGAATGAACATGAAATGAAAACAGCCAGCACGTGTAGCGAGTGCCTAACGAGCGGTGATTAGTGGGTCTGAGCTAGGCGTGGCTAGGCGTTGTAACATCATTCTGCACTGTGGACTCTGCTAATTCACTTCTCTTTATCTAATTACCCAAGGTGCACGCAAACACACTCGCGCACATGCTGCAGCACAGTTTCACACACTTTCCCCGTGCACAGTATTTCCCGTAGATTTGCAAAATGACCCCATTATTCCTCAGCCATCCACTTAGTTATTTATATTTTTATTGGTTAATAAACAGTCCATTGTCCTGAGATATGGAGGCTGCTTGAAACTCACTGGAGAATTGCCTTTTACCTTTCCTCCAGAGAGGTAGGATGGAATTTGGAAGCATCCATCATGACATTCAGCCCGTGCTGGGTCACATTAGTGAATATTGTGCTGAAACTTGTTGTATTTATAGCAGTAAATAAGTTAAACATAACAGAATTGAACTTGCCTGCCACCAATTGTGACACATCAATTTGAGTGACTGAATCAGCAAACCTTGATTCATGTAACTCTCTTCCACAACCTTAAGGTTCAGGAAAAAAAGTTGTGTAATTGTGATTCGGGCTGCATTGGGCATTCTATAAAGTGTAGAAGCCAAACCATTTATGATTTAATTGACTCCATCTCAGGTAAGAACTCAATTACTCATGCATCATTGGCTAATCCGTATCGGTGCGCATAATGAGCGGAGGCACATGCAGAGAACGAGCTGTTACTCACATCTCAGTCATTTTTTTTATGAAATTCTAATTAAACGTCAATCATTAGCACCCTTTATTTAGGCTTACACAATTCAACTCCATTAATTTAACGAATGCATGAATGTATTACTAACACTATATATCTGAATAGTGTTCCTTTAAGCAAGAGGCTGTACATTACCGTCATTGTACATAATGCTACAGTCTATCCAGTCAATTTCTTTCTATTGCTGCTGCTGCTGGAGCCAGAACCCAGCTAGTTAATTTGATTTAATTGCATTCACTGTGCATCCCAGGTGTGATTCAGTCCCTCATTACATGGCTAGAATAAAAATCAGCAGGACACAGGGACTCGAAGGCTGCTAGAATACCACTGTACCTCACCTCATTTTCATTTTACTATTGAAAAAAATTGTATTGTCTGTATGGCCTCAGCACTGGAGTTGTAGCGCACTTGTTATTTTTCATATTTCCTGCGGGTTAATTGCAGGATGTGATTTCGACGTATTGTGCGTCTCTGTGGATGACGCAAGACTGGTGTTTGTCTTTGATTGTGAGTGCGAGTGTGTGCAGTTATTCCTGGCATAGGGACAGCCTGTGACTGGGAGATAATGGTCCTCAGTAGTGCTCACCAGTCTGACCATACATGTATCCTGATGTGTTTGCGTATATGGAAGAGGGAGACTGTGCGGTATGCAGTGCACATGCGATCTGCTATGGGACCGTTGTCATACTATTCAATCAATACCCCAACACACAGTCGGCACTCCTCCGCACCCAAGCTCACATGGGACCTCCCAGCTTTCATTAAGTAGGCCTGCTACTCCTCTCTGCTGAGACTGGGCGGGGGTGGGCTGCTCCTCCAGGAACCCAGGGAGATGCCTTTGTGAGAAACAGAAAGAATCTAGATTGTGATCAATAAAAGCTGCAGCCAGTTAACAATCACGAAACCATGATTTTTTTAAATGAGGATTACGTTATGTGTTGTGTTCCATAGTTGTAAATAACTCACACATTTATATTCTTCCAAATCAATATTTCCTTATTTCACATCTTGTATGGGTTAAATTATTGAGCATTTTGAGCATTTACGCCTTAAGTTGTAGATCAATAAATAAATTAAATCGGATTTTGACCATTTTGAAAAAGGGAGAAAAGTGTGGAGCATGAAGTCTGAGTCATCAACCAACTGTATCTTCAATATCCATCTTTACATGGCAATGGAGGCAGTTGCACATTCACAGCTTGTCGTGAGCAGCAGCAGAATAGTAAAGAGTGTAGTCTGCCTTTCTGGGGGGTCTCCTTCCTCTGTGTGAGAGCGGTAATGATCACACAGCTACTGCAGCCGGCTTCTTCATACTGTGCCCGAGACTTTCTCTAGACCTCCTCAGATTCATAAAAAGCATGATTATGTAAAGATGGTAGGTGAGAGGGGCTATAGGAAGATACATGGCCCAAGTTCAAACGAAAACTTTGATTTAGATATTTTTATTTTGTATAGTATTTTAATCAGAGGTGTTGTCAAAGTGAAAAAAAAAAAGTGTTCATTTAGCTCCGCCTATGTTGCCATAGCAGCCGATTGTGTTGGCATGTGCAGGCTTTGGCAATGCTCACACCTCTGGCATCACAGGGCCCCAGGGAGCATGGATGCCTGAGCGTATAGACCAAGTTAAAAAGTCAAAATGAATCCATAAAAAAGAATCCTCATGGAACTGCTACTGTGTATGTCTGAAGAAGATTAACCTGTGTGCATATACATGTGTGTGAACGTGCACGCGTACGTGAACTGTGCACAGGATTCGTTCAGCCATGGGGCCACTTTCCCTCCCCGGCCAGACGGTGCCCACCACTGGACAGATGGCCTCTCCTCTTCCTCCTGGTGCCTTCATCTATCTCTCCTCTCCATCCTCTCTCCTCTACATCCCCCAAACTCCTCATCACCTCAGGCCCACACTCCCAGCCTCCCAGCATCCCTGCCTCCCTCTGCACCTCCGCCATAATAAATTAAACTTGTGTGGATGCATTTGCATTTGATTTAAAATGCTCTCACTGCCTCTTAGAGTTATATATCTAGGTAATTTTACTAAGGCATTTGCGTAATCTTTAAACTTACGGCAAGCATGTTTTACAGCTTTCCCAGGCTAAGCAAAACCCTTGAACACCTAATCAAACAATACATACATAGTGATTGGCCCCTTTTTTGTTGGATTTCTTTTCAACTGGCAACTAACTAGTACTAATTGGTACTTATTTCTGTTCTTGGAATTGTAATCATAGAATTTCGGTAGGACGGGTTTAAAGAGAAGTCACAGATCCCTTATGTGCTTCATCTCTTTAACAGAGGACTATACCATCATGTCTTCCCAGTTAGGTTTTCGTTGTTTCATGGACTAATTGCCAAACCACACACACGCGCATGTATCGTTTCAGTCAGGCATTGAGACTCAATAGACTAAAGCTATTCCTATTTGCATTCAAAATAAATATATAACTGCAGCAAATCATGGAGAAGAACACGCTTCAAGATCATGTGTTACTTTCTAAACCCTTTTGGGTGCCTATCCCAAAGGGGGTGACGAGTTACAGGTTGGTGGCAAAAAAAGGCCTCTCTCAGTTTTGTTGCTTATAGTTAAAATGCTCTACAGACAAGAGCTGCAGATGCACTATCAAATGAAATCTTAATTCAAGGACAGCTCTGTTTTATCTTTTTCATTCCACCGCTGCTCTCTTCTGTCCCCTCCAGCCAGGGCCTTCAGTGTCAGTCCTATTGGATCCTCAGCGTTATAATGTGATAATAAGGTGTGAAAATGGAGACACAATGGAGCAGTGTGGTTTGCGCCGCCACAGCACTCCACTGGTCCCCTCTCACACTGCCTGTCTGTTAACAGGACACTGCCAACACAAAATGAGATGTTCCACTTTGTCAAATACAAAACTTTATCATTAAACCCCCACAACAGAAGCTTTGTGGATTATAGTCATGTTATTTCTTGTTTTTACAGAAGTCCGTGCTTCGCAGAAAGAGCCCAAAGAGGGTGAGAGGGCGGAGGAGTGCGACCAAGAAGAGCACGATGACGACCGTGACCATGATGATGATTTAGAGGACGAGTCCATATTTACATGTGACAACTGCCAGCAGGACTTTGACTGTTTGGCAGAGCTGACCGAGCACAGGACCAACCACTGCCCCGCTGGTAAGTCAATTATATTGATAATTGATTAGGCGGAAGATTATTCTTTCAATTAATCCTTTAGTTTAGCGTTAGTCCTTTAATGTATTAATGCATTTGGAACAGACAAAACTAAAGCAATGTCACTTTAAAACATAGAGATGTAACACATTCGGTTGTTTTACTTTCTTTCCATAGAATTAATGGCTCTGTCATAAAACATTCTGGGCATTTTTTGGTGTATGTGTAGTTCAAAAACCAACGAATCCATTACTAAATCAGTTTCAATCTATTTCAGATTGAAACTGCCAAAACAAAAATTCAAATTGTTGCAAATTATAGATTAACTTGTTAAAGTCCTATTATGCTTAGTACTTATATAGTACTTTTAATGATATTGCCACAAACCTGCTCCCATGCACGCCGCTGGGACAGGCCCACAGCACATACAAATGTTTCTGTTAGTTTGCTGTAATTAATGAAAGCTCTGTTGAACATGTGGCAGATGGTACCTGCATATTAATCCAAAATACAACCCTCGACAAACACATGTTTGTGGGGTCTAACTAACGAGAGTATGTGCAGACGATGGGAGGCATGGACATAGATGTATAGAGCTGATGACTTAGTTAAAAAAATAGTTTAAAAATAAGTCTAGATATGTTTAATATCTCAAAGACATTCAACGTATTGTATTTGTGTAATTGTGTACCGTGTTTCTGTGATTGTCTTTCCATCCATATAGTTTTACCTCACACCTATTTACATATTTGTATATTGATGTGATTCTGTTCTTATGCATTTAAGGCAGATTGAACATATAGACTTTAAAGAATGTATAACAGGCTTTTCATGCATTTTGTTTTGGCACTTTAGTCGTGTCAGTTAGCCACAGTGCTATAGCTGTGTTTTTGCTAATGCTTCTTAAAAGTTGGTTTATAAAATGTGTCCAGTTCACAGCTGCTATACTTTCTGCATGAAGTGCTGGTGCTATGTGCCCAAGCTTTAGCATAACTTGTGCTGTGTCTTAGTGCAAATAAGTAGTAAGGGTGTTTTTGTACTCTCAAGGCAGGATTTCCCTTATATCTGTGGGCGGCATCTTTTGTCTCGCATTTAAGATAATCAAACCCTGTGTTGATAAGAAGTTGGCAGGTGTTTTTCCCCATCAGCTGCTGTGGTGACGTCTTTCATCCAATCCGCAACAGACGATTTACTATCAGCACGACTGAGAGAGGGGTCAACATCCAATGGAAAAGCTCTGAACTAGGGACATATCGCGTTATGTCGAGTAGATTCAAGTAGAGCCAAAAAACTGCTGTGGAAAAGGCCTATTACTCCCTTACCAAGATTAAAATATTGGACACTACCCGATAAATATCACGTTTACTGCAATTGCACTTTGTGAGTGGAGTGTTTGCATGTTCTCCCCGTGTCTGCGTAGGTTTCCTCCGGGTACTCCGGTTTCCCCTACTACTAAAAATATGTACAATAGGTCTGGCATGCGCCTCCTGTTCGGCGACCCCGCTCCCATCTCTGTGTGGAGTGAGAGGACAAGTGCCCAAAAAACCAACAATTGTAAACCGCTTTGTGACTGGTCTGTGAAAGGCGGTATATAAATAAAGATTACTTTCTTACTTACTAACTACTTACTTATAATCCATGGTGTTAAAATAAGTTTCATTATAATATCTTAAAACTAAACTGTAAAGCCCAACATTTTTCCCAAATATTTTCCAAAAAAATTAAATGATTATATGTTTTTCATGTATTTGGCCTCTTCCCGCTGTGTCATCCAGAGACATGGATTTCAGCGCAGGAGTCAGGGGAAGGCTACATGTTACTGAGTGAAAGAAGAGGAGGGAGTGCAAGGAAATAAATGATAAAACACTTTCCCCATGAGATAAAGCAGTTGAGATTGCAGAGTAATCCCGCAGCTCTGCAGAGGGCTGTTGAAGCTCGTATGCGGATTCCTCCTTGTACACTGGTGTTTACGGCCAAATATAATGGGACGCTGTAGACCAGGGGAAAGTTTGTATGGGACCGTGGTGTAAGGAGAATGCTAAATCAAAAGACATGGAGTAAAGAGTCCTTTTAAGCAACCTGGTCCTCATATGCCTGATCAAAAGGATAGCCAAAAACGTTGCTTTCTGGGAATAAACCGGTCACAAAACATCTGCATTAAAGATGAACTGAGTTTGCCCCTTCTGTAGTCCAATGTGGTACCTCAATCCCCATGCAGAAGTATCTTGAGTGTCGGCCATCTTGTGTAAGGTGACCCAACAGGACTTTTCAACATAAGAAGTTGTGTATGTTGAGCCTAGCTTGCATGAGGGCTTTGTGTTTAGGTTGTACACATCTGCATAGAGTAGAAGAATAACAGTGAAGGTTATGAACATGAAGTAATGTGGTGATTGTGATTTGGCCCGGACAAACCGGGAATTCAAATCATTTAATCAAATCTCGATTACAACTTTGATTAAACCTATATACTGTATATAGGGGTAAAAACTGGGGGGTTTAACTATCTTCCACTGGTACCTCCACAGTATCGGTGTCTAATAATTTAAATTCTGGTGTCAATAATCACAGAACTTAAGATTGCAATCTTATAACTTTAGCCACATCGCCAAGCCCAACCCAAGAGAACCAGTCACATGGCACATTGTGTTTTAGGGAGAAATCAACAAACACAACTGACACAAACCAAAACAAACAAGACAATGCAGACAGACTATGCTTCTACTTCTAGGCGTCTTTTTTAGCAGAAATACTGACACTTTTCCCATTTGTGGACAGAAAAAAGTTCTCTGCTGTTGTTTTTTTTGTCCGGTAGAAGTATTATTCTGAATATTCAAGTCTCACCTCTTATCTTTAGTTAATTTGGTCCTAGGTGATGACCCCCAACTATTGGTGATTTCTCAGCAGAAAAGCTCAGTGTTGTCTCTAACACTAACTATAGTCCTGGGCAATGGTTCCCTGGTTAGCACCGAGCTTTGGCTGTAACATGGAATGGGTCCCAGGTGTGGGAGTGAAGCACCAAGTAATTCAGTGCCACTCCAGCAGAAGGCCTATAAAGAGGCGCCATTAATTTGAGTGGAAATTGGACAAACATGTGCACATTGGTGTGTCAGTGGCAGAAATGAGTAGTCCCATTTCATTGCACATCATGTATATTTAGATGATGCTCAGATTGGTCTTTTGTTTTCATCTGGACATCGTTCACCGTGGACAAACCACAAAAGAAGACAAACCACCAAAAATAATAAATAATGGCATTATTTTGGTTTTCTGATTCAGCAACCCTACAATTTGTGTGGTAATTTAGAAGTAGGTACATTTTTCATTACGGGGTTGTACTATTGTTGTATGTCAATTTTATTTAGTATTGATTGCTAAAAGCTGTATTTTTTGTAAAATGCTTGATTTAAAACTTTGCATATATATTGTCAGATGTTGTCTTGCTGTAACCACAACATTGAACGTCGGTAAAAGCCCGTACAAAATATTTGGTGATGGCATAGTTTTATCGCTGTAAATCATAAAGATGAATGTAAAGCTCCTTTGCTCTAAAGTGCAGATAGTACCTCCTCCCTGTGCACCCTTTATGTCGCGCGAGTGGCACACACATGAAAAATGGCACTATTAGTGATGGCAATTCTAACAAATAACTTTTCACACAGAAATGTACTAGCAGAGTTTGACTCTTCAGGTTTTTCATCTGAGACAAGCCGCCACACGGTTACAGCACAGTATATATTTTTGTGACATATGTCTGTGTCTCCCGCCTGTGTGTGCACTTCAGTTGTTCAGTGCGAGTCGGGGGAGTGTTGTGGGTCTCTGTAGGAGTCAGAATGTGGAGCAGGGGCTCCCCGAGGAGAAGAAGAGCAGAAAAAAACTCCTACACATCAAATGGAGAACAGTCTCTGGCCCCAGTCATCCACATACACACACAACACATCCCATTAGGGAATCCCAAAAGCAATTTTACTGGCCACAGCATTCCAAGGTTGGGTCAAAGGGATGCATGCAGAGGTTTAAACACTGACTTGGTCCGTTTTACATACAAATTACACTCAATCTGAGCTTTTCTCGATCAACCAAAACGGTCGATGCTTGGTCATTATTATCCTTCCATCTATAATTATGGATTATTACTATATTGTGTGTGTTTCTTGCCCATGAGCAAGGTCTTCATGTAGGTTTCTTGTATTTGAGACAAAGCACTTCAAGGTTGTTAAACGTTGTTAAAAGACACAGAGAAGAGCCACTGGAGATTAACAGGAAGTGCAGAGTAGTGAACGAGGAAGCTGTCAGTCAGGTTCAGGGGTGGACATGGCCCTTGTCACTGACAAATAGGCCGTCATTAACCCAGCCACTTTCTCGCCCAGGGTTTGAGCTGGAGGTGGAGAGGGAGGGAGAGCTTGTGCGAGAGATAGTGACTGTGTTCGCTGCTTAAGTATTTGTGAGGTCTGAGTTAATTGAGCACATACAGCTGCACTCTTGTCTCCCTCTTTCCTCTCACAGCAGGGGACATACAAGATTACTATGGAGCCTTGCAGCAGAGAGGGAGAGATGGGTTAGAAAAATGTACAGAAAGATATATACTAAGCCTGAGGGACCTAACTTTACAATAACGCTGGTCAATGGAAACAGTCAAGTCATTTTTCATTTTCTGTGAAGCGGACCATCAATTTAACCACAGATACGCATTTGCCTGTGGAGCAAAACCCTATTCTCCCGTTCAATAAAGAGTTAACATGATATATTTACCTTTTAATTGTTCTGTATGCAACTTAGTTCTTCCATGAAAGTTTCTTACTTTGCTTTAATTCACATTCAACATTCACTCTGTTGTTTTGCCTTTCATATTTTAGGTAGCAGGCTGTTTCCGTTTGTGGGAATGCAGATCGGTCCAGACATGGAATTAAACACATGACAGGCATACATCATTTCCTTGATCTTCTTGGTTTTGTATAATACAACGTCCACTATGGCCCCAGGTGTATACTGTTTTTTTTTTTTTC